CTTTTATTACCATAAATAATTCGTCGACTAGATCTAAAATCCCATTAAATGCCTTAATGACAATGAACAGATAGCGATCCAATTACAAAATCGGTGTAAGAAATGTCACATTTGTACCACCAAAAACAGTTTTGGGATAAAATTCATTTTCTTACTCAAGTTGCGTTTGACCTTGCAGTTTAGGTACAGACATGAAAATTAACCACAAAAAATATTACGAAATCAGAAGCTGACCTACTCACCAAAAACCTATTAACCACATTCAAGGATTACGTATGTACATAGATCTAAGTTACATTACTTATATACGAGGAATCTCGAGGATAAGAGAGGATTATTTACAAATCAAATCTTATAAATAAATGATAATTGCGCCCGGTGTGGCGTCGCGTATCGGCTCAATCATTCATATCGGATGCCGCATTTAATATTATATATAATCTCTACTTACACCTTTAAATACTAAGTGGCGTGATGTAACTTATCACATGACAAGCACAGAGTACCATGAAGTGACTTTAAAAGAAAATTATTTTCATGTTTTCAGAAGTGATTATTACTTCACATGAAAATATCTGCGGACTGCGTTGCGAAAGGTGTTAACCAGTGTCCAAGAGGGACCCTGATTAGTGACGCGCTAAAAGTGAAAACATGTGAATTATATTAAAAATAGCAATATACTACGCAAGTACTGTAGTTACTTAATAATATAACAACGCGTAATAACTATTTTGAAATAACATAACAGTAAACAACTTCCGAATCGTTTACTATATTAAGTCATTGGGTCATTTTAGGTAACAATGCAACAATCTACATATCAGTATGTATAAAAATTGATATAAAAAAGAAAATGTTTGATAGTCGCGGTACGAATTTAGTATAGAAATATTCAAATGTGGGTAACTAATACCTACACGTGTGTATTACAGTCTCCGAGACTTTATAATTCTAATCCATGATTATGTATTAATCCTTCGTGGTGAAATTAAGTTCTAGTTCGATTCCTACATTAAAAACAAAAACAACAAGGCCGCTATAATTTTATTTATATTTAGAATTTTCAGTACTTTTTACAGAGATGTGTAGGTATAACGGTAATGTTTAATTGTTCTTTTTTATGCACACATCTGGAATAATCTCTTTTGGAAATAACTATGCGTAATGGCACGTTATATTTGTTATTAAAATAAATCTAAAAAGGGCTCCCGTTTGCTAGTGTGCCGTGGGAACTTTTCAAGATGTTCTATAAAGATAAGTTTTCACTGCTTCCTGTCATTGTTTGAACTTGAGACACATTCTGTTGTTACACAATACCTACCTACTGACAAATGCTGAATTGTCAACCTACTATTAGTTATACACGTATTCATACGCACGTAACTTGTTTACTCCTTTTGTACCTACTTACTGGGCCTACTTAAATTACTTATAAATTACTTATGTATATGTTTTTATAATAACTATCATGAGACATATTAAATTAACTAATAATCCCGGGTTACTCACGTGAATATACCGAGAAAAGCTCTAGGTACTAGTTTCGAACCACATAGGCTGCGCGACGTCGCCGCGACCGCGCAAGGTAATCACGAGGAAGAACCCCTCTGTGGTTCGAAACTAGTTGAGCTTTTCTCAGTATATTCACGTGAGTAACCCGCGATTTTTAGGTTATTTACATAAGTAAATAAGTATAGTTAATAAATTGGAGTTTTCATAGAAAAACGTCAGTTATTCCTACTAAAGATGTAGATTTAAAGAAGGGGACTCATATGCTGACGATGCTTACATAGTTGATGATTTAGTTTCAACGAATTGAAGTTCACCTTCGGCCATTTTTAGCCACTTGATTTACTAGTTAGTTATCTTCGAAATCATGATAACCGAAAAAACGGGTGTACTCAATTGGTCCAAAGTGAAAACGTTTAGTTATATTTTCACTGAAAAATATTGAATTCTGGAGTGACTAAACCCGGTGTAGTGCAGAGCAGTCTTTGTGTTACTCACAACTATTGAATTTATATGACCACCAAACCATCATTCCTACACGAAGTGCACATTTTGCACTGGATTTATTCACATTAACGTATGTGGGTAGATTATGATGTAATATGAACAATCACTAGGTCTCTTCAATATACACAATAGAAGAAACGTCTCACGGCTCTATTATATGTCAGTAATTTTACATTTTCACTTTCTCGGGCGGTACGAATGTGGTCAATGGACGCTTCCGTGAACTGGGGTTGTCTTAACAATATATAGAGTATCAAATGTATGTCATTTAGGCATCATATAAATGTTTCTTCATCTTTGTGTAGATATGTAGGTACATACATATATATATCTGGCTACCACTGACCATTATTTGATGGATTTTTAATTTTATTTTGAATTGGATAAAGTGAAAATCTGTTTGAGAACTTCAAAAATTTGTGTAGTTCAATGTCTATGTCAATAGCTAGCGTCTGCACATAACAACGCTGAATGGGCTCACGGTAATACTTAGTCCTTTTTATTGTTCTGACTTTTGGCATCGCGGTACTTATTACGCAACAATGATATCACATGTGGTTCCCGTAACATTACGTGGCGGTGCTACCTACCGAGTAATGCTAAATTAATATTACTTACTCGTTCGTGTGGTTTTATTACAACTGAAATTGGTATGGAGTCCTACTTTCCACCGGATAATGTTTGTCTATTTATACTTCAATAAAAAATGTTAAACTATTAACTTGAGCGTAATTTTCCACCGCATGATGAGATGTTACCTACATCTACTAAATATTATTAAACGTTGGAAATCTAAGTTACGGTTAGGCATTACAAGATCTGTATCTTTTATTACATCACCAGTATTACGATACAATTTAATGGGCGTGAAGTTTTTGTATTTAACTTTAATCTTGACAGACAATATGAATGAGCTGTTAGTTGGTAGATCATTGATATTTCTGTAAATAACTTTTTTTTATGGCATATGCCGGTAAACGAGCAGACGGATCACCTGATGGTAAGCAATCGGCGTCGCCCATGGACACCTGGAACACCAGAGGTGTTACAAGTGCGTCACCAGCTTTTTGGGGATTAGGAGTTTGAGGATCGTTGGGGATTCAGGGATTGGGGAGATTGGGGAAGGGGAAGGTAACTGGGCCTCCGGTAACCTCACTCACACGACGAAACACAACGCAAGCGTTGCTTCACGTCGGTTTTCTGTGAGGCCGTGGTATCACTCCTGTCGAGTCGGCCCATTCGTGCCGAAGCATGGCTCTCCCACTACATAATAAATGTTTTAGTTTTTTCATAATCACCGACTTCCTTATCTGATTACTTGGTTTGTTAGTCATTTTGTCGACCCAGTAGGGCTGATGCCCAATATGGAGCCGCGGAAGGCCTAACGGGTTGCTGGAGCTCCGGCTCGAAGAGCAGGAGTAGGAATAGTGGTTTTTAGTCAGTAAGAGTCTGACACTCCCTCTCGCCTAACCTAAGGCGAAAGAAGTTATTGGATAATTTCTCCCCCTCAAATAAAAAGTCATTTTATCGAAGTGTGATTCCTAGAAAAGGGATTTCGTGAGTTTGAGTCCCGAGTCGAGTAACATGATTCCAAATTATATGGTAATATTGATATTTAAAATAATCAAATTTCGTCATTGACTTATTCACTCAATAAACTTATTCACTAAATGATTTAGGTCTTCCCGAAGTCCTAGAAAGCGGTTCGTTTAGTACCTAAGTTAGTATAGTACAAACTATCGAATTCCTCGAACTATAGCCGCAAAAGTTTGGAGGTATGAGAAAAGCATTTTCATGTTATCTGCTAAAAATGTTTCCGAAACGAAACTATTTTAAAGCTTGCACTGGTAAAATGTAATTAAATCTCAAGTATAGTCAAGTTTCTGACCCTACATAATATACAGACCTAAATCTATAAGTAATATTTTTTATGGAATAAGAGGCACGCGAGCAGACGGATCACATGATGATAAGCGATCATTGCCGCCCATCGGCCCATGGACCCGCAACACCAGAGGAATCACAGGTGCGTTGCCGTCTTGCCGTTGCTCATTTTACTTAAATTGCTACGAATAGGCGTAGCGCATAGCGCGTAACTCGTAGCGCGTAATTCGTAATGCTTAGTTCGTAGCACGTGGCATGTAGCGTGTAACAGTCTTTTCCGCTATTAATCTTATAGGTGTGCAAATCGTGGGAATTGGGGTTCAGGTGTAGAATTTATAAACTCATTTCGTGCAGTCGACTCACTATTTTGCTACTAGCTTTATTAAGCTAGTAGCAAAAACGGGAAAACGTTGTTACGTGCTACGAGCAGTAGTTTAATGTAAGCTTACAAGTTTATTGTACCATAATATAAAAGACATATTAGTACCTTTTTACAGTACCTATGTATTGAACGCTGCATAGGCCTATACCTACATTCGATATATTGTAAACAAACTAAGTAAATACTCAGGTAATAATAAATATACTCAGTTAGGTACGTACTCAAAGATTACTGAGTACTTAAAAAGCAAAGCGAATAACTACATACCTACTGACTACGGACTCAGAATATAGAACCAGGCTTTCTTTTTCATCGAATGACGAATATTCAAACCTTTGAGAATAATTTAAACTGATGCCAAAAAAGTGCGTTGGAAGGTACTTGGGTTTCAAATTTGAGTCATATTCGAAAGCCTTTTGAGGTTTGAGACTCGAATATTCGCGGTATTCTCTGACAAAATAAAGGTACAATATAAAACTCAAATATAAAAAGAGCTCGTAAACAATTCTCGAAAATCAAGGTTCAGTTGTATATTTAGCTGCGGCAGTAAACAACTTTGGATCTGTGATAAAATTTTTGTGTTCATAATAACATTACTTCCCGCGTCTGCCATCACTAGATCTGTCTAGAATCGTTATTTCTGTACGGAAACTTCGCAAAGATCATTGGTCGCCAACGCCGCGCCGCTTTCGTTTATTTTAGTCACAAATAGCTTTGGAGTTGTCGGCACTTGGAGCAGTATTCACAGATATTGAAAACAGACTAGACGCATTTATTATAACTCTTCAATCAATTATTTCAAAGTTTAGATATATAGGTATAAAATTATTTTGAAAACAATGTCTTTGAAAATTGAAGCTGAAACGAAACTTGGTTCAGAGCCGTGTGTGTTGACCTGGGGCAACAAATTATTTGTTGGCTCTGAAGACGGGTCGATTAACGTAAGTAAATGGGTAACTTCTTATAGAATAATTATTTATCCATGAAGAGATTTTTATTCTTAATCCTACCTAAGCTCATATCCATTTTCACTAACTTTTTAAAACTTGTCGCTTAATTAATAAGCACCTAATTGTTCATAAACGAAAGGGGAATTCAGACGTCTTCCATTTTTAACGAAACAATAAGCTTTCGTAGATCTACTATAATGACCCGTCATCACGATCGGTAGGTACCTACTTACCTACTCATATCTCATTGATATTGTGGGAGCCTCCTTGTGCCCTCCAAAGGAGCAAGGACTGATTATAGCGATATGTACCCAGACAGATTAGTTACTAAGATACATACATCACACGCTTACTGGTACATAATGTAAATGTGTACCTATATTTACATATTTACTATTGAATTCCTTAAAGGCGACTTGGATTTTCATTTTAGGCATTTGATGGTAATTTAACATCAAAAGAATCATGGACGGCGCATGCAGTGCAGCCATTTGCCTTGGCTACTGACGGAGACACCTTGTATTCATCATCAAATGACGGGGGAATTCGAGTGTGGTCCATGAAGGGAGACCAAGTCACCGAGCTACCTTCTACTGGAGCTGATGTGGGAGCCCTGCACGTGTTTGATAGACAACTTTACGCCGGCGATGAGGACGGCAACGTAAGTGGACAGGATAAAGGAATAAAAATTTAAACTTAATTTTCTAGATGTTGGGTTAGTACCTACAGACAATTTTGGCAAGGCCTCAATCTAAGTTAGCTGTAAGATTCAGTAGGTTAGCAAATACCTAATTGATGATTGTCTCTCAATTAAATTAGTTTAGTTCTTACTTAAGCTAGTGTAATTAAAACTAAGATAGTGTGATGGGATTGGGTTATCCATGTTGATAAAAACTCCAAAATACATAAATAGAAATAAAAAAGGAATAAACATAGGTACGGTTTCAGTTAACTTTATCTAATAGATATAGTTTGTCAGATTTATAAAAACAAAAATGTAAGTTGTACTTTGATGTAGTAAGTAAGTGGGTAAAAATAATTATTAAGTTTGTCATAGCTATCTATAATATTGAAGTCTGTAACTCTACGTTGGTACACACGTTTTTTTAAATAAATTTCTGTATCTAAATTATAAAGGTACCAAACCGCAATGATTCACTTAAGTATTCACTTGACATCGGTTAGGGTTTATTTTTTTTTATTTAAGGGGGAAAATCATCCAACGACTGCTCCCGCCTGGGTGAGGCGGGAGGGAGTGTCAGACTTTTACTGACTAAAAACCACCCCGTTCGCCTGCACGTCGAGCCGGAGCCCCGTTAATGTTAATTTTATGTAACACATTATATTTCTTAATATTTCAGATTATTATCTACGAAAAGAATGAGATAAAGGCGAAATACAATGTTTTGGAAGAAGTAAAAGATATTTGCCTCAGCCCTCCGTTCCTGTTTACAGTTCGGGATCTTTATGTTACTGCGACTGAAATAAAACCTGGTAACTTATCCTCCCATCTACCTGTCTGTTAATCATTTCATGAAATGTTTACTGCAACAACAGTAAAATATAACAACACAATTCAACACATTTAGTTTTACTAAACTACTAGGTAGGTACTTCTTAAAATACAAACTACAGAAAAAACAATTAAAATATATTACTTTATTCCATTTTGTAAAACAGTAGTGTATGGAAATAATAGTAGACTCCTCCTTAATTTTAATAGCAAATGTTAAGTAATAAATAAACCAGTTATTAATAACTGCAGGCGCTAATGTTTGTAATAATATTCTTACTTTTTTATTCTAGAGGAATCGAAGACACGTTTTATGACGCGACACACAATGGAAGGACGAGCTCCTTTACGGATATCTGGAAACAGACTCCTGTTCATGTCCAGAGATGGCAATAGCTTGAGGTTACACGATGCTTCCGTTGATACTACATTCAAGTCACTCGATGAAGTCAAGGTTTGTGTCATTTTAGATACCTTTCCGCCCAAATAATGTAATACCGGGTAACAAAATTGAATAAATTACTGTTATACCTAAAACTTACCATAGGTATCTACAAAATTGTATGTTTTTAAGTAATTACTACTAGGTACTATACAATTACACTCTTCAGGTTAGCGACATGATCCTAACAAGTTTGTCCACAAGCGGGCAGTACGCATGGACCGGTGGTTGGGATGGCTTCGTGCGCCGGTGGAAGATAGCTGGCGATAAACTGGAAGCAGCTGGAGATATCAATCTTGGTGGTTGTATCAATTCGCTAGTTGCCGCTGCTGGTGACTCCGCCTATGTAGCAGTGTCTGGTGGGAAAGTAGCTCACCTGCGCGCTGTATAGGAGATAAGAATATACCTACGATACATTATCTGTGGGCGTCTTGTAACGTGCAGGGCGTGAGATTTAGCAACAGGCTAATGATTGCCTAAGGCTCCACATAGACTAGAGACACTCCTGTCGAAATATTCGTATATTTGTGTTACTTGACATATTGTTGTGTTGAGTCCCAGTGTGAATGCCAAAAGATTTAAGTATGAAATATTTGATGCAAATTATTTTATAACTTTAATATTACCATATAAATGTTTTTCAACTTCTTATAATTTTTATGAGTGGGTTTAATAAAGAAAACTGAAAAAATGAATACTTTTTATTAGTGTGAGTGCTAAGAATGGTTTCTGTGGGTCCAATTTCAGATCTGGAAAAGTATCATATTACAGAAAAGCCAAAAAGTGGGTGATAATTATTGATTACTGGTTGCTAACTTCTTTTTAGAAGAATTATGTGATATTATGTAGCAGTTAAATAATTTAATGGGCTGACATTTGACCACTATATCGCCTGGTGGTAAGTGATAGTGTGGTTTGTGATGGAACACAAAAATATAGCACATACATTCAAAAAAGTAGAAGTTTGTTAGAACTCATGATAGTTTTGGACCTAAACAAAGGTTAAAAACTGTCTGTTGGCCACTGATTTTGTGTAGACTGAAGCAAAGCATGATTTAGTATAAATAAAAATACATTACTATGGAAAACAAATCATGTATTTTTGCTAAATTTCTGTTATTTACAATCACAGAACAGTAAACTCACTGATCTTGTAGATTCATCATATGAGGCTATGCACTTGAACCCAAATATAATGAACTGTGACAAATCTTTCAATTTAAATAGAAGAAAAGTACATGTTTAAAGTTTACTATTCATTACAGTAAAAATATCTACAATAAAATGATTACAAGTAGTAACCTTTTAAAATCAAATTAAATAATGATCTCAACATCACAGATATCAGATTCCTTGGGAAGTTTTATCTGCTTTGGGTCAATAAAGTTAGGGTCAATTGGAGGAAGACCAGCTTTTTCACGACGACGTAGTTCTAAAAATGCTTCTCGCTGAGCCCAATCCCTTAAATGTGTATCAGGAGCGTAGGCCCAAGCAAATCCACCGAAAACCAAACACAATGTAACGGAGAAAAAGAAGGACGCGTTATGTGCATTTGTGTCTTCTTCTTTACTCTTGTAGTCGAACCCATAGCTCACCCAGTTTTTGTCTTCTGGTTTGGATGCAGTAGCAGTAGCAGCGCTATCACTATTCTTTTTCGAAGTGGATATTCCACGGCTTGTTTGACTTAGATGGTTCCAAACACATCTTTGGATTAGAGGAATTTGACGTAGTTTGATTAATGCAGCCATTGTATTAGTAATTATTTAGTTTTGAAACCAGTGAAATAGGTTTTCACAAGACAACCTGATTATGAAACCCAAAGAACATAAGAAAATGGAGAATGTGACAGATGACAGTGACGGGCGTGACGGCTAAATCAGATGTCAAAAAATTTGGAATTATCTAGATTGTGCTGCGACTTAATTTAATCATCATTAAAAATAAATTTATAGTATAATGTTAAAAATTCTGTGGATTATATTAATTTCATTTACTTTTTTTGGCAATATCAAGAAATATCATTGTTGGGGCTATGGTTCTCCTAGTCTGCAAGAAGCCAGTTACCCCAGTTACTAACATCACTAGCTAATGTCAAATTGTCATTTTTCGTAGATACCGTCATTTTCTGACATTACTGATGTCGCAGAAACGCCACTTGAGGTTTTAGGATTGATTAGAATTTTACCATACCTTATTCGAGTCGGTAACAACTTTTAACAGCTGAAATTCTTGAAAATACTACTCTTATATCCTTTCGTTAAACGTTAGTTTTGTAATTTGTATTTGGTCAACAAAAGCCCCAATATGGTTGTTCGCCAGTACAACGAGGAATTGAAGTATCTTGAAAAGATAAATCCATATTGTTGGAAAATCAAAATGGGTTTTCAGCCAAATATGAACGTAGAAGGCGTCTTTTATGTGAATTCCACACTCGAAAAATTAATGTTAGAAGAACTGAAGAACTCTTGTAGACCTGGAATGACGGGAGGGTTTCTCCCTGGAGTAAAACAAATAGCTAATGTTGCGGCATTGCCGGGTATCGTGGGCCGGTCTATTGGTTTACCAGATGTACATTCCGGATACGGATTCGCTATAGGTGAATATAATTTTTGAGACTTACGTTTCATAAGTCATAAGCCTAAAATTGATATATTATATGGATATTGCTGGGAATAAAATAAATAAAAAAAATGTAGGAAAGTTGATTCAAACTAGATTTTGCCTTTTTCCTCGACAACTTTGTAATATTTATTTAAAAATATAAAAACGTATCTAGACACTTCAAACAATTAGTATTTGACTAATCTAATATACATATTGCATTATTAGTCATTGGTATTTCATAATACTTGTGACAAAATAATAGCATCTGCTTTTAGTAATTTTATCCCATCAAAATTCTGGTCTCTTCTAACACTACGTTGGAAGAGGATATTTATTTTTTATTAATAATTTTTATCTATATTCCTGTAAATGTAGAGGAATTTAGATAAAAATATTACTTATAGTAAATATGTTTGTTTTCATTGTTACCATTTATGATGCAATACTTTGTTAAGTGGTGTTGAATCTTCAAGTATGTGTTTTACTTGCAGGAAATATGGCAGCTTTTGACATGGGTAACCCTAAATCAATAGTGTCACCTGGAGGAGTGGGTTTTGATATAAACTGTGGTGTTCGCCTTCTGAGAACTAATCTTCATGAGAAAGATGTCCAGCCAATTAAGGTTAATTCACATTTCTTAGTTTTTAGTTTTCACAATTTTACATTCTCAATGTACTGTTAAGGTCATCACACACCTAACAAGCACAGCTCTGGACAAGCACAGCTCTGACACAGCTCCAACCCAGCAATATCATTGTCATTTAACCATGAGCTTTAAATTGTATGTCATATGACATATTTCATATCCACTTACAACCGTTTCATATTGTTTCCAACGCCGTGCCGCTACCGTTAGGTGTGCAATGACCTTTTGTCAATAATGTAATAATATCATTTACATTTATTAACAGGAACAACTTGCCCAGAGTTTGTTTGATCATATACCAGTGGGAGTAGGCTCTAAGGGTATAATCCCAATGAATGCCAGAGATCTGGAAGAAGCCCTAGAAATGGGAATGGACTGGTCTCTCAGGGAAGGTTATGTCTGGGCTGAAGATAAAGAGCATTGTGAAGAATATGGACGTATGCTGAATGCTGATCCCTCGAAAGTCAGTCTTCGAGCTAAGAAAAGAGGCTTGCCACAGCTGGGTACTTTAGGAGCTGGTAATCACTATGCCGAGATACAAGTTGTAGATGAAATATTTGATAAATATGCTGCAGGAAAAATGGGCATTGAAAGACTTGGTCAAGTCTGTGTTATGATTCATTCTGGCAGTAGAGGTTTTGGCCACCAAGTTGCTACTGATGCTCTAGTCCAAATGGAAAAGGCTATGAAGAGAGATGAGATTGATACAAATGATAGACAGTTGGCTTGTGCAAGAATAAATTCTGTAGAAGGTCAAGACTACTTAAAGGCAATGGCAGCAGCAGCCAACTTTGCATGGGTTAATAGAAGTTCAATGACATTTTTGACCCGCCAGGCATTTGCCAAACAATTTAAAATGGCACCTGACGATCTAGACATGCATGTCATATATGATGTGTCTCACAATATTGCAAAGGTTGAAGAGCATGTGGTAGATGGAAAAGTGAAGACCTTATTGGTACATAGAAAGGTAATCTTATTATATATCTATATCTTAATGAATGGTATTCTTCTATATAAATCGTATTTTTTCTATATTTTGCTATTTTTACCAACAACATTATTTCAGGGTTCAACCAGAGCTTTTCCTCCGCATCATCCTCTGATACCAGTGGATTACCAGTTGACCGGGCAGCCTGTATTAATTGGTGGAACTATGGGTACTTGCAGTTATGTCTTAACTGGAACTCATCAAGGCATGACTGAGACCTTTGGGTCTACTTGCCATGGAGCTGTAAGTGACTTCATTAAAAAATATTTTTCATCTATTATAATGAGCTTAATTTCCTTTTACACTATTTATTTACAATTATAATAATAACTGTCTTTTCAGGGCCGTGCACTATCCCGGGCAAAGTCAAGAAGGAACATAGATTATAAAGAAGTTTTGGAAAAGCTGGAGAATATGGGAATTTCTATAAGAGTTGCTTCACCAAAGTTAGTGATGGAAGAAGCACCTGAGTCATATAAAAATGTTACAGATGTCGTAGATACTTGTCATGCGGCTGGCATAAGCAAGAAGACTGTTAAGTTGCGACCCATTGCTGTTATAAAAGGCTGAAGTCTATTTATTGTGTGGATTGATGACAACATTCTGCTGGACTAACATTTATATAATAATTAGGGCTACATTATCTCTAATGCATCTCATATATAATGTAATTTATTATAAGCAATATTTCGAAGGTCCAGACATTTTACACTATTTAAATCATTTTAAAACTTGATTTTATTGTTTGCAGTCAGCAAACTAAATCAAATTTTTATTAAGATGATTAATGGTTGAGTGCAGGTCATGTTAATTTACTCTCTAACTTAAGGAAGTTTGTGATTTTAAATAAATAAATGATGTAATTTGCAACTGTATATATTATTAACAAACAACAATTCAGCTATAAATAAATTAATACTTTAAAACTAACTTTGGAGGTACATAGAGTTGTTCTACTAATGACTTGGTGATGGCACGGGTTAAACCCATAGATTAGATAGCTTTTAATTTATCTGCTATAATCACTAAAAGAGCTGTTCCGAGGAAAAACAAACCGGGAGGTATAACAGCAGTAGTGCGGTCTGTTTCATCTGAAATGAAGAAGATAAGTACTATTTGAACAGGTTGCAATAAGTCCTGTATAGATTATGTTTTAACTCAGGTATTTTGAATCACTACATAGTATAAAACAAAGTCGCTATCTCTGTCCCTACGTCCCTTTGTATGCTTAAATCTTTGAAACTACTTAACGCTTTTTGATGCGTTTTTTTTAATAGATAGAGTGATTCTTAAGGAAGGTTTATATGTATAATACATGCATAATATAGTAAAAAACACTGATAAATTTAAAGGTTTCTAATATGATGTCGTAAATCAGCACGTTTTTTGCGCTTATATTGCAAACGCTGGCTGTACCCTACGAGATAGACCAAACTAATGTACTACAGTATTGATCACCTTAAAAAGTTCAACAAAAAAGTCCGCGATGGTATATGTCTATCTATTAGCTATAACCCACTATAACCATTTTTATCCTTTACTATGAATGGTTATTTACGAAGTGATATTAAACAATACAGCATTAATCCTTATCCAATTATGTACTTTAAATAAATTGTGCATTTATCATAGATCAATATGCTTTTTACAGCATGTGGATATTTCCGAAGATATTACAAAAATGCAGGGACGTATTTTTTGCGGTGTTGATGGCCGCGTTTCGTCCTAGAGCACTTCATGACTTGCAACGATCGCACGCGTTTATCGGAGCTCTCTAGCTAGCAAAATATCAATATAAAACATGTTTGTATTGTCTAATGACAAAATTGCTGTGAACGTGGTGTATAAGGACATCTTGTAGTAGGTATTTTTAAATAAGTATTGCACCCGTGCGAAGCCAGGGCGGGTCGCTAGTTTAAATATAAATTAATATTTATGAAAAATAGTACATGTAAAATTTACCAGGACATAACTCGTTTTTCTCTTCGTTGCCATCGGTAGTCCATGCTAAGCATCTTTTGAGAGCTTTTTCCCATCGGACCCGTTTAATGTCGCGTTCTAGAATTGAACATGAGAACAAAGTTTATTGACAAAATATATATAGTATGATGATACTTAAAATTCTGTTAAAATTTATTTCGAGTTTTGTACAGTTGAAAGTGGTAGGTACTCGTATTTTACCTTCAGAACTAATAGTTGGTATGAATGTATCGGCTGGTGGACATGGAGTAGAAGTTGGCCACACTCGCAACGCTCGACCAGCTACAATCGCAGCTCCAAGAGCTGTGCTTTCCATCATAAGAGGTCGAATCTGAAAAACGTAATTAACTGATTAAGTCCAATAATTATTACCATGTTCACATAAACCAGAAACTTGAAATTCTTAATAGATATTAAGAATTTAAATAGATATTCATACCACAGGAATTCCAAGAATATCTGCTTGCATTTGCATAAGAAGTGTATTCTGCGCCATACCCCCGTCGGCAAGTAGTCGCCCTAATGGAGCACAATCGGTCGCCATAGCTGTGGCTACACTTCGTGTTTGATGGCACACTGATTCTAAAGCTGCTCTGACTATGTGCTCTCGGCGCGTCTTCTCACTAATTCCACATATTATGCTGGAAATATGAAATTATTGAATAATTCAAAATGAACGTAAGGTATAGATAGTTATTTGGGTAGAGAAAGGAAAGAGCATTAATAATAATGGTTATTATAACATGTAAAACAGTATGGTACTAGGTATAAGTGTATCATAAACCTACCCTCGAGCATCTTTTCTCCAATAAGGGGAGTATAAACCATTAAATGCAGGTACAAAACAAATGCTTCCTTCGTCATCATCATTTACCTCAGATGCTAACGCCTCTGTATCTTGAATATCCGTTATAAGCTCCAATCCATCTCGTAGCCACTGTAATGTGTCACCTAGATAAAACATCAACATATAACATGAGATTATTTGAGTATGAGACTTGCTAATTAAGTTGGTGAAGAATATGACTTACCTGCAATGGCAACTGATCCTTCTAATGCATATACTGGTGGTGCATCTGGTCCTAATTTGTAAGCCACTGTAGTTAAAAGCCCTTGTTGTGAGTGGATGATTGAATCACCTACACATAAGTTATTCTGTAATTATTGAAAGTATTTTAAACAATTTCGTCAATTTCGGGAGAAAATACTTACATACCTGTATTGTATAATAAGAAGCATCCAGTGCCAAAAGTACATTTGACCTGACCAAATCTCATGCATCCTTGTCCAACTAAAGCTGCTTGTTGATCACCTAAACACTGCAGAGTATGTATTGCTTTGAAATATATTATTATATTGCAATATCAGGCACAAATAGAAGCAAGTGCATAGTACCTACTTATCACAGATAAACGAGTATACAAGTAGTTATAAACAATGTTGATAAGCTATTTTCATTTAAGTACATACATCACATCACATCTTAGGAGTTTTTTATGGACCAATATATACTATGTATATATACATCTTGGAGCAACAAAAATGTTACCTTAGAATTTATTGAGTCAGAGGTTGCTATTACACAATTATATGTATACATTATATATTAGCCAGGGTCAAATTAATGCATGTGAATACTGTGACACAGTAACATTGAATATTAAAGAAAATAAACACTATCATGTAAATTGTTCGGACATAACAATTATTTTTGTAATATATACAAAATAAACATACAAAACTTTGAAATATAAACACAGGAAAAACATTAACCTCCTGTAGGCTTCGCTGTAGTTACTCGGGTAAAAATAATAGAAACTGACCCCAGCAATAGGTACGCCAAGTAAGGATCCTGTTGAAATGTAACCATATATTTCAGCTGAACTTTTAATCTTTGGTAGAATCTGTATTGGTATGTCAAAGAACCGCAACAGTCCTTTATCCCACTGCAGACTACGTAGTGACATAAGCTGTGTCCGTGAGGCATTTGTGACATCTGTTACATGAGTTCCACCATGACAACCACCGGTAAGGTTCTGAAATGAAGAAGTTATGTACTTTCTTGAGCGTACAATATTTTATAGATGATATATCTATACTTGACAGCTTCGTTCGCCGAGTGGTCTCAAATACGACTGCTGGGCAAAGGATTCAGTTTTCAGGTTGGGCAAAGTATTACTGGGTTTTAAAGAAATTCTCAGTGGTAGCACTGAGTCTTGAAATATGCCCTGTATATGGCAAACCCCCTATTACATGGGACTCATAACATAAATAGTGAAAAGTGGGTGTTACATTGAACAATGGCATTAAGTGCCGTAATGTGCACCTCTGTCAACTCCTTCAGGGATAAAATGCGTGATGTTATGTAAAGCATAATAGTAAAATATTTTACATACCCAAATCAACCAGGAATCCACAGTGCCTGCCATACATTCTCCCACTCTGACAGCATCCTTGACTGCAGGCACATTTAGAAGCAGCCATTTCAGTTTTACAGATGAGAAATATGTGGATAATGGAAGCCCACTGGTCTGTGTCACAGCGTTCACACATTGTGGACTTTTGACTTTTGTTAATTCATCTACAATGTTAGCTGTTCTCACATCTAACCATACTGGAATTTTCAAGTTGATTGAAGAATAATTATACGATTTTAGATTCTAAGTAATTTAAATTATGATATTCTCACCTACCTATGGCACTATACAAAGGCTGTCCAGTAACCGAATTCCATACTATTGTGGTTTCTCTTTGATTTGTAATACCAATGCCAACAACATCCTCTGGGTTGATATCTAACTTTCGGAGATTGTCAGTAGTCACCTGTAATTCATATCAAAGTTGTAAATATATCAGCTAATAAAAATGTTCATTTAGTTAATGCTTTTTTATTACCTATTGTTCACAATAATAAAAAATAGGTTGCTTATGCATCGACGTGCTCCGTCGTAGACCATATCATCGCTTACCACCAGGCGAGATAGTGGTCAAATGTCGGTCCATCAAATATATAACTATAAAAAAATAGTACAATCAAAGTTCTAGTAAAATATTGTAATTAGAGACCTTCTAATCTAAATAATGTTTTTATATATCTATATATATATATCTTTTTTTAACGTTGCCCTACACTAGGATTTTCTCCTGTGTCGTGGGTGCGTTTACAAACATACAAATTCACATACACATGACACCCAGACCCAGAACAACAATTTGTGGATCACACAGTGTTGTCCCGTGCGGGAACCGAACCCGCGACACGTTGCACGGCAGCCGGTTGCCCGGCCACCGCACCAACCGTGCAGTCTATGTTTTATGGCAATGATTGATATAATTATAAAACTTACTTCAATGCATTCTAATACAGCATTTAAAATTTCAAGTGCATCTTGTTCAACCCAACCTTCTTGAGGGCTAAACCGTTTCAAGGTAATTTGGTGATAAGTTAATACTTCGGATGTGTTTGCTGCAAATACCTGTAATAAATATTGATATGAAGTGTACTCCGTGCAACCACATGATTAGTAGTTTTATATTACTTATATTACCAGGAACTTAACATTCGACGTTCCTTCGTCTACAGCACCAATGAGTGGACCAAATTTGCCAAATTCCCGCATATTATCATAGTTTTTACAAAATGATTGAGAAAACTTGATTCTAATGTAAACGGTATTCAAAAAAACTAATCAATCAGCTGATAATGTCATGACATTTACAGACAACACCATAGGGAAAGATACAATAGACAATATATTTAGCATATAGACGTAAGCCTTGCATGAACCACCGACTTGTAGACATAGGCCGCTCCAATAGCAAATTCCTAGCAATTACAATATTACCATTTATATATATATAATTTTAACTTATATAGGTTAGGTATAGGTTTCAATAAAGGCAGAATTAGGTACCTGGAATAATAGCTAGAGCGCCAGAGCGGTGGCGCTGAGACTACGTACGCTTTAGTTATTGTTCCAAGCAGTAGGCTCGTATCATAGACTAAACTACCATAAAGTCAAACGAAATCGATTATAGACTTCGCAACATAGAGTAATAGAGTCTATAGTCAGAATTTTAATTAGATTCCAGATTTGACAATAGCTACTGTCATTTTGTGAAATAATGATACCACATATATAATAGTGTAGTGATGAACACAAAAATCGATAAACAATCAGTGTGTGTGTTTTATAATAAATGTTACAGAAAGTGACAGGATAGCGATAGCGATGACGGCGACAGTTTATAAAATAACTTGTTACCATAATACATCTATCTGTTTTATTTGTCATGTTCCTTCATGATGACATTTTTTATTTATTTCACACACAATTATAAAAGAAAGTCTCAGATTATTAATTAATCGTCAAAACTAAATTATCGGTTCAGAAATATTTAATTTCCTGATATACTTAGTTTACGAGAGTGAAATTATAAACGAGAAGAATCGATCCAGAAATATTGCATTTCCATATCGAATAATTTCGCAACGTCACTATTTAGTACTTGTCATAACGTTGCAACCCTGAAATTGTCAAATCTGGAATCGAATTAAAATTCCGAGTATAGTACTTTTTGACAGTCCGATCAATAACACAAGAAGAAAACATTGCGATTTCTTGTAGAGTCCATTTCACGAAAGAAGTCCCGCAGACGCAGCGCTGTATTCGCGCGACATAATGTTGCCACGGTTAAATTTATATAGTATGGGGAAATCAGGAGAAATTGACATTAGTTTGATTGACTACGTACTCGAACAGTTCGAGGAATATTTTAAAAATAATGTCTTTTTATATAGGTATTTATGTTTATACTGCTAAGGTCAGATTAGTGAAAAATTAATCTTCCTGTAATTTCTAAAATATAAAATGGAAATAAAGATGTTCAACCAACATCAAATTAGAAACATAAAATAACATTTAAAAAGTTTTATTAAAGTTTTATTGAATAATTATGATCGGTCATACTATGATCACTGTCAGAAGAGTGAATAGAAACCGAATTAGATTCTGTTTCATTATCACTAGCCGTAGATATAATAAATCGATGCATTTCTTCATCCATAAGACCATCATTTTTTAAATATTCTTCCTCCAAATGCTGTACATGTTTGCATTGAACTGCCCAATCTTCCGCTGTAACAGTCTCGGACGCCTCTTCTGTTAGGCGTACAATTTCTTTGGATCTTGGCCCACGTTTTTAACCGCTACCCGTCTGTTTATAACACACGACTCTCCGACACACCTGCAATAAAATGAACAATTAAAAAAATCTAACAGTGACTTTCTCCGCATTTAATTACATTATTGTTGAATACAATTTTACAAATTTTTGTTGTGGTATTGTAATTCCTCATTAAAAAAACTTAAGTCTAATTGGTAAAAAATATGTTTAATATGGCAGCCCCAAAATTTACCTGTTATGGCGGCAATTCTTTTGCGAACATTGTCTAATGGTATTAAAACGGCGCGATTCTTCTGTTCCGCTTCACAGAACTCTTTCACTTTTAATATCATTTCTCGACCTGCACTTTTTACAACTTTTGGCATCGTAAATAAACCTTATAATGCACTAATTTAATAATAAACTCACAAAATGTCTACCACAACAAACCCACCTTGACAACATCGACAAACGACAACATGGCCGAACTCCCCATTTGTCAAATTTAGTTCCACAATTGTCCGCGGGACTTCTTTCGTGAAATGGACTCTAGTTATTATCCGGATCTATAAGCCGTAAAGACAAAATATAATCGAAATGACTAAAAAACTACCAGAAATTCAACTAACTGTCAATAAACATGGACAGTTAGTTCAGACACTTGCTAAACCGATTCATGATGGAAACTTGCCTATTACGCTGGAAGAATTTCAAGTTCAAGCAAATGCCGCACTAACCCAGATGATAGAAGATCTCGATGAATTGGGTCAAATGTGTAAGTAAAATATTACTAGCAACCCACCCTGGTTTGAGCGAAGGATTTGTGTTTTTCTACTAAAATGAATATGTACCTATTATACTTAGAAACCTTCCTCTTTAAACAAAAAAAAAAAAAAAAAAAATGCAATATAAGCAATTGTGTACTTTTAAAGATCTAACCAATCATAGGCGCGATTTTGAATTACACATCAAAAGCTCTGGTCCTCCGGGTATACTTAGGACCATTGATTGTCACTAGTTATTAATTGTATATAACTTGTTGCTATTGTTTAAGTGGGTGATGGCAACATGCAGAATTTGGAAGCAGAGAACAGTGCAGATGAAGATGTTGATGAAGAAGAAGATGAGAGTGATGACAACACAGATGGTTATGATAGCGAGGAAGGTGAGGAGTCTGGCAATGAGGATTTGAATGAACAGAGTGGACCCAAAAAGAAGAAACATTATTAATATGATTTGATATAGTTGGTCAAGATTTTTTGATGTATGAAGTACTAGTTGTGGCTGTAGGCACCATTATGAATAAGAAGAAAATATAGTCACAATGTTTCCTTTCCACACAAATATTTCAAGTGTTTAATGTATTTGCTCCTTGTAGATTTGTTAGGTTCTGGTACAAGCATTCCATTTCACAATATTTATTCTTGTAATGAGAATCTCAGTGTCAATTTATTTTTGCTTATAGCAATTATGGGTCTCTAGACTTAGGTATTAAAGTAGCATTTAAAATGTGAAAAGGCTGGATTTACCCAGTAAGAAGATATTTATTGAGGAGTTCTACTTTTGAAAAGGTCTATTAGACTATAATATTCAGGGCTATATATTAGAATATATTAGAATTTCTATTGATCCCTTCACATGAGTAACGTTTAAAAAAATGATGGAATATAGACCTGAATATTGTATTACATAATAGACCTTTTGAAAGTTGAAATTGATTGTATATTAAGTATATTTTGGCTATTTTACCTTTCATTGTTAGTGAAATGTAGTTTAAGTATAAAGTATATATTGTATCATGTCACATGTAAATTAGTAACACTTGAAAATGGCTATTGAAAGTGAAATTACCTAATTACTGTTCCCATGCCTATAAGGTTTATTTTGTAGAAGTGTTTAAAAGGTATGTAAACCAATGTGATTGTATATTAAACTATATTTATTCAATATTCGTCTTATCATTTTGGTTGAATTTTGGTCCTAAGTTATAAACTTCGGAAGGCACTTCTTTTCATTTGTCTTTTTCATTTCTTATAATAAATAGGAAACATACTAATAAATGACATAAATGAAGACGAGGTGCCAAGCAGTTTTTGGTTTGATATTCGGGGCGGGCAGGGATATCAGAATTTTTTGTAATTTATTTATTTAATTTCAGTAAGGGATGGAAAATAGAATTGTAATACCTACAACATTGCAATACCTACTGCAATAGACTAATCCTGTATAGAGGTATTAACACTGGACGCGTCATGACGCTTAACATTAGAAAAAGTACTGGGCGCGATGGCTACTGTTGTACTGGTACCATCGCATACCTTATAAAACCAAAATGCTTTTATTTTCATTTTCGGCAAAGTTATTTTAAAAAGACAGAACTTATACAGGTGTCCCAGAAATAGTGAATCAAACTGCTATGGGAGGTAGCTTGACTAATGTCCTATCCATAAAAAATATGAAACAAAACAAAACGCATATGACCATAAAAAAAAGAATATCGGAGAAACGGGAAAATCATCGAATTCTCCTAAGTTTCCAGCTCTAATTAATTCGTTTTGGGTTTATTTGTGAGTACATTTTTTCTGCCAATTTTAATTGTTAGAGTTTGCTCCAACTGATTGTTAACATTTTTCAAAAAATAATATCTACTATTGGAGTACAGACCATTTAATTTATGTGATTTTTTTAACCGAAACATTTTCTCGCCATTTTAACCAGCTATGGAATAAAAAAAAATGTATGGGACTTGTTCGGCTAACTACTTCAACAAGTTGCCTGTTTAATAAGGATTCTAAAATGGTACGAATCAGTGAATTTACTTCACAAGATTTGGAGATATTCATGTTTTTGTGTGCAAGGGTGAAATTGGTTCAATATCAAAATTACAGCTTTTTAACTTATTTATTTGTTACGTTAATAATAATAATTCATAAGGCTCAAAATAAGTATAAAAATATTATAGGAACAAAAAGCTTAGGTTTCAGTGTAGGTAAGATAAACTTAAGAAAACACATAAGTGATTTAAATCAACTTTAATTAACAATTAGGTACAGTTTATATATAACAATCGCAATAGTTTAGTAATAAAACAATCGCAATCCCTATAAAAGGTGTTCAAATTGACGTCCTCCCATTCGTAAGCACAATCTGCATCTTCTTAAAAAAAAAATGGTTAAGGCGTCGCAAGTTAATTGCAGAGATTTCCTGTGCGGCCTGGTTAATACGCCTTCTTAATTCATCCAATGATGAAATTGGTGTTAATCTGGAGTAAACTTTGTCCTTATACCAACCCCAATAAAAAAAATCAAATGTCTTTTTTTTTAAACTTTGCCCCACACTAGGATTTTCTCCTGTGTCGTGGGTGCGTTTACAAACATACAAGTTCACATACACAATGACACCCAGACCCGAAACAACAATTTGTGGATCACACAAAGTGTTGTCCCGTGCGGGAATCGAATCCGCGACACGTTGCACGGCAGCCGGTTGCCCAGCCACCGCACCAACCGTGCAGTCCGTGCAATGGATTTAGGTCTGGCGACCTCGCGGACCATAAAATAGATCCCAGTCGGCCAATCCAACGTCCAGGAAACGCTACGTTAAGGTGGGCCCTCACTTCTCGTGCATAGTGGGCCGGACATCCGTCATTTTGCAACCACACCCTGTGCAAGAAGTCGTCAGATTCTTCTAATAGTCCCTGCAGTGTGTCTTTCAATAAATGTAAATATTTTTTTACGTTAAGTGTAGCAAGTAGGTTGTGTAGGTGTATGTTAATTTTCAGTTTGTATTATGGACGCTCTTCTCTTGGTAAATGTGGGTTTGATAACTGCCAGCTATGCAGATTATGCAAATTGGTGTAGCTATCTTTCTTGCAGGCTGATTCGTCTGTTCGTCACTTCACAGAACTCTGTTAAACAAGTTCGGGTTTTCATTATGCAACCTCAACATTGTGCGGCAAAAAGCTACACGCGGTGCGTAATCTCGAGTTACTAGACATAAACATTTGTTGAGTCTACAGGGCATTGAAATAACTTTTTAAGCCGATTCTAACCTTAGAAGCACGCCCTGAGGATACGGTGGAACACACAGTGGGGGAATGCCCTGCATGGGCTGAGCAGCGCCGTGCCCTCAGGAAATTGATCGGCGATGGCGACCTCTCGCATCCGGGCCTAGTGCATTGCAGGTCATGATGCGGAGCGAGGGGGATTGGGATGCCGTCTCCTCCTTTTGCGAAGCAGTTATGCTAGCTAAGGAGGAGGCGGGACACGTGAGGCAGCGAAGCGCTGTATCTCGCAACCCAGCCATCGCGAAGGTCACACCGGGCGTCGGGGATCGCGGGACAATCTCCGGCCACCGTAAGCGCGGGCCTGCGGACGGCGTGCATGGGTGGCTCACCGTCCGACTCAAAGAGCCAGCAGACCACCACGGAAGGGGCCCAACAGGGCTGATGCCGATTCGGAGTCGCGGAGAACCTAACGGGTTACCGGGGCTCCGGCTCGACGTACAGGAGAAAGAACGGGGTGGTTTTTAGTCAGTAAGAGTCTGACACTCCCTCCCGCCTCACCCAGGCGAGAGAAGTCATTCGATGATTTTCCCTCCTTAAAAAAAACCTTAGAAGCAACGAATCAGAAGTGAAAAGTGAATTAAAAAAAATAATAACTTTAACCAATTTCACCCTTTCACTCAAAAAATTAATATCTCCGGATCTTGTATAGTGAATTCACTAAATCGTACCTACCATTTTAGAATCTTCATTAAATAGATAGAGTTTTTTATACCAAAGCTGGATAAAAAAGCAGAAAATTTTTCGGTTAAAAAAAATCACATAAATTAAGTGGTCTGTACTCCAATAGTACTTAGATATTATTTTTTGAAAAATGTTAACAATTAGTCAGAGCGAACTCTAACAGTTGAAATTGGCAGAAAAAATGTAGGTACATATAAACCCAAAACGCAATAATTAGAGCTGGAAACTTAGGAGAATTCGATGATTTTCCCGTTTCTCCGATATTTTTGTAAGGCCATATACGTTTTGTTTTGCTTGACTAAAGAGTATCATGCTTGTATGATGATTCACTATTTCTGGGACACCCTGATTAAAATTTCTCTCAATATTTACAATTCGTGATTATTTATAAAGCATTGCAATTTTCAAAATAAAACGAATCGTGAAAAAAGATGACGTCAATAAAAACATGAATCGTTATTCTGTAACAGAGTACAACTTGGCACTCATAAAATCGCCGGTGAAAAGTGGGTATTATAATTATTGGATAGCTACCTAAATTACAATGTTTAGGAGCACTGAAGCACGGTCTCAGTAAAAAATGTGTTGAATAGGAGGCGCTACAGTAGCAATAGCATACAAGGGCGCGCATAACAGGTAGGTACATATTATATAACGGCATAACAGTGGCATAATAGGTATAATTTATTATTTCAAAAAGATGCCTAATATCTACATATAGAGGGTTATAGCAGTCATATTACAATAGCGCCATCTATTCATACAAAGTAATCAGGTGGAAAGATTTTTAGTTTGTTTCCTGTTCAAGATCGTAGGAACTTTATTTCTTCTCTATGGAGCAAATAAACACTGATTACGTTATTTCATATTTTTATTCAATAAAATCTTAAAAGCTAGAGTTAACAAGTTGGTCACTTGTTTATTTACAAATAGTTTCTTATTTACATTACTAAATATTTATTAGATATGTTACATTGTACTTTGATTTTTTATCGTATGAAAGTATGTATCTACTGTAAGGATATGTACTAAAGGATTGGTAGGCATGTATGGAGATACATGCCTACCAATCCTTGTTTAAGGTAGTGCGTGTGTTTAACTGTATGTAAATGAAGTAGATGGGTACGTATGAAGGTATGTATACGTATCCGTATCACAAGATTAAAATATTTTTGTGCCTACTAGACGTAATTTTATCAATATTGTGTAATGATGCCGCAATTGTGCGCCACTATCATAAAGTAGGTATGCAGATAGGTACGTATAGTAAGGTAGTACCTATGGTTGGTACCTACCTAGGATTATATTTTTCTATCTGATGCAGTGAGATTGTTAACGTGGCAAATATTTTTTCATTCGAATATTTTTTAATAATTTCTAAATAAAAATGATTTATTAGATACTAGAAATAAATAATAATCACTTACATCGAATACGACTTCTAATGGAATGACTTTGATCACAAAAGTTTTAGGAAACATACTAAATACTTATGCTAATATTTGTATAAATACGACAAACTCAAATGTCACATTGTTTAACTTTAACTAAGTAGATACATAGAAAACTTAATACTGGTTCTGATGGGTTTTACCATCTACGGTTTGCTTACTTCTACAAAGACAAAGTAATAAATTTACGCAGTAACTGAATAGAGTTCAAATTAAAAATTCTAGTAACAAGGAAGTCGCCTAAAGACAACGAGCGAAAGTAGCTACTTAAACATGTCGTAGTGTTGATAGTATAGTGTCGATATAAAACCTTTGGCAGTATAAGTAAAATCGAAGATAGTTTCGGTTAACAAAAATCCAGATATCGCTTCGCTCTCCAAGTGAACACAAAAGTGTGCCTCTTCATTATTATAGTAGGTCGACTGCAGTCCCGCCTCATTGTAAATTAATGATAATTATGATGGAATACCGTCTCGTTTCATTATCTTACTGTCTTGTTTATTCTTGATATCAAAGTATACTATTATAGAGTAGAAAGTAGGTGTATGTTCTTATTTTCTAAGTTGTTTTCAGACTAGTTGATAGCAGGTTTATCATCCGGTTGCTCGGAGTCCGAGTAACAAATGTCGCATCCAGTGACACCGCATTCACATAGAGATGTCGGACGAATGGAGTGACGGAATTTCTGAAAATTAAAGAAAAGTAGATCATTAGTATCGCTACGGCTCGCTGCAGCTAGTGTTTTAGTATTTATTGTAAATAATAATTACTGTTATTTTATAAGTAGACCGTATTATTTTACTGCTTAATAAACTATGCATGTAATAAATCAGCCATTTGTGTTTCATAATATACCTACTTGATGTCATGAATAATTTTTATATTTACTATTTATTTATTTCTATTTATTTAATTACGTAGGATACGTAGATGAGTACGTAGTTGTAGTTTCTTATTTTTATAAAATGTACTGATTTTGTTCAAGGTCTTCTATTTATCAAAATATTCTAACTGTGACTGTAAATAAGTAACTGAAATATTTAATATTTGTGTTTACGAACCTCTCTCCAATTATTTCCCGGAGACTTGACTACGACAAATACAGCGTATACTGGAATGCATAGAAGTGAGAGAGAAGCGATGATCCAACCGAGCGCCTGCGCCCACGTCGGATACTGGTACTGTCGGTAGCTTGGCGGAGTGTAGTCTACCAGACTGGCCACCCACAGCGCGAGAAGTAGCGCCGGTGTCGCAACCAGCCAACACACTCGGAAATATAGCGAAGGACGACGACCTGAAACGAACAATCAATATTTTAAAATATCATTATTTTTGGGTTTAATTGGTAAAGTCTGCATCTTGAAAATAATTATTTTTAAGTTATGTAGATACCAAAGTGTTTATTTTTAAGTTATGTAGATACCAAAGTGTACTACGAATGATTTAACGACAGGATTTCAGGTTTCTAAATGTAGAACACGTTTACGTATGAAATGTTAGGTGAGTGGCATCGAGGCTAATATCATTGCTTTGTGTCGTGTACGCCGTACACCACACTTACTCATAATAGGAAGGCTGACACATTAGATAATTTAGTTTAAAACATATCTGTTTGATTGTGGGAAATTGTAATATTTAGTAGATACCTAAAGAAAAATGGTTAGTCACCACTGTTATTCCGATTATGAAGTTTCAAAAATGATTATTATCTTATACAAATACAAACGGAAGTTGCATTGCGTTATAGGAAATAGCAGGACATCCCGTGTGACGTCACCATATAGGTATCTAGAAAGGTATTGTTCATTGCAGATATACCATGATACATACTAATTATTCATACTCAATACAATATTAATTTTTATATAGGAACACAAAATATAGTTTTTGCATGAATGGCAACTCAAAAAGTACATATAGGCCGGAATCGCAGCATGTGTCGATTTTTAGTTTCTGCTACCTTCAGTCATGGGGATGGGGTATGCGGCAAGGCATGAATGTATACCTTAGTCAGCTTAGGGCGTAAAATTAGAACTATTAGATTATTTAATTTATAGCCATAAACATAATAAATAGTATGTAATGTAATAAAGTAAGTATGTATAAATTGTTAAATGCCGTTAATTATTTCTACATCGGCAACGGTAAGTAGTATATGTGAAACTAACTAACATTAAAATCTGTATGGACGGTGTACGAAGAATACATGATATTCTATTCTATTTTATCATAAACATAATATATAAATTTCTTATGTACATACTATGTACCAACTTGTACACTGTTTTCAAAGATTCATTGTTTAGGCTAAGTACTGAAAATCATTTTATTCTGTAAAATACACGTACCCGTCATTTGTTTAATGTTTCTAGACAATCTGCCCACGCCGTAGAACCAAGCAATCCCCACCACTTCGAAGAAGGCTAGATATGTGATGCTGAGTGATGCGGCGTAGTAGTCCATCAGTTGGAACACATAAATGCCGCTGTGTATAATGTGTGGCAGCCCGAACACTAGCGACACTCCACACACACACAGCACTAACAACTCGTGGTACACGAGTCTTCTGCGTATCATGTCAGGGAACCCATCTTGAATTGACGTCACCACAACTTCAACGATTGCGAACTGAAATGTGTTAATTGTCATTTTATTTTAGCATGCGTTTAATTCTGGATGTAATACTTTTGTTCAATACTTTTATCAATATAGATATTCACCTGGCTGTTTAGTCCAAGACAAAGGAACATAAAGAAGAATAGCACTGCCCATAGTTGTGACGCGGGCATTTTTGCAATTGCTTGCGGATATACGACAAATAATAATCCAGGACCTGAAATAAAAATATAATAATTACATACAAAGGCCTGATAAATTAATTGATGAGGTGAATATGTATTGTATGATTAATGTATGATACTCACTGTCAGCGATGACATCTTTAACGGGAGTATTTTGTTCAAAGGCGATGTTTCCAATAGTGGCAAACGTGAAGATCCCCACGATGAGACTAGTGATTGCATTTATTAGTGAGACAGCCACAGTATCGTGGAGGAAATTATTATCGAATCGATTGTAAGAAGCGAACATTATCATCGATCCAAAAGCAACACCGATTGAGTTAAATATTTGTGAAGCTGCGTTAACCCATGGTCTTGACTGCTTTAATAGTTCCCATTCTGGCTTGAAGAAGAATCTCAGACCTTTATCAGCTCCGTCCAGTGTTAACGATCGTCCGAGGAAAACTATAATTAGCAGAAAGGGCAATGTGGTGGTGATATAGCGTACTTTGGCGGAAGATTTGATACTTTTCCACAGAGCGAAGTAAACTAGCACCCAAGCACAGACCAAGCAAGCCGCCAATTCCCACCGCATTCCATTTGGGTATTCTATACCGGCACTCATGCTCAGTACCTTTTTCCTGAAAATATACAATATCATTAGTATTTATTAAATCATTTTCATAATTTATTATAAATTATATCACCATAGTTATATGGTATATGTGCAACGCTGCCTATTATTATTATGTCACGTGCATTCATCATTTCATTTCAGGCACCATAATAACCATTAATTAATATGTGGTTTTTAATGGCACTGTACCTCTAATACACAAATAAACAATATTTTCAGCATTACAATACAATATAAAAGATAATCGGTTAAACAATGATAACGTATTTTTCCAAAAAATATATCACTTGCTAAATGTTGGTGTTCACCAATAATCACCGGTAATTACGAATGCTAACCACATTTATCATTCAGACCGTACCACATGACTTGATCTTTGATAAATATTTATTACTTATCAATAACTATTGAGGTTCGGAGTAAGCAATCTTTAATGGCGCTATTGACGGACGACGACGAGACAAAGGTTGACGTAGATTACTAGGTGCGCTTAAGCATTATTTATATCCGGATCCTGAAGTAATCATATATTATGTATTGTGTTGTAGTACCTATTCAAGACCTCGTCACGTCGTTTCAAACTTACGTCCAATATTTTTTTAAGTGAGTATAGATAGTGAAACGAGTAATCAGATCCACGTGAATTGTTTACGGCATAATCCAATATTAATTGCAAGTGCTTCATCTTGATTAAGTAGTAGAAATATAATGTGATTGCATGAAAGGATTAAAATCTATGAACGTGACGTATAGATATGGAATAATAATATTGTAGATAGTACAAATTGTGAGTAGGACACTCACTTGCACATATGTAATATCAGATCTTCACATAATATCAGCACATGGACTGTATAACCAGGTCTTTGGTCAGCAGTAGGCACTTAAAGAATGATGATGATGATGATAATAATTTAAACTCACTCGAAGAACTGTTCGGTGGGCGTCTGGGAGCCATTGGGTTTAGTCATGTTGTGATTGGGCACCCAGCACTGCGGCGTGTTCCATCGGTTCGAACAGCTCGCCCACGGGACCTCTGTCTTGAACGACGTGAAAAAGTAATAGATAGCCCACGCTATAATCACCGCGTAGTACGTGGACATTAGAAATGAGATCACTACGCTTGCTAAGCCCGCACCTGAAAATTGCCAAATATGACATAGTGTAACTAGTTTTTTAATAGATTTTTAAAATAGCAAGATAATTTAGCTTTCTTAGCTCACCTTTGAAGAGAGGGCAAATTTGTGACAAGGCACCAATGGGACCGTGAGCCGTGTACTGGCCCACGGCCAATTCCATGAAAAGCATTGGCACACCGCATACTAAGAGTATTATAAAATAAGGTATAAGGAACGCTCCTGAAACAAAAAGTATTATTATAATATGGGCAGCAGTGTTAAATTTATTTTACTGAAATAATAAATGCAGAGAACCCTTGCTGTTATAACTCTTCATCAAATGATAGGTGGTTGATGTCTATGTATGTTACATATGTACTGTACAAGTGTAAGTGTGAATGACCGACTTATTGCCGGCGAGGCGGACGAATCGAGGTGAATATACATAATATTGCGAGATAGGGGACCGAGACGAATGGGCCTTGGACCTCTTTGAATTGTTAAGAATTTCCTAAGTCGGACTATGTACTTATATCATGTTTGTTGATTTGAAGAATACTACAAGCACTTTAAGGGCGTAGAGCCAATATAGATTTTTTTATAATTATAATTCTATTTTTTTTATGAAACATGAAGCTTATGCACCGTTTAACAGTTTCCCACGTCAGAGAATGGATGTGGAAAGTTATTTTTGTAATGTCGCATTCATTAGTATCCTTAGACCTCACGTAAGAACAGTGCGAAGCATGTGGGCCGCATGTGGTTGTAGAGGCACCAGCTAAAGAAAGAATTTAAGTGGAATGTTTGAACTAAAATTAGTCATCGTAATGATAAGTGGGTCACTTATAAAGTTAGGATTAAAACCTTGTCATATTTGGATCGTACGGTCGTCTAGTGGTCAATTCTAGCGTAGTCAGTTTTATCCTTGATAGCAATGAGTTGACCTACAGGAACTGTCGTAATTAGTCTAGTCATTTGCTCATCCGATTATATAGGCGCAGGTAGGTACAGTCATTATGCTGCGATGAGTTTAAAGTACCTAAACAGTTTTAATTCATGTGTACAAGGTACAAATATTATCGTTTTAGTTCTGGCGAAGCGAATACGAGGTAAGGAGGATCATCTATTTCCTTAATAAGATTTCAGTATAAGGATATCGGTTAGCAAGTTGTTAGCAGGCATGTTCTTACTGACTCTATTGTTTTAGAGGTCGAGTATGTTGGAATTTAGTTCAAATACTTATGTAGAATAAAAGAGATACCTACTTTTTGCAGAAAACTATTGAAATGAATACCATTGTTAGTTGAAGCACAAAACGTATTTCATGTCTATATTTAAATGTCTTGCAGAGCGTTTAGGTCACCGCACTTGTAATTCTACTATACCTATCTGGTGCGATACTTACATTTAAACAAATAAGCATATACATATTTGTTCCCACGTCGTATTTATTTAGTTTAGTTGACTATTTTTTGTTATCGCCTTCTAAGAAAGTATATTTAGTCATTCTGGTTTAATGTTTACATGTCTGTACCCGGTTGTAGGTAATATAGAAATATCAACATACCTAGGTATAGGCATATATTTAGTTGCGTAAACATATCTAGCATGTAAATAATTATGACGGCAGCCATTATTATATTTAACAACGTGAAATGATTTATAAAATAATAAAGCTACTGATCTATCATTATTCAGCAACGGATTTTCCTAGATTGGCATGATGACGAGACGTCAAATTTAACTCCGTCTATTGTGTAAATAAAAACCAAATACCATTTAACGAAGCTTCACTTAAAAATTACGGTTTTTATAAGAAAAATCACCGAAGCCACCAGGAAATATTATTTTACACGTGTAAAGTTGAATTTTAAGAAATTTCGTGCATTGTGCACAATTTATCAATCGAAACAATGTGACACATTGTGACGTGTGTAGTCCACGTATCTAATACTTTAATGCAAAACTTTTCAATGTATAATCAAATCCATGTCGTTTAAATATCTGCAGTGATTTCTATATATATCGGGCAATAAATCATTTGATATCTCGTAAATACGTCTAGGCGGTGTCAAGTGTTAGTTTACCGTAGGCATCAGCTGTAATTCACACCTTATTGTAGTGTTGTTGGATCGTGTTGGTGCCTCGGCGTCAACCAGCTTGTTAGCGCGCCGCGACACAAACACACAAACATCTTGGACACGATCTCGCACTCGTGTGTACATTATATATTTTACCTTGGTGACTAACTTTTCCTGTTATTTGACAAAATTATTTTATGACCCATGTAAGGCGTTTTCGTTTTATTATGGTTAAATAACAATAGTGCAAGAGCAAATATGAAACGTATTTGTCATTTACGTAGTTACACACAATATAAATGATAGGAATCGGTTCCAGTAATGGCTTTATAGTCCCTGTATATAACTAAATAGATATTATTTATTTGTGAGTGAATAATAGGCCAGGTGTTATATATCTAATTGAAATAACTATGACGTACCAAGATATGATGCGTTAGTTAAATGATATCTAGATATCATTAACTATGTTTCGTATCAAAAGTCCACACACATTATTGAAAAATAATTGTGTTGCTATTATTTAAATGTTTCTTTGATTTAAAATCGATCCATTCAAGTCAATATTACACAGTTCTGTGTTAGTAATATTTATGATCACGTATAGAATCGTCATCGTAAACTCGATAAGAGTTAAATAGTTATATAATTATTAACACGTGATAAAAACATAATCGATGTCCTCACGGCCACTGAATTGTATCCACAATTCCACATTAAACGTAATATCGTGCTTCGATCATTTTCAAGTGTAAAGTGCCGGCTTAATGCAATGTCACGCTGGACACGATCGTCTTTTTGTCGCCTTAATGAGTTAATTTGCGCGGCGACGATCTGTTATTAGCTCAATTACTGTGAAAATATGCTCGTACAAAATAAAATGATACGACCAAATAAGTTTGTCCTATCTTTCCGGCGATGAATTCCTAATCTTAACTTTGTAATCGAGTGGGTGTGACCTATTGTTAGTCATTAAGTATGTCCGTTGTACACGCACCTGCATCAATACAACGTTACTGTTAATTTTTAAATTCAATAGCTTCCGCAATTTTATTTACTAATAAAAATGACATAATTTAGGCATATTACTTTCTACAACAGCTTAGTGTTTATTTTGTAGTTGTGATAATAATAATAATATAATCTCTTTACGTAACAAGATATAAAATTGATAGTTAATTGGTAGGTATATGAACGAAACGATTTATGAGTGATAGTGAACTTTTTTATGATATAGGTAATATTCCATACGGACAGTGTCAGGTCTTGCTTTTTGGAAAAATTGTGAAAATATCAGTTATGAAGGATATGATATAGAAGTAGAGTCGGAAGGTACATGACGTTTCGTAGATGTAAAGTATATATTGACTACGAATTGCACCCGTGGACTACACGTCAGCTACGCAGAGTCTACATATTGGCTACGCAGGGTCTACGTATTGGCTACGCAGGATCTACGTATTGGCTACGCAGGGTCTATGTATTGGCTACGTATTGGTTATGTGTCGACTACGCAATGACTACGTCGTGATTGTGTATTATCCAATATGAACCAATTGTTGTACTAGAAACGGGTGCATCTATATTGATAAGGCGCGTTTTTATTGACGATTGATGATTTTAGTCTTAAATTAGTATTAAATTTAATATTTTTGAAAACAAAAATACTCGTAGTAGTTTCATCCATAGATATTATTGAAGGCTGGTGTAGTACAAATATATCATTATAATGATTATAATTTACCTCCTCCGCTTTTGTAGCACAGGTAAGGGAACCTCCACACATTGCCGAGACCAACAGAGTAGCCAACGCACGCCAATACAAATTGTATTTTGTTGGCCCAGAATGGTCGGCGGGGTTTTAGGTGGGCTGTAGTGTCCTCTTCTTCCTCTTCGCAGTCACTCTCATGTGAAGCTGTATCTTCGTCGGGGGGCCTGTAAAAACAAATATTTAATAGTTTTAAATCAATCAACATTTACAGACAACACGATCCGCATAAAAGTGGAAAGATCATGAATATTTTTGGAATGGTAAATAAGATAAAGCTCTTTATGGTGGCATGTAGACGTAGACCATCATCTTAGAAATACTAAAATATATAATAAAAATCTGCAAATAATTGTAACTGTATAAAAGAGATTCAACATGTCTCAGATAATTTATGTAGATTAGGTGTGTGTAAGTTTTAAATGAAATGACATGTTTGCACACCCAATGAAATACCAAACAGACGTAGATAACAAAGTTTACAAATGAAGGAAACGATGTCTGTTTAATACTCTTTCTTGTTACTTTTATTCAAGGTAGTCAAGGTCGTTCCTTTCGTAATTTTATTTAAGGAATATTAGGTCCTATGGTAAACACGAGCCACGCAGCGCCGTACTTGATAAACCGACTTGTTTGGATTAATGATGAATGATCTACAATGTCGGTAGATTAGTGTGACGCTGTGACGTCACACAGCTCAATGGCTTTACCTTCTTTACTAATACTGAGTAAACGTAGGTTTATAATTTCGGAGACAACATTTTAAATTGTTAGTCTCTCCTTACTATGATATTTTCAAGAAAGTAATGCTTAGGTTTTATATGACAGAAAAAAAATGTGCAACATGACTGCGCATAACCTTTCATTATATTAGTCATTATAGATATTCTGTTCACATCGAAGGCATTTCTAAATGAATACCCTACGATTGCGGTTTAGAAATGGGATATAAAACTAATTTATGAGAGAGAGGTATTAATAATATATGTACATATACCAACTTGTTCACGTACTTCTTACATAGATAAATGTAACTTTAAACTATTTACACTTAATAATACATAAGTACTTGTGTAGTCCTTTAGAAAACGTATTTGTAAAAACTTGGTTGATGATTACGAAATTAATTGTGACTGTTTTCGATAATATTGAATTGAATTGCCGATAATTATTTTCATTCTGACTTGATAATAACATTTTGTCCTCTAAGAAATGGTAAGTGGCTGTTCTAGTTGCAAGCAGTTACGCGTACCTAGGTACGCGTACTATAAGTCAAATAATAGTATTTGGAAGCAATATTTATCTTTGTAGCTGTGTATAGCTATCAAACTAGGTATCTAGGTGGTTTTGCTAAGTAGGTTACAGTAATCATGTATATTCCTATTGGCACTTGGCACCCACTAAGCACGGTCATATTAAAAAAACAGTGTTCAAAATTTATATTTCCGATATTTAAAATGGAAATTTAAATATAACTTAATTGCCTCAATTTAAAAAATACAAATATCGATGTACTTGTAAAAAGTAATTAATTGATTTATTTATAGATCTTAAGTTATCTGAAAAGACATTTCCAGCTACTGATCTCTTTTTGGGACATGGTCATGGTTGAACACTTTTAGACGGTTGAACCCCCGTAATTTTCAAGAACAATTTAAAGAAATAATCCCTGGCTGTCAACGCGTAAGTAGGCAAACGTATTTTAAAATCATTATCAAGTAGGCAGTGATAAGACGAAGCGGCGCGGGCGCACGATCAATCGTTGTATCCACGTCGTATGCGAGATATGTGTGTGTGGAAAGATATGAGCATTGCAGTGTTATCGGCTCATGGCGTGAAGGTCAAGCGACCAAAACTCCATATAAACATAAGCCTGTTGGGATTTTGGGATTGTCTCAAGTAGTTCATGTCATAGTTTAATCGGACTCAAATCCTTCGTCTGTCAGTGAAAGTGCTGCACGTCGGCTGCACTTGTGTTTCATGACATTCACACGGTAGTTGCAGTTTTATCTTGCAGTTTATAGTTTAGTAACATGATCAATATTGTTAAGTTGATTTGTAATAACATCCGACATGCAATTATGCATTTAAGACGTCATGGGAACCAGTTTTGTTTTTCTTAATGAGAGGCAATTCTTAGTATCGTAAGTGTAAATCTTGCACCTACGGATTTATGAGGAAATAGGAAACCTATTGAATATTAATATATGGTTTGGTTTGAATTTTATATCCAACAGTATATGTACAAGTACACCAGCGTGACATCATCAGATAGGTCTGACAAACAAAGCAACCTTTGTCATTTTATCATTGCGTTCGAAACCTGTGAAATAAATGGTCATTACCTGTTTTTAAAGCAATGAGAGGAGATACGCTCGAAAAATGCGTTTCCTTGCTGAACTCTGTTATTGTAATCAAAGTTTATGTACCTACAATACCGCCCATTGAAACAGCATTTGGACAAACCATACTATGTGTATTAAGTAACAATATAATTATAATCTTAATTTATTATAAGTCATCTCGTATATCCTTTAAAAATGAGAGAATAATTATTATATCAGTCATATACATCTATTATTCTCAAAGGGAGTAATCGTAAGTTTATAAGCTTGTGTTGCCATCCAGTTTCATAGTTATACTATTAGTCGTACACAAATATTATTTTCCATATTTCATCAATGTTCTGTACTCTAATATTATAAAGATGTCTCCTATGTTTTTGGGGTTTGTATTGTAAAATATCATATTATTATTATACATATGTATAATACATATATATAACAATATACTAACTATCGTATTTACAACTACTAGAGTAGCTAAATCTAACAAAGAATTTTAAAGAATATAGCTTTGCTAAAACAATATTTTTAGGGAAATATAAAACCTTTGTAGGACTAATAATAAAATTAAAATTTTATTTTACTAAAGTAAATAATAGAAAGGAAACAATGTATCACTTTATATACTAAACCAGGCAATGCCCTTCTACGATTTCAATCTACGACAGCCGTGAAGCACTGACCATTTAGAATCAAACAAAGACTGTTTAATTCTTAACAGAATTTTAATTCCAATTTTCTTAACAGAATCAAACAAAACAGAGTAAAACTAACGCTTATGGCCGAAATTAATAACCGATTTCGATGCTACATCTGTGGATCGATCTAATTTTTTGACAGAAATTCCTAACAAACAACTAATTTCTCTTTGCATTCGCTGAAGCGTCTCCAGTCTCTTCTACCTCTGAAAACGAGGATCAACCTTATGCAGTCTCTGATCCGTCCATTGATCGACTACGCTGATGCTTGCTATTTGGATGCCACGGAGGAGCTTCTAAATAAACTTGAGCGCTTGCAAAATGTCTGTATACGCTTTGCCTTTGGTTTAAAAAAGTACGATCATATCTCTGAATTTCGCAAAAGACTCAAGTGGCTCCCAATCCGACTTCACAGGAACACTCGCATCTTATGTCTTCTTTTCAACATACTTTTTAATCCCGATTATCCCTCTTACCTTCGTGAACGTTTTTCCTTTGCCCGCCCTCCTGAGGCTCTTTCCCGATCTCATCTTAAATCTAATCTTTCTGTTGTCTCACACAATACTGATTTTTACACCTATTCCTTCACTGTTCATGCAGTGCGACTTTGGAATTCCCTACCACCTAATATCCGTGATTCTAAATCCATCCCAATCTTTAAAAGACTCGTAAGGGAGCACTACCTTTCCTCATCTTGTTCAAATTAGTGTCATATATATATATATGTATAATATGTTTATTTGTAATATACTCTAATATGTGTATTATTTGATGTGTATCTATCATATGTATGTATAGGTCTATGTATTTTATTGTGATCTATTTATTTAACACATTTCATGTCATGTTACGCACAGTGTCTCTTTTTTTTACCGTTTTTCCTGTCGAAGGACTGCAGGAAGAGATTCCTTCGGGAATATGTAGTTCCTATGTACCTCCAAAATATTTATATATGTTCTCCTGTGTACTGTCTGTGTGTTGTGCATAAATAGATAAATAAATAAATAAATAATGTTATATATCGATCTTAATCAAAAATTCCCTTTTTTATGGGATAAGTATGGACGCCCATGGACACCTGGAACACCAGAGGCGTTACAAGTGCGTTACCGTTACCTTTTGAGGATTAGGAGTTTGAGGATCGTAGGGGATTCAGGAATTGGGGAGATTGGGGAAGGGGAGGGTAATTGGGCTTCCGGTAACCTCACTCACACGACGAAACACAACACAAGCGTTGCTTCTCGTCGGTTTTCTGTGAGGCGGTGGTATCACTCCAGTCGAGCCGGCCCATTCGTGCCGAAGCATGGCTCTCCTACACTTTCGAAATTGTTGGATTAGGAGTTTGAGGATTTTTAGTTAAGTTTGGATTGGATGAGGATTTTAGTTAGGTTTCTGTGAGACCGTGGTATCACTCCGGTCGAGCTGGCCTATTCGTGCCGAATTATTATTGGTTTTGGCCGATAACTGATATACATATAATACATAATATTTTGTCACACTTCGTGTGGACTAACGAAAACTTAAATAGTATAAAATTTGAAAGGCGAATAATGGGCGTTAATACGATCTAGGTGATACAGTAGCTAATAATGCAACCATTGAATAATCGTCTAACGGCTGAAATTAATTACCCATATCAATTCTAAATCTACGGATGTGAATCGATTTTTAAAACTAGTTATTATATGGAGTTTTCCTAAAAATCGATCGAAACGCACAAATTTTGGACGAAATATTTGTATTATTTTTTTTTGTTTTACACACTGTGTCCCGTTTCTGATTATGTTTTCTGTCGCAGATCTGCTAGAAGGTATTTTAATTTATATCAGGTATAAACAGTAGTTATGTACCTGATATCAATTATAAATTAACGAAAAATAATGCGTTAGGTATATTATAAATGGGCTAAAATGGGTCAGTCGGTTTATCATCTAGTTAGACAGATTATAATCTAATGATGTAAGTATCTATACAATTTTACAATAACATAACATGCATAATCTAGATAGATATTAAATAGCACTTTCCATTTTTATTATTATTTTCAATAGGTACTAAGAATGATACATAGATGTTATTAAAGGATTGGCTAACACCTAAACGTTCTGTAAGATACCAAGTCTTAAAATGCTAACAAGCACACAGCGTACTTACAGCGGTAACTATTACTTAATTATTCGTAAAATGGCGGCATCTCTTCATACTGAGTATATTGGTAGCTAAAAAATGAAAATACCTAGTCCATTGTGATACAATATCAATTGATAAATAGGTACTTAGAACTAAATACCGCTTCACGTCCACTACTTAATCGTATGCAACTTAACATTCATGTGACGTTGAATCACTCTTTTTCATTTGAAATGAAGATTTGCGTGGTTTTCTACGAGTATTGCCTTCTCTAGTCTTTGTTATTGGAAAGGGTGATGTGATGTCCTAGTGCAACTTGAAAATAGTAGAAAATTAATCGTCGAACAAACTGCGTGAGTGCAGTTTGACGCATAAAGCAACTACTCTAGTAGTTGTAAATACGATAGTTAGTTATATTGTTATACATATGTATAATAATAATATGATATTTTACAATACAAACCCCAAAAACATAGGAGACAACTTTATAATATTTTTTTTTTGTTACAATATCTTGAGTACAGAACATTGATGAAATATGGAAAATAATATTTGTGTACGACTAATAGTATAACTATGAAACTGGATGGCTATTATACTACAACCTAAAAACATTGTTTAGCAAAGCTAATAATTCTTTGTTAGATTTAACTTAGTACTAAGGATAGAGGATTCCGCAGGATGTTAGTTTTTACGAGATCGTTCTCTTAGGACGAGAACAATGTGTTTTTACTTATTTTTTGGATTTAGAGACAAGTTTATTCTATGTATATTAGGTTTATTTTTACAAAAAATAAGTGAATACAACTTTGCTCGACACTTGAATCTGACATATATAGGTGCATATGAAACTTATATCCTATCGTAAATACCTAGGTAGGTAAAAGGTAGGTAGTCTAAACATCGGAAATGTCTTGTTCTTATAAGCTAGGTACTAACTAACTGGGCAGTGCTTTCAAATTAGTCATAAAATACAGTTATTACCTATTTAATTATTTGCAATTGTATTGAATGTCGAATGGGTACAATCAACTGAAGTAGTAACAAAATACCTAATCAATAATTACTTTTATTATTGTTACGATTTTTTACCTTACGAAATTTAAACCCTATTTTTTAATGGGACATGATTAAAGAAATTTGAATTGCCACTTACACTCAAATACTCAAACGTTATCCAATTTTAAATCGGGCTTAAGTATAGTTCTCTCACTACAAATTCTGTGTAAAATGACAGAGACGGCACGATATTTAACTACAACTTCCAATGGAGAGGCCTTTCAGTATTCGGGCGTTAGTCACTAATATTACTATGTCTTTAAAATGCAACGAAAACCTATTTAAGTAAACTTATGTTTACCAGTCGACCTTGAAAAATGTCTGGGTCTAAAGTTTTTTACAATAAGTACAGTAGGTATTTCATTCCTATATTACTTATTATTTTCTATTAACTATAATGACGTGAAAATATTGGTAGGTAATTGTAAAATAATTAGGCCGAATATATATTTTAATTTACCTAATTTAAACTTACTGATGGAAATGAGTGTAGTTGTGAAGATTTTGAGATTCCAAAGTCAATTATCGTACGTAGGTACGTAATTAAATAATAGGGGTACAATATACATATAATTATGCAAAATAACTCAAATTCCGGAATTTAATGCTTAAGTATAGTTATATACAGTATGTAACCCGTCTGACACTTGACATTGAAGATTTCGTATCAATCAGATAAGCTATTTTTAGAAACAATCAAACAATATTACTGTTTACATAGCTATGATAATGTTTTAAATGGGCCTATCATTGTGATACAAGCATACAGGCCTTTTTCTGCTATAACTTGTTAAGGCATAATTTACGCTACCAGAGTACCTACATGTTACAAGAAGCGGAAATCTTTAATATGGGTAGGTACAGAGCACTGTGAATGTTCTATCAGTCATTTATGATCAGTAATTGGATAAATTTGTTTTACAACTGGTAAGTAAAATAGAAAATACTTATTTGTAGAAATCTATATCCAGTTAATCGTACAAACTATTAACTAAAATAAAGTTTAAAAATATTTATTGAAATTCATCGAAAGCGTGATTCAATTTGGCGTCGTTTTTATCTATAGAACTTCGTATGGTAAAAGGATTTACCTCTAGTATAGGTACTTAGGTACATACTATAAAGTACAATTTCGAGGAAATAATTGTATTGTAAGACATAATAAAATCTTTATCAAAACCCAACCTCATGCTTGGAAAAAAAACTGTGAATCATCATTGATTCAGATAAATTAAATTTTTTACCACTTAGGTAAGTAGATACCTATTTACCTATAGTGTAATGAAATCATATAAATAGATATACGATATTTGACATTCAAATTTAAGCGAGTGAGTGTTATTGTTGATTATGTTCTAATCTAAGTAAACGAAGGTAAAACTTTGTCAAATATGATTTAATAGGCAGGTAACTATTAATTTGTAAATATTGCACATATAAAACTTTGTCGATCTTTATTTAGTGACTGTTTATTTAACAGTAAATTTTATTTTTCTTATTCATATAACAGTAATCCGTATATAATTAATATTTAATTTATTGCCATGTGTTACTTTATTTTACTGTATATATTATTTAATACCTTTATAGTATTTATAAATAAACAACATTATTTGTTGTTGTTTGCCGTAGAAGACAAGACACTGCAAAAAAGAATTAACTTTTAATTTTATTTATGAAATACAATTGTTACAGTTACTTATATACGGACTATATAGCTATACAAAGCTAGTTAATTAAGTCCTTATAGTATCACTGTTTTATTTGCGATTTATACATAATATTTTGATATTGTCACATTGATTACAGCCGTCCTTTAGAAAGTTTAGGCAATTTATTTATCTTCAATCACTTGATATATGTACCTGATTGTACCTACGTAAACGCTGATCTATGGTAAATATATAGATATTACGTAGCTATATTTTATTGTAATGCGTTTATCCATAATGTTTTAGGACTAACTATTTCATACCATAATATAAATAAAAATAAACAAGAATTTTCGCCCACAAAACCAGATCTTATCAGTACTCCATATTTTTTATTTTGTAAATAAAAAATATTACTTTTGGCGCTACTATATATTAAGCAACAATCGTTAAGATCTTATATTCATTGATAACTATCTGATATAAACGTATAACTAAAAATAATTGCTTATATATTGAAATAAGCTTGACATGTGACTGTTATTTAACGTGTTGGTTCTGAATCAAATCTATAATAAGTAGCTATGTATATCACAGTGTAGTTGCAAACAATCTAGTATGCTATTGATATTCAATACTATAGTAAGTCCATTAGATATGGTGGGAGCACTTTGTATGTATTTATTTATAAAGTTAGGTTATAATGTAAACCTACAAACTATAAGCAACAGCGTACCTACGTTATTACAGAACAGAATGCATAGAGGATGGGGAGATGCGTAATTGATAGAAGTCAATTGAATAATGGCAAGCTAGAGGATGTATCATTCGCAGAGGTACTCACGTAGGAGGACGAACTAGATGAAACAATTCTGTGGGCGATGTTGGTACCCGTCTTATGACCATTTTGCGGCCATCCGTACATCCCATGCCAATAGAGGCCAGGGACCTGACGGACGGAGCATAGTTGTTGGTGCCACTGTCAGATCCTTCAGGATAAGTGGCTACTTGTTCGTAAGGCCGCAGACACCGCGCGGATGCTGCACCCGAAGCTGTTGTTACATCACGAATTCTGTGTGTATCACTAAAGCTCTTCACTTTGCGCATTTGCCCAGAGGGCGTTATCATCGGCGCTGGAGCGTGTAGGTCGAGGAGTTTTGAGTTCTCCATGTCTTGGTTATCATATTGTTCCACGTGGATCGCCACGCTGGGCGCGGCGGCTTCCGACGAATTTTCGATTTTACTCATACTATCACGTCACAGGGTCATGACGCGGTGACTACCGTCGCGTGCGTCGCTGGCGACGCGCGACTGTGAATAATGACCGATCGCGAGAGCGAGCGAGGTCGGCTGAGCTGGCGGACCGACTGCTCTGACTGGTTCGTCAATCGCAGCAAGGCAATTGGTAAACAAAGTGCGACACTAGCATCATGTGGTGGGAGTATATCACAAAGAGGGGGGAGAGCTGCGCATGCGCCGTGGCGGCCATGAGACATTGCGCTGCGCTTGCGTTTATGTCAGGGCTAGGCCTTAAAATTTAGTTTATTTATTATTATAACAAAAGTGTTAATGCTATAATTTTTAATTAATAGATATTTAACCGTAAAGTTCTAAGTATTAGGTGTTAATGCCAAACAACAGAAACCAAATGTTTCTGTAACAAAAAGACGATTAATGACGACGACGAAATTAAGTGTGGGAGAGCCATGCTTCGGCACGAATGGGCCGGCTCGACCGGAGTGATACCACGGCCTCACAGAAAACCGACGTGAAGCAACGCTTGCATTGTGTTTCGTCGCGTGAGTGAGGTTACCGGAGGCCCAATTTCCCTCCCCTTCCCCAATCTCCCCAATCCCTGAATCCCCAACAATCCTCAAACTCCTAATCCACAAATAGCCGGTAACGCACTTGTAACGCCTCTGGTGTTCCAGGTGTCCATGGGCGACGCCGATTGCTTTCCATCAGGTGATCCGTCTGCTCGTTTACCGGCTTATGCCATAAAAAAAAAATTAAAAAAAAAAAGATTAGTTTGCAATCCAAAAAAATATTGGATTTTAGATTGAGTCTTGATAAATTGATTATAACAAAACTAACTTATTTGAATTCGAAACGTTTTTGTAAGGCTACGAATGCTAGGGGTAGTAGAAATTACAAATTGGACAAAACGGTAGCTTAAACATGACGTGATATGATCCGACATAAAGAAATTCACAAAAGTTCCGGATCTCGATATAACTCTTAAATTTATAATACATAGTCCCAATGGACCGACCATATTACTATATATTACATATTACCCATACATGGTCAAAATTGGTCGCTTTTCGTTGTTGCTCGGCTAGCTAGGTCCAAAGATGAAGTATGAATGTTCTGAACTTCCGTTGACCGACTACTTCCTTAGAATCGTGGGTCTATTTAATACAAGCGACAGATTGCTGTTGGCTTCGTTGCTTGCAAATTGTTAAAATATGCATTGCACAAATAAAAGACTGAAATGTTTATTAAATAGGGCTAATAAGTTTGTAATATGAATTAAATAACTATAAAAAAAACCAGAAATGTACACCCTAAACATCTTTGACGCACCAAAAATATGCACAACAAAGATTTTCGAGAGCAAAATTATAAACTTTGGCCCCATTTCTCCTTGTAGTGATATTTTTATAAACACTTTCGGTTCTTTTTCGTTTTTTTAGAGTTACCGCGGGTGTCCTTTTGAATTTAACACTAATCTTTATATATAAAACTGAAAAACACCGGGTGACTACTGTTAACCATTGAGGAGTTCCGTTAGCTATCACACTATTTTATCATTGTACCTTTAATGACCATCACCCCCCATCTAGGTGTAAAGTCCTCATCAATACAAATTATCAAACCCAAACACAAGGTAGCTACTGGTAACCGCCGAGGAGTTCCCTCAACTGTCGTACTACTTCATCATCAGACCCTTAAACTGTCAAACATCAAGCGGTCACCGGTGACCGCAACCTATTGTTCTATAATTGTGTCTATAATGACGGTACTCGACGAGTTAATGACAATCACATCCCATCTAGGTGTAAAGTCCTAATCAATACAAATTATTACACCCAAACACAAGGTAGCTACTGGTAACCGGTGGGCGGTGAGGAGTTCCCTCAACTATCATACTACTTCATCATCAGACCCTTATGGACAATTACACCGCATCTAGATGTAAAGTTCTCATCAATACAAATTAATCGAACCCAAACACTGTTAACCGTTGAAGAGTTCCCTCGACTGGCTCTCGGCTCCATCATCAGATCGACTCCAGACCTTTATCAAATTGTAGTAGTTTTTAATACATAATGAAAAAAACAACAAATGCACTAATCGCCCCTATAATTTTTAACAGTTCCACTCGGTTTCCCTGGTCTTCCATCATCAGATTCTGATTTTCTTTGAACCATTTCTTTTTCGTGGAACCATTCTGGGACTATCCCCTTTCCAACAAAAAAAGAATTATTAAAATCTGTTCATAAATAACGGAGATATCGGCGAACAAACATAAAATATACGGTCAATTCGACCGCATATATACGGTCGAATTATGAATCTCCTCCTTTTTTTGAAGTCGATAAAAAAATTCAAAATTTGCTAGAAGTCATTATTATACGCGGACGAAGTCGTGGGGAACAGCTAGTAGTTAAATATTTTAATAACTGCTCATTTCCGCCTATCCCTTTGTTTGACAAAAATGTTGAAAATGATCTGTTTTATAACCCCATACGATATTATGGTATAATAACAAATCACTCTTTATAATTAAACGAGATCCCAGAGACGGATTAAACCCAAAGAGCGCCCTAGACAAGAATCTCTAAGGACCGCTCATTTTTTTGGCGCCACCGGCCGCCACTGTCCCCTCTATATAACATGTGCCTTAGGCCCATGCCTAATTTGCCTTAGGATAACACTGATCTGCAAGCGTGCGTGTATAGTTATTGTGAACTGTAAAAGCACTTATAGACCGTCGCAGACTATGTGCAAAAATGTATAAAATTGAGAGTACCTACAGATAAATAAATTGAGGGCTTCAACATTTGTAATCGAAGTGTAATTTGTAGTTTACAGTTCAAAGCGTATTAGAATTAGTTATTTACTACTTGATAGGAGCAATAGGTATGACCCATTCAATAATGCAAGTATCCCAGATTTTCGTTAATAAATGAAACTGACTGATGAAGTATTTTATTAACCGACTTCAAAAAAAGAAGTTCAAGTTCTATGTTTGATCTGTACAATGTATCTATGTTTGTACATACATGCATATATATACATGTATTATATACATACATACATTCATATGATTATCTCTCGATTAGTTAAACCGATTTTGATGCGGTTTTCGGAAAAGTGTTTGTTACACTTAGGATAAGGTTAGGTTAGGTTTAATAAACCGACTTTAAAAAAAGAAGCAGTTGAAGTCGGTATTTTTTAAACGTAGTATAAAATAATTATTTATAGTTTTTGTTAACTTCAGTGCATTTTTGAATCAATTAAAAAAAAGTATATGCAATACTACTCTATTTTAGGTATAAATCAATAATAATACAAAAATACTTGCACATAATATTTATAAAGCTTTTATATTTTCTATCGGATTTTGGCGAGAAATGTCTTTGTAGTATCTGTAGGAAAAATGCAAATAAAAAGAGATAGTTACAGAATGGGCACTATCACAATGTATCTTAACGAAACATAAATAAATAAGAAGGAATGATCAAGGCTTATACTTATAGCAAACGGTCAATGATGAAGGTCAGAAAGTAATAGTAAATTTTCCAGACTTACCAAATAGGTTCATATTTCTTCTTCTCCATGGCTTGGAAAGTTTTGGACATAATTATTAGCACTTGTTATGCAACCAGATACAGATTTATTTTCAGCCCACCGATCAACGGCCACGGTAAACGCTAAATGATGTCGCATCTCAAATAGTAGACCGTGCCCCTCTACGACGCTAATTTATATTTCATGCCTTACTGATTAACACTTTAATCTCTTTACACGTTAATTGCCACTAATTCATATCAACTAAGTAAACGTTTTCCGTAGCTTTTTACTATTAGTTTATACCTAGCACCTAATTATGTGTGACAACTTTATTATCCCCAAATATTATTTAACTCTCAGTGTCAGATGTTCTGTAAACTCAATAAGTATATAGGCGTGACGTAGTATTTTTGTTGTTATATTGAAGGAAGGAATAGTTTCTTAGAAACACTTAGCTTTAGCTAGCTGTTTAGTGCTGTAGCCCTTGAAAAAGTGAAATACTAATATACATACATACATCCACACAGACGTCCTCACAAACTTTCCATACACATAATATAACTATCTGTGGCCCGCGACTTCAGCCGCGTAAAATATAAATTAGAACAAAACTTTTTATTGTTTCAATTATCCAAAATGTCGCTTATGTTACTCCTTAGTACATCAGCTGCCTTCTAATTTAAGTCTTGCAAAGTCGTTTCAGTCATTCCAGAGATTAGCCAGCACAAATAAAAATTGTACAAAAATATTAAGTGTGTGTATCTATCTTTTATATATTTATCTTTTGTATAATTACACCACTGAAAACTTAGTTTTTCTTTTTTCCTTTACGCTCTCTCTTCTCTCTCAACCAATTTTCCAATGAAAAGGGGAAGATAGATGCTCTAGAGATGTGGTGCTGGAGGAAAATGCTTGGTGTATATCGTGGACTGAGTTCCGCACCAACGTATCCATACTCTGAGAACTCGGCATCACAAAGCGTCTATCAACCATAGGACAGGCGCGCATACTGCAGTTCTTTGGCCATGCCTCCCGTCGTGACAATAACTCCATAGAGCGGTTGGTCGTTCAGGGAAAAGTAGAGGGAACCAGATCCCGAGGCAGATCACCTGCGCTGGACTGATCAAGTCCAATCGGCAACGGGAAACCCAGTGTCAGACTGCGCCAGACAATCCACAAACAGAGAGAGATGGCGGGAGATCTGCAAACGACAGAGAAGAAGAAGAAGCACCTACTTGCTTTACGTAACTTAAACGGGTCAGTTAGGCCGGGGTAGTACTAACCTTACACGTAATACCGACACGAGAAGTAGTGGCGAGTGTTGCGGCTGTCCAACCCACTGTCTGATTGCATACCCATATTTTCGAGTAGTTCTTCTCACGGAAATGATGGCGCAATTATTTATTTATTACACTTACACTTTATCATGAATACCAAGTGGACCACAATAAAGACAAAGATGGGTGGGTTATCTAGTAATATGTTATATATCCAGTTGCTAATATTAAGCACAAAGTACGTCAACTTCTCTTAAAGAGGTTGGCTGAATCATCGAGGTAACTATCGACTGTGTACTAGTAAGCAAGCAAGTATATATTTATATATTATGTATATATGCATGTATGTATATATTATATTTATATATACCTCTTAAATATATTAGTTTATCTTTAATTTGTTAAAAAAAATCATTGCTTGCCTCTTACACCTATCATTTACTATTCTCTGCATCACCCAAAGGTCAGACTGATAGAAAATGCCTGTGGCATTAAGTCCACCTATTTGTACATTTTGTGCATGAAGCTTTAAATAAATAAATAAATATAAATTGAATAATCAAATAAGTAAATGTGAGGAAAACTAAGTATTCCAATAACATATTCCCGTGAGAAGGCGGTAATGTGCCCCAACTATAGTTTGAAAGTACTATGACATAGAGGTTTAAAGTACTATACATTCAACTATGACTCCGCCACATAAAAACACGTCAATTTGTAATGGTAAATTAAACTAAAATAGTATTATTAATTATTTATTCTTAAAACTAGGTATACTCGATATTTATTTTACATAAAATTATGGTGATTTCGAATATTTATATGAATATCACAAAATTCGAAGAGCGACGAATGCCACATTAGTAAGAGTAAAACGTAAAAATTAATATAAAATAAAGATTAGGGTGGGGCGCGGCGAGCGCGAGGGAGCGCCCGGCGCGCCCCCGGCCGGCGGTCCTCCGGCGGCAGCACAGAGATAAGGAGAGAGGAAGACCGACACCGCCCGGTGCCGGCGGAGGAGCGCGGCCGCGACTAGCGTACTCAGCGCTGGAACAGCGGGTTGGGGAAGTCAGCCGGGTGCGGCAGCGGCGCGGGCGGCGGACGCGCGCGACGCCACGCCACCAGCCAGCACGCCACGGCCGCGGCCACTGCCACTAGCGCCAGCAGCGCCGTCAGCGCGAGTGCGACCGCCAACCCAGCCGCCGACACGCACACCTCGCCAGCGCCAGCGCCCGCGCCCGCCGCGCCGCCGGCGTCGCGCTGTCGAGCTACCTGCGACGGATCGCGTCGCTGTAGCGTTAGAATTTGGTTCGACTCGACGGTTACTTCCTCGCGGAACTGGCCTGCGGGGGAGCCTGATGGTCTGCTGTCGATAGCTTCTCGTTTACGTCGTCTGCCAAACGCATCAGCACCGCGACAATTTACCTGTGAAAAATATTATTTTATTTATTAATTTATTAACTTGACAATAAAAATTTCTTGACAAAAGTGGAATTGCATATTACAAAGTACATAGGTACTATTATACATAAATGTATGGGTTTCTTACCGGTTGACATTTGCCGAAGCAGACTCGTATATTACATTGGAATCGTATGTTATCGCTACTGGGGAACTTGAAAGCGTTAAAAGCGACTCGCAGTACGCTGCCGTCTTCGCTTCGCTCCCATTCGCCAAAGATTGATGGATCCGTTGCACAACCGTCAGCATCTGTCACTGGATATTCATTCTCCACATTGGTAGCTACTTCGCTTGTCTTCGCTATACAGCTTCGTGCAAAACCACCATAAATATCTGTAAAAACAAAGTTACGTATGTTACCTTTATTTACTATGTAGAAAATGGAAATATTGACTTCTTCACACGGCGACTGAAACTTTGCTTTGTATTTTAATAAAAAATTATTGGTATGTACAATTATAAAAGTACTTACTTGAGGGTTGTACATCAACTTGCAAGACTAGATGTTCTCCAATCTCTGCAGAGCTAACTTGGCTGCCGGAGCGAGATACGATTCTCATTGAGCACGTAGGCGGCGGTCCTGTATTAGCAATGGTGCCAGCCGTTGTCAACATTGATACATTGAATGCAAGCGTCACATTCTGTTCGCCGGTCTGGTATATACACTTGATGTGGAATGCCTTGGCATTTGAAGTCACAAGTTTCGGATGTTTTTGCATGACAAGAACGAAGCTAGCAAGGCCCTGTCAAACACAAACAAATATGTTAGAGTTTTGTAAAAGTTTTGGTGGGTGTAAAAATCTTCATCTAGATAATATACCAAGATAAAACTTACATTCACATGCACTAAGCCACATTCTCCGAAATGCACGGTGAAGTCGACAATATTTTCCTCATCTTTAGGAGTATCTACAACTAGTCGGCAGCGTTCGTCCTTGCTATAGCTCTTAACATACAACACACCGTTAAAGTCCTTGATCTTCAGACTAACCCGGACGCCGTCGGCGAGACAGTGAACCTGACACAAAGAGTTAGAGAAATCTTTATTCAAATATTGTTCATAAATACATACATATAAGAGGAAGTTTTTGTTTTTGAATCTTACCTGCATATCAGGTAGAGGGAAATCAGTACGGTAAACTGGTGGGTTCGTGGTATTGCAGTGTACGCGTGGGTTGCCGGTATAGCCCGCAATACAGGTGCAGTGTGAACGATGACCAATCGCATCACAAGTGGCTGAGATACCACAAGGCTCTGCCATACATGCGTCCACACAAGCACCGTTAATGCAGCGCTCGCGGTCATCACACTGTGCGTCAGCGCGGCAGCCACGCGGTTCGCATCTGTCGCCGCGCGGCACGAATCCACGGGTCGCGTCGCACACGCAGCGACCGCGCGCGTCTAGCACGCGACCGTCACTAGCGTGGCACGGTATACATTCACCAGTAGAGTCAATTCCTTGTCCTTCAATACACTCTGGAATCGGTCCTGGATAATGTAAAATTTATATTATTCCTAGTAATAAAATAGGTGTTAGCAGAGGTCGCATACAAGTTACACCACTAACTACATCTGTATATTTTCATATAGGATTAATATCAAAATCCTTACTATTATAAATGGGAAAGTGAGTTTGTTTGTTTGTTCCACTTTCACGCCGTAACTTCTAAACCGATTGCTTTGAATTTTTGCAGGCGTAAAGTTAGAAGTCCGGAATAAATAATAGGATACTTTTTATACCGGAACATTTTGATATTCCCGAGGGAAAACAAAAGAATTGGTATAGATGGCGCTGTGTGTATTGGTATATTATTATGTCACAGGCTACTTTTTATCCTTTTGTGACGCGAGCGAAGCCGCGGGTAAAAGCTAGTAATCTATATTTTGTGTACTTTGAGGTAAGTTGGTGCAACCCAGCCTAAGAATTTGTGTGGTAGATGTTATAATTATTTATGGTACTGGTTAAGTCGATCTCCACATAACATCTTTTACTTGTTTTTTGTATCTACAAATGGTTTATTTCTGCATTACCTAAAGATTTTTGTGGTAGAGAATACTCAAGGAAATCTGTGTCATATGTGTTGATAAATAATTGAAATACTTACGTCTATTAGAAGTGCACTCGACAAGAGCATTTCCTTTGTATCCTGGAACGCATTCACATATCATAGTTCTAACTGGGAGGGTGTCCACAACCTTACACTCGGCGTTGATACCGCAAGGTTTTATTTCCAGACAAGGATTCATACATTTTGCGTTCAGGCAAGCAGTTCCAGGAGGACAGTCAATATCGGTGATGCATTGCGGCTGTTTAGTGCTAACACATCCATCTTCAGTGCTTTGGTAGCCAGGTGGACAAACACAGTGTAACTCGTGAAGATGTACTCTACATTCAGCAGGATCGTTACAAGAGGTTGCATTACAAGGGTTTACACATTTGGTGTTGATACATGATTTATCTAATGGGCAGTCAGAGTCAGATCGGCAGCCAATAGGTGTGCATGCGATCGATGGGTTTCCTATAGTACCAATTTTGCACCTGCAGGAGGCGCGATGTTCAATGCCATAGCATTCAGCTGATTGTCCACATATATCGGAATCCACGGAACAGGCCGGGATACAACGGCTATTGAAACAAGTTTCATCATCTGCACATTGTGTATCAGATTGACAAAGAACTTTATAGCATCCAGTGCGAGCATCCCCGACGAAACCGGGTTGGCATGCACAGACCGGTTTGTGGTCTTTTATTTGACAATCTGTATTAGGTCCACATTCGCAAGGATTTTTACACACTGATGTTACGCAGGCATGGTTAGCTGTGCAATTATCGTCAGCGGTGCAAATGACATCAGCGATAGATGTTACTGGTCGACAGATACCTCCGCCGCTGCTCACATACCCAGGTGGACAAGTACACAACATAGTGCGCACTGGTAGTGTTGGTGATACTTCACATTGTGCTGGAGTGGCACAGGGTCGTAATTCTGTGCAGGGGTTGACACACCTTGATGATAAACAAGCCATTCTGGAAGGACAATCAGCATCCACGTAACACTCTGCGGTAATTTGTGGCCTACATTCGATATAAGGGCTTCCTGTGTAACCTTGTTCACATTTACATACAGCGATATGGTTTCTGACCAAGCATGTAGCTGCTGTACCGCATATATTCTCGCTAAGGCACGGATTCACACATCTATGAGCCCGACATTGTTTGTCTTGAGGGCAGTCGCCATTACTTCTGCATTCGATTGCGTGGCAACCTGAATACACGTCACCATCGAATCCGGGTCGGCATTTGCACAACGGTACATTCCTTTCTACGTAGCATTCTGAATTCGGTCCACAGGTGCTATTCAAGAGGCAAGGACTAATACAGTTACCATTGATACAAGCTTCGTGAGATTGACATTCCGAGTTACTACGGCATCCCACAATGTGGCATCGCCGGTATGGGTCGCCTTCGAATCCTTCGCGACACGAACATATAGGTCTATGGTTCCGAATAAAGCACTCCGCGTTGTCCCCACAATTGCAAGGGTTGCGGCAAATTCTATTGACACAAGATTCGTGGTCGTCACAGTCCTGATCCGATGAACAGCTTAGTGCAGGTAGTTGTGCGGGTTTACAGTTTCCTCCTTCTTCGGGAATATATCCGTCTGGACAGCGGCATATAAGAGTTCGGAACGGTACACTGTCAGAAACAGTACAACGGGCGTTGCCAGTACATGGTTTCAGTTCATTACAAGCTTCGCGACATTCATCTCGGAGGCAAGCATAGCCACTAGGACATTCACCATCTGCGCGGCATTCAGGTTCCCCGATAACGTCGACTTTCAGGCAGTGGACCAAAGGATCTCCTAGAGGTAGTGCAGATGGACATTTGCAAGACGCAGCGTGGTTTCGTGCGAAGCATTCAGCGTTATTGGCACAAGGGTTTCCACCGTAGTTCGAGCAAGCGTTGCGACATGTTCCCTTTACGCAAACGCTATCGTCATTACAATCATTATCAATCTCACATTCAGCAGCTTGACATCTAGTGTAGGGATTTCCGTTCGTTCCAGCTGGGCAACGGCAGTTAGGCCTGTGTGCCTTACCGAAGCATTCTGCGCTAATAGCACATGGAGCTTCAACAACGCAAGGATTGACGCAAGCGCCGTTGTAACATGTATCACTATCAGGACACTCGGAATCAGAAGTACAACCAACTGTGGAGAGAAAAGTTTTATTTAATATTATTCAACAACATAGATCAAACAAAAATAGATATAATAACATTTTATAAAACTTACCTTTACTGCAACCGATGTACGGGTTGCCTGAGTATCCACGCTCGCAGTAGCAGACAGGATGGTGCCGCACTACAGTGCACTCTGCGTTAGATCCACAGGCACACGGGTCTGCGCACGCTCCATTTACACAGGCTTGAGACAACGGGCATTCGTGATTTGCTTTACAGCCCACGGGGATAATCGATTTGTCAGATGCTGAAAAATTTAATTAGTAGGTATTTTGAATCTTCCGTTTTATTATTATAATACATAATCATATAATTATAATATATGTATATATACTATATATATATTAATTTTAATTATAAGTAGGCAAATTTTTTATTCCATCAAAAGTGGTTTTACATAAAAAAGCATTTTACGTATAATTTATTTTACCAAATTTTAAACTTACGTGGTGTGCATCGAGTGTAGGCATCGCCCGAATATCCTTTCGGACAAGAGCATTGAGGTTTATGATCTATAACTCTACATAGAGCACCGAGGCCGCAAGCGTCATTACAAGGGTTTACACAAGCACGGTCGATACATGCCCGTTCCGAACCACATTCTTCATCGTTGTAACATTCAAAAATGGCCGGTTGTCGGGGTACTGTTGGAATAAATAGATATATCATTAGATTTGGTAAAATTGATATTAGGGTGATATTATTCTTAATCAGATTATTAAAATTTTAAAGTACTTACTTGTGTTACATTCGATTCTTGCATTTCCTGTGTAACCTGGTGCACAAGTACAACGAGATATGTGGTCGATGGATTCACAAAGAGCATTTTGTCCGCAAGGATCTGCCCTACAAGATTCGACACAGCTGCCACGCCGGCAAGTTTGACTGTTAGCACATTCAGAATCAACTGAGCATTCCGGTTCCGGTGGAGCTCGACAACCATTGTCCGGTGCCACACGACCGCCATCAGGACAAATACAAGCCACGGCGCGTAGCGGAAGCACGTCGACAATTTTACAAATTAGTCCGGTTTCGCAGGGATTTCCGAGACAGAGGTCTACGCAGCGGGTGTTTACACAGGCAAACGGTGCTGAACAATCAGAGTCTGTGGTGCATTCGGTGTCATCGTGCAGTGTGCTACAGCCACTGGCGTACGGGTCGCCGCTGCGACCGGCGGGGCACGTACAAACGGCGCGGTGGTTGCGTGCAGTGCAAAGGGCATCTGGGGCACAGGATTGTTCAGAACATGCCGGCTGGCATACGCGATTGAGTCGGTTGCAGATCTGTGTGTCGTCGCAATCTTCATTGTAAAGACAGATAGCAGATACACAGGCACGTCGTGGGTCGCCCTGGGTGCCAGGTGGGCATCGACAGCTGGCAATGTGTGCTACTGCCACGCAGTTTGCGTCTCTTCCACATGGTGTACCGAGAGTACATGGGTCTTGACAGTATCCATTGACACAAGTTTTGTCAAACGGACAGTTTTCATCTGATGTACATTCGGCTGTAATAATAATTCAATTATGTCGAAAAATAAAAAGATCAAATACCTATGTACGAGATAATAGTAGTATGAGATGACTAAAAAGAATTAGGCTTACGGGTATAACAGAGGCGGGCAGGGTCACCGGCAGTGCCGGGAGGACAGTGGCAACGGGCACGATGCTGTGCGGCGTCGCACGAGGCGCCGGTGCCGCAAGCTCCCGCACACGCAGACACGCATCGTTGTCCGACACATGCTTCAGCACTACCGCAATCTGAGTCTGATGTACATTGTACTCCAGGAACACCTAAACAAAAAATAATAACAAATAAGTAAATGTTGCTTCAAAGACTTAATTCGAATGTGATTAAGTTTATTTGTTTTGCACTAACCGAGTGTGCATGCGACTTCAGGGTTTCCTTGCAGAGGTGGTACACAGGCACAAGAAGCACGATGTTGAAGGGCCCTACATTCAGCACCTGAACCACAGGTTATATCTGCGCATGCGCTAACGCACAAGCGATTAATGCAGCGCTCCTCAGAACTGCATTCGCTGTCTTCATTACATTCACCCCCTGGAAATAAATCTTAAATTAACCTTTTTTGTATATATGAATATTGACTTGATGCTATTTATAAAATTCCTTCAGACATATACGCAATCAGACATGTACGACCATTTACAAATAAATCTAAATAAGATCTACAATATCAACTGTGTGCGTAGCTTTAAAAGATCGGAACCAATAATTTGCTCGACAAAAGTGCATTACTAAGTGGATAAGACGTCATAATGCTGTATATATTTACATGCACAGGTGTAATGTACACAGTGACTTGACACAGATAATGCAATTGTTGAATATTACACTCATCATTTGTACCACACCTACCGTTGCGACAGTAAATTCTTCACACAACTATATAATTGAAAATTTCTTCCTGGGACATCTGCAAATAAGCTTTCACAATGATAATATAAAGTATGAATTAGTTTTATGTTTTTGGCTAAGTATTGGTGTACTAGTATATACTACTTACTTGTGTTGCATTGAACTGAGGCATCACCAATAAGAGGCTTTGGACATTCACAAACGAGCGTACGGAACGGCAATGTATTCGCAACCCTACATTCTGCTCGGACGCCACAAGATGTCGGCTCGCATGGGTTCCTGCATACACCTTGTAAGCATGCTAGGTTTGGTCCACATTCACCATCAATGACGCATTGCCCTTCGTCTACAACTGAAAAAAAAAATATACGTTTGGAATGAAACTTACAGTGCACGGATACAGTTTAACTACGCCTATAATAGATAAGAATGACATCTATTATAAAGCTAGCAATAACTGCTACGTACCTTGTCGGCATTCAATCTTAGGGTTGCCTTGAGTGCCTCTCGGGCACTCACACGTTGGGACATGTCGAACTACCGAGCAGATTGCACCTTGAGCGCATGCTCCGAGACATGGATCCTTACAAGTGCCGCGAGAGCAAGCTAACCACGAGGAACAATCATCGTCTACAACACATTCGGCTCTACGACATCCAGTCCATGGGTTGCCTTGGGCGCCAGTATTACATTCACATGAAGCAGTGTGGCCGCGAGCAACACAATGCGCTTCTGTTCCGCAACGAATACGTAAGCAGACCTTCACACAAGAACCGCTTTCGCAGCTCTCATCGTCCGGACAATCATTGTTGCTGTGGCATTGTACTAAAACAAAGTAAAATACGATATTTATCTGTATTTAATGTAAATAGATATTTACATTAAATCGCATCACTGACTGGATGCCGGCTATGTTAGCGCGGTTAGATAACCGCGCTAACATAGCCTATATATATATAACATAACATAACATAACATAAAAAGTGCTCAAAAATATAAAAAATGTTTTATATTTTTGAGCACTTTTTGATGTATCAAAAAGTACTCACTTTTTAAAGTGTATAAAAAAGTTTTCCTCAAACGCAAATTACTATAGGGTACGCGCAGTACGATAACGACACGCGGTTGTTGGTATAAAAGTCATGGATTGTAATATGTTAAATTCTTTGTAATACGATTGTGGCTGTTACATGCATGGTACTACTACTTTGTGGAATGAACTAAATATTTATAAACTTTATAAAAAATACCTGAATAACATCCAGTGTATCCGTCACCCTCATATTCCGGTAAGCACGTGCATAAAGCTCTATGTTGTTTCGCAATGCACCGAGCATTCAGTCCGCAGTTGTTAGGACCGCACACGGGTGAGCAGCGCGAGTCAACACACGCGGCGTTGTCAGCGCATTGTTCATCGGACTCGCATTCAGGTGCTGGCGGCTGTGATGAGATGGGGCTGCACCGTACCAGCGGTGAGCCTGTATACCCGGGTGGACATGAACAAACCGGGGAGTGTCGCACGCCTGTACAAATCGCGTTGAGGCCACATGCATTAATACATGGATCAGTACACTTTCTGTTAATACAAGCGCGGTCACCAGAGCAGTCATCATTGACGGTACATTCGTAATATGTGCATATTCCATTGCGGCAGGTAGCGTGCGGGCCGCAAGGGTTGGGATCACAGGGATCATGGGCCTTTGTTGGTGTATCTAAAATATTAACAAACAATTACATATTAGACAGTAATAAATAAGAATACATTAAAATTCAGTATACAAGTTTTAAAAAGTTGCAAAAGGTAGTGATTTATTTCCCTAAATCGTGTCATATGACAAAAATTGTCAACGTAATACTAACCTATGCAAGCAACAAACGGATCGCCTGTGGTGGACGGTGGACACCAACAGATAGGTGCATGGTTGAAGACGCGACACATGGCAGCGTTGCCACAAGTTCCTGGGCATGGGTCTATGCACTTATTGCGCACGCAGGCGCGATCGCGGGGACACTCGGAGCTGACCACGCACTCGGGCCTGCATCCTGTGGTGGCTGCGTCACCGGCTGTGCCACTGGGACACGTGCACATGGCACTGTTACCGACCACTGAGCACAACGCGCCGGGGCCACAGGGAGATGGTGTACACGGTGGTTCTGTTAAGCGTTTCATGTTTATAAATAAATATGTATAAAAAGGCAATTAGTTTAGTAAATGATGAAACTACATACAATAGTTTGCAGTTACTTACGGGTCATTTCTGTATAGCATCTTTCAAATGCGTTTCCTTTAGTTCCAAGTGGGCATGAACATAAAGGTATATGATTGACGGTTTCACAATCGGCTCCTACTCCACAAGTGCCCTGGCAAGGGTTACGGCAGTGAGATCGTATGCAAGCTTTAGAAGGTGAGCAATCAGAGTCCGCGAGACATTCAGGTCGGCATCCAGTATACGGATCTCCACGTAATCCAGGCTCGCATTCACAAGACGCGCTTATTCCTTTTACTCGGCACAAAGCGCCAGGTCCACAGGGTGATGGCACACAGGGATCGTTTGGTTGTTTAGCTGTAATATGGAACATGATAATTTTAAACTCTGCGTTAAATTTGTATATTGAAGCAAATATGGAAAGCTCATTATTAAGCTAAAACCTTTCGTCACATAAAGAGGAAAACGGCGCACTTGGTTTCACTAGTAAAACCCATGCCTAAGCTTTAAAAGCGAAGACGCAAGATTGCCGAATCCTATCTCCCTATTTAATTTGATTGATATGTGTATCTAATTGATGCATAATAATTTAAAGCAATCTTCCGTTTGATCTAATCTGTCTTACGAATATTTTCGATGGGTCGACACGCTGTAAGAGGATTGCCGGTGGTGGAGGATGGACAAGTGCAGCGTGGCTCGTGAGCTACTGGCACACACTCAGCACCATAGCCGCACGCTCCGGGACAGGGATCTATGCAACGTCTGTTAATGCAAGTTAGATGCCATTCGCAGTCATTAGATTCCAGACATTCGTAACGACAGAACGGAGGTGCCCCGAAGAAATCTGTACGGCAACGACAGCGGCTATCTACGCAGTCAGCATTTGGCCCACAATCGGGACATGGTGAATTCTTTTTAGGTTCAGACTCGAGTGCTGTAAAAATGAATACGTGCGTGAAATAACAAAAACATGTTACAGAACTATATCAGAAACGATATTTGAAATCACATACCTGGTACACAACGAATAAACGGATCACCGACGTAACCAGGAGGACACGTGCAAATTGGAGAATGCATAGTTGTTCGGCAAAGAGCGTGAGCACCACATGCGCCAGGGCAAGGGTCACGGCACTTGCCAGCCCGACACGCAAGTGTGCTAGGACAGTCCGCCGAGCTGTGGCACTCAGGTCGGCAACTGGGCGGCTCGTCCTGCATGGGCGGTCGGCACGAACAGTGAGCCACTGTACCTTGTGCACGACATACGCTGTTCGGTCCGCAAGGATTTGGTGAACATGGTTCTGTTTCCACTGGCGCTGCATATACAATTTACAAATTAGAATGAGAGAAAACTAATACACCTAAGTCTTAGTCGCAAATCGCGATATATATGTTAAGAAGAACCTACATACAATGTTCGAATGAATAAGAATACATTTTTCATTTATCGCATATAAACATACCTATTACACGTCGGCAGGCGATGAAAGCGTCTCCTTGTAGCGGTGCGGGACACTCACATATAGCGATATGATTGTAGACATTACATACTGCATCAAGGCCGCATGCGTTCTTACATGGATCGACACATTTGTAGTTTACACAAGCATGTCGTTTGTCACAATCACTATCAATAGTACACTCAGGCCGACATTCAATTGCAGGATTTCCGTGATATCCCGGAATACAAGAACAAGTTCCATTGCTACAAATTGCATTACTTCCACAGGGATTTCGCGCGCAAGGGTCTGTAAATATTGGTGTTTGTGGTTCTGAAATCATAAATGTATTGATTAAAAGATAATATAACACTATATCGTTTATTACCCGACGGGGTAGAAGAGAGGTGCCTATTACATCTTAATACAATATGTTGTCTTGTCTTAATCCTATGTAATAATAAGTCCGCAAAAAAGCCAGGGATATAAATCTTATAAGAATAAAATAAACATTTGGAAATTATTTTACTGTTACTTATAAGATGTGTTCCTACGTACCATCAAACTGGTAACATCCGACAAAGGAATTACCACGATAACCTCTTAAACAGGTGCAAATAGCAAGATGATTCATTGCACGGCACTCGGTATTTGACCCGCATGATCCAATACAAGGGTCAACACATCTCTCCCTGACACATGCTTTGTCATTAGGACAATCCTCGTTGATCGCACATTCTGGTGCACATCGAGGTGGAGCCCCTAAGTAACCCTCCTTGCAACTACAGATAGCCGAACCAGCTGAGTCTCTGCAAGTGGAGAATGGACCGCAAGGATTGGGTTCGCAAGGAGATTTTATTTGTGGAGGTAATACTTTTTCTTTCGAGCATCTAATGAAAGCATCTCCTTCGAAACCTGGTAAACAAGTGCAGTACGGACTGTGGTGTAGGACCCGGCACTGTGCATTTTCTCCACATACTCCAATGCATGGATCAATACATTTCTGCTTAACACATGCTTTGTTCAAAGGACATTCTGAACTCATTAAACATTCTGGTCTACAGTTTGGAGGGTTGCCAATATACTCCGTAAGGCAAGTACATATTGCTTTGTTGTTAATAGCATTGCAGGTGCTGTATGGGCCACATGGTGACGGGTTACAAGGGTCCTTTGCTGGTTCTGAAAATTAAAATAATACTTATGCATACTGAGTATTTACTCAGTGAAAAACACGTACTACGTAACGTAACTGCGTCAGGTCAATTTTTTTACGAAATATTAAATAGAGGTGTAATTACAAACGAATATGTGGAAATTATAGAGAATATTTATAGTGTTTAAAAACAAATTGCTGCATCCATAGAGGATCATATTAATACGAAATAACCTATGACTAATGTATAACAAATCTATACTGAATACAAACATAGTTTTTATTAAACAGATTTATCAAGATGCGTAATAAACGAATTTTCTTACCATCTCTCAGAATGCACCGGTCATGTGGGTCACCCACGTATCCAGATGTGCAAGCACAGTTAGGAATATGATTGATCATTTGACATTGAGCATTTATTCCACACAACCCAGGACATGGATCTTGACATCTGTTGTTAATACATGCTAGATTTTCGGGACAATCGGAATTGAGAACACATTCTGGTCTACAACCTTCGTAGGGGTTACCGAAATAGCCCGTAACGCATGTACAACTGCCGGCGTTATTACGTTCTTGACATACGGCATTTGGTCCACAAGGATTTGGGAGGCATGGTGCGATTGGCTGCGATGGGACATCAGCTGGAACTGGTACTTTGATAAGAGTGCATTGATAGAATGAGTCTCCTTCATATCCTGATTTGCACGCACATTGCGGAGAATGGCTGATGACACGACATTCTGTGTTAAGTCCGCAGGCACCCACACAAGGATCGGCGCATTTGTTGTTAATACATGCTCGATCAAAGTTACATTCACTGTTCGTTGTACATTCTGGGCGACAATATGGTGGTTGTCCCATGTATCCGGACTGACAAGAACACGTCGGTGCCTCGTTTACTGCTCGACACACAGAATTAGGACCACACGGTGATGGTTCACAAGGTGTCCTCTTTAGCGGTGGGTCATCTAATAAAAAGCATAAAGACAAATAAAATTACAAGTTACCGTTAAAATAATGGCAATTGATGGTATTGTCGGTAAGTTTTCCAAACATTTGTAAATTGTACATTCTTTTACTAATAATATTTAATGCATACTTAAAATAAAGCGAATGTACAAACCTCGAACGACACATTGGGTAAATGGATCTCCAGTGTAGCCATTTCTACAGTAACAAATAGGCTTGTGGTTATGGACACGACATTCTGCATTTAATCCGCAAGATCCTTGACAAGGATTGGTACATTTTTGATTGGAACACGCCATAACACTGGTGCAGTCTGAATCAACCAGACATTCTGGCCTGCATGACGGGGGCACACCGATGTAGCCAATAAGACAAGAACATATTGGTTGTCCTTGTACCGCTCGACAGATGCTATATGGACCACATGGCGTTGGATGACAAGGATCTCTCTCTATGTGTATTACTGAAAAATACATATTTACTTTCAGTTTATACAATTTCAGAAACAATATACAAATTTTATTAAGCGGTTATTTTACTAGTGTTACCTGTTATTGGCGTGCATGAAAAGAATGCGTTTCCACTGGTATTTGATGGACAACTACACATTGGAATATGATTATACACTTCACATACTGCACCCTGTCCGCATAGATTTGTGCAAGGGTTGACACATTTGTTATTGACACACGTTGCACTTGATGGACAGTCAGCATTATTTGTACACTCCGGACGACAACTTAAGTACGGGTTTCCGAAGAAACTAGGCTTGCACGTACATTGTCCATCATTGCAATCAGCATTTGCCCCACAAGGGCTTGGGTTGCATCTATCGTAAACTGCAGGCATGGGTTCTATAAAAAAGTGGTTATTGATTTAATTAAAAATTATTGTCATCTTTACATAGCAATAATAAACAAGTTTGTTATAAAACTAAGTAATATTAAAACACACCAATTTTTTCTTTAATATGACAACTTTCGAATGGATTTCCAGTGTAGCCTTCTCCGCAGCTGCAAATAGCAGCATGCTGATAAACTTGACATTCTGTTTGAAGACCACATGAGCCGAGGCATGGGTCGCGACATTTCTGGTTTATGCAGGCTTTAGTGCTTGGACAGTCTGAGTTGACAGTGCATTCTGCTCGACAGTTCGGTGGTGTACCAACATAGTTCTCTAAACAAGAACATGATGATATGCGATTCATAACTTGGCATTGAGAATTTGGTCCGCACGGTGATGGGACACAAGGGTTCTGATCTTGTAGTGGCACTGATACTTCTTTAACAATAGCACATTTAACAAACGGATCTCCTTCAAATCCTCTTCTACAAGAACATATTGGTGCGTGGTTCACTACTCTACATTCCGCGTCTTGTCCACAAGAACCAATGCACGGGTCTACACACTTCTGTCTGATACAGCTCTTAGTGTTATCACACTCTGAGTTTACTGTACACTCAGGTCGGCAATTAGGTGGAGTTCCGTAGAATTCAGGCATACACGAGCATGTGGCGAGGCCATTATTGTCCTTACAGATGGAATTACTTCCACATGGATTAGGTACACATGGATTTTGTGGTACCGATGCTGTAAGAAAACGGAACGATGAAAATATTGTTTCTTACTATTGCTACATGGTTATTACATAAATAATTATTTCATAATGCAACTAGATAAGAGAAGATAAAACACTACAATTGTATTATTATTTAGAGAGATCTGAAATAAACTTACTTGGCTCGTTAATAATTATGTGACAGAAGGTGTATGGATTTCCTGTGTAACCTGGAGCGCAGTTACATGATGGAACATGATTTATTACTTGACATAATGCTGTAGAGCCGCAAACGCCTGGACAAGGGTCTTCGCATTTGTTCCTTAGACATGCTTTATTGTAAGGACAGTCAGTATTAACCACACATTCTGGCCTACAAGATTCATAGGGATTACCGAAATATCCAGGTTCGCATATGCAGGCTGCAGCACCGTTCCTCGAAACTTTACACTGAGCATTCGCTCCACAAGGTGTAGGATTACAAGGGTCGAACTTTTCTATTGCCAGTGGTATCAAGTAACAAGCTGTAAACGGATCACCAGAATAGCCCTCTTCACAAGAGCACATAGGACTGTGTAAACGTACGTTACATTGCGTGTTAGTTCCACAAGATCCAGGGCATGGGTCTTTGCACTTGTGGTTGATACATGCTCTGAATGAAGGACATTCATCATTTGTCGTACACTCACGGCGACAGTGCGGTGGACTACCTTCAAATGTTGGTTCACATGAGCAAATATATGAATCGCCATTAGGAGTTGGATTACAAATGCTATGTGGTCCACATGGTGATGGTACGCACGGATTTGAAGGCTCCTCTTGAATTGGTTGCACTGAAAAAATAATATAGATATATAATTACAACTAGGTAGGTCACCGTGCAATATGATTATGTACGTACATATTATATTTTCGAATAAAAAATAACTACAGCGATAATAATTTGAAAGTTTAATAATTACCATAACAGTGACTGAATGGAGAACCAGTATATCTTGGAGGGCATGTACATATTGGATTATGATTATTAACATTACATATGGCGTTATGGCCACAGGATCCTGGACATGGATCTTGACATTTTCTATTAATGCAAGCAAGAGAAGGAGCACAGTCCGTGCTTTGGATACATTCTGGGCGACAATTAGGTGGATTTCCTATAAAACCTTGAAGACAAGCACAGGTCGCTTGACCGTTTGCTTCTCTGCATAAACTATTTGGTCCACACGGAGAAGGCTCACATGGTCTACTGGCAGGTTCTGTAAAGTTAAATTAATTTTTCATTAATCGATTTTGTTACTAAATTCTAAATTCAAAGAAATTTACCTAAAAAATACATACTTTCTATGGGGATACACCGTGTGAACGCGTCACCAGTCATACCACTTGGACAGCTACAGATAGCAACGTGATTATAGACATTGCACTCGGCGTTCTGACCGCACATATCGCGGCACGGGTCCACACATTTCGATCTAAAGCATGCCTTATCTAATGGGCAGTCGGTACTGAGAACGCATTCTGGTCGGCAACCGAAATATGGATCTCCTTGATACTCTGGCAAGCATCTACATTCACCATTGTTACATACAGTATTGGGTCCGCAAGGTGATGGATGGCATGGATCAATCTTTTGAGGAAGATCTGTAAATATACAATTTATTGGTCAGATTCCACATTAAAGTGATTTTATTAATATTTTTATAACAGAAGAATATCTATAGATATGACACACTTACCTGCTGGTTTAACGTTGCATATTGCGAAGGGATCGCCCTCATATCCACTTGGACATGAACACACCGGTATATGATTAACAACATTGCAAATAGCATTCAGGCCACATGATCCTAGACAGGGGTTCTGGCACTTCATGTTTATACAGGTCTTATCATTGCTACAATCTGTATTTACTACGCATTCTGGTTTGCAGTTAGGGGGACTGCCAAAGAAACCAACAGTACATGAGCATGATGGAACTCCTCCAATATCACGACATTCTGCATTCAATCCACAAGGAGAAGGAACGCAAGGGTTGACTGGTTCCATTAGAGAAGGTTGCTTGTCAGGAAGTAAGTAGCAGACCGAAAATGGATCACCAGTGTAACCTTGCTTGCAAGTACATATTGGATTGTGTTTTATTACTCTGCATTCTGTTTGTATACCGCAAGCCTTCTCACAGGGAGACACACATTTAAAGTTTTCACATACTTTGTCCAATGGACATTCCGAACTTATTACACATTCCGGTCGGCAATCTGGTGGAGTTCCTTGGTATCCATTTAGACATGTACAGGTAGCAATGCCGTTTTGGGTTTTGCATTGACTGTTTGGACCGCATGGTGACGGATTGCAAGGGTCTACTGGATCAGCTGCAACAAAAATACACCTTTTAATATACAGATCCTTTTGTACTTAATGGCAAGCAACTCATGTTATATATGAATGGCGTAGTACTTACATTGGACTTTGAAAGTACATATTTTATATGGATCACCGTAATGTTGTTCTGGGCATGAACAACTTGGAATATGATTGATTACGTTACATAGCGCGTTTATGCCACACGTGCCTGGACAGGGATCGTGGCACTTATTTTGATAACACGCCAAGTTTGATGGACAATCTGAATTTACCAAACATTCGGGCTTGCATGCTTCGTAGGGGTTACCAAAATATCCAGGGAGACATGTACATGAGCCAGCATTATTTTGTTCTCGACATTGTGCGTTTGCGCCACATGGCGAAGGCACGCATGGAGTTGGTCGATCTTGTTCTATAGCAGCTACTTCGATGTTACAGAAAAGGAATGGATCACCGGTGTAGCCGTTTTGACATAAGCAGATAGGTGTATGACTAACGACTCTACATTCAGCATTCACACCACACGAGCCTTGACAAGGGTCTTTACATTTCCTATTTATGCAAGCCATGTTTGATGCACATTCGGTGTTACTGGTGCATTCTGGTCTACAATTAGGTGGAGCACCGATATACTCGGGTAAACACCTGCAATCAGCATTATTTCCATTTTCCGTGCACTGTGAGTTTGGTCCACATGGTGAAGGAAGGCAGGGGTTAACCTTCTCCGGTGGCTTGGAAGCTGGGAAAAAATAATGAAATTAAACATGATATCTATTTTAAAACGTGGGAGTCATGCAAATGTAAGTTGTGTATTGGATGACTTACGGATAATTTGACAAGTAGAAAATGGGTCTCCAGAATATCCTGACAAGCAAGTGCACACGGGATTGTGGTTGACCACTATACAATGTGTGTTACGTCCGCATGCACCAGGACAAGGATCTATGCACTTCTGATTGGAACAGGCTCGATTTAGATTACAATCTGAGCTGACGGTACACTCCGGCCGGCAGTTGGGTGGGCTGCCCACATAGCCTTGCACACAAACACACACAGCATGCCCACTCACTTCTCTACATTGACTGTAGGGACCGCATGGGGATGGTTCACATAAGTTGATCGGTGCTGCTGGTTCTAGAAAATGAAAGTTATTATTAGGTTATCACATAAGTGCTTAAGAATAAATATTTAAGAACACTGATAAAAACAAACGTACCCTTGACTTCATTGCAGTAATGGAATGGGGATCCAGTAGTGCCCACTGGGCATGAACACATAGGAATATGGTTTATAATTTCACAAATGGCTCCACTTCCACAAATTCCGATGCATGGATCTTTGCATTTGTTCCTAATACATGCTTTATCTCGTGAGCAGTCTGAGTTAAGTACACATTCCGGCTTACATGCGAAGTAAGGATCACCGAAGTATTCTGGTAAGCAGGTGCAAACACCATTATCACAAACGGCGTTGCTTCCGCACGGTGACGGCGAGCAAGGGTTTACCGGTTCGATTTCTAAAAATAACAAAAAAATATTAGAACCACTGCTAAATTAATATCAAATTTGTTTAAAATTTGAATAAAAGATAATGGATTAAAATAAATAAAATAATTAATGCAATACCTTGATGCATAATTTCACAGTTAGTGAAGGGGTCACCACTGAAACCAGGCAAACACGAGCAAATCGGCAGATGATTATTGACGTTACACTGTGCGTTGTTACCGCAGGCTCCAGGACATGGGTCTGAGCACCTATTATTTATACATGCCATGACCGCATTACATTCCGAGTTGATAGTACACTCCGGTCTGCACCGAGGTGGAGAGCTAATATAATTCGGCAGGCAAGTGCATCGTGCGTTTCCGTTAAACTCTTGACACTGGGAATTTGGACCGCACGGCGATGGGATGCACGGATTTACTTGTTGTGGTAGTGTAGGAATTGAAAGTGGCACTGAAAAATTAAGAAACAACGTTGTTAGTCGATACTTTCATGTTTAATCGAAATGACGTCAGTCATTAGTAGGGGTTGAAAAGATACTTACTGGGCACACAATTAGTAAACGGATCCCCGGTAAATCGGTCTTGACAAGAACATATTGGGTTATGAGCAAATACTTTGCAGTTAGCATTTCTTGCACACTGACCAACGCAGGGATCTAGACATTTGCGATTTAAGCAGGCTTTATCACTAGGACATTCACTGTTTATAGTACATTCTGGTCGGCAGTTTGGTGGAGTGCCCATAAAATTGGGTTGGCAACTACATATAGCTTGTGCATTTATTTCTCTGCATTGACTATTAGGTCCACACGGCGATGGAGTGCAAGGTGTTGGCTTGACAACATCTGTTAGAAATGAATAAACAAATATATCATAAATAATCACGAATTACACATAATGATATTCACTACGCCATATTATTTGTCACCTACCTCTGACTATTTCAACACAATTAACGTATGCATTTCCAGTAAGTCCTGGCGGACAATAACAGGAAGGCAAGTGGTTTACCACTTGACAAATACCATTTGGCGCACAAATACCAGGGCAAGGGTCTTTACATTTGTTCTGAATACAAGCTAACATAGGAGGACAGTCAGTGTTAATGACGCATTCAGGTCGACACCCTTCGTACGGATTGCCGATGAACGTGTCAACACATCTACAAGCTCCGACCCCATTCCTCTCTGTGCATTCTGCATTTAGTCCACATGGTGACGGTTCACAAGGTGAGTTATATTCAATTTTGCTATCTGTAACGTTATTAAAAATTAGATAGTCTCATTAATGATCTCAAACAACATATATTTTACATTTTATTATTAAGACTTATTTGAATATACAATTATTAGTTTAATTACCTTTTACAGGAGCACATGATATTAGAGGGTCTCCCGTTTGGCCGAATGGACAGGAACACACAAGGGCATGGCTGATTACTTTACAGTCTGCGTTATATCCACAGCTGCCTGGACATGGGTCTTTGCACCTTTGGTTAACACACGCCAAGTTGCTCGGGCATTCTGAGTTGCTTATGCATTCTGGTCGACAATTTGGCGGAGCACCAATATATTCAGTTTGGCATGTACATGATGGTGAATCACCAATAACTTTACATATTGAATAAGGACCACAAGGTGACGGTGTGCATGGATCAACTGGTGGCAGGGGAGTTGCGACTAAAATAAAACAAAAATGTTTATAAAATTACATACCTATAGTATTAACTTAATTATTATTTTCTCATTATCAAAATACTTAATTGATATAACATAATTATTAGTAGAACTTGTGATAGACGTACCTATTAAAGTACACTGAGCAAATGGATCTCCCGTATATTGAGGTGGACATGAACATATTGGATTATGATTGACCACTTCACATTTCGCTGCGTAGCCACAACTACCAATGCAAGGATTTATACATTTGTGATTGTTACAGGCTTCGTTCAGAGGGCATTCAGCACTGATTGTACACTCTGGTCTACAAGATGGAGGAGCTCCTACAAACGTCGGTAGACACGAACAAACTGCTTGGTTGTTTATTGTACGGCACTGGCTGTTGGGGCCACAAGGACTTGGGTTACAAGGCTCGACATTTATAACTGAAAATAAAATATATTTTTTATGACTTTTCTCTTTCTTTGGTATCAGATATAGGAGGCATATACCTTACTTAAGCACCTGCGATCTTCAGTTAGGTATCCTATAATAAATGAATTAGATATTTAGACTCACCTTCATACGTATGGCATTCTACGAATGCGTTGCCCGTGGTTCCTTCGGGGCATGTACAAATTGGAATATGGTTGTAAACATTACATTGTGCACTTGGAGCACATGTTCCGGGGCAAGGATTTATACATTTATTTCCTGAGCAAACTTTGTCCAATGAACATTCCATGCTTGTTAAGCATTCAGGTTTGCAGCCGAAGTATGGGTCACCTTGATAGTCACTTATGCACGTACAAATGCCGTCTCTGCATTGAGCGTTATACCCACAGGGCGAAGGGTTGCAGGGATCTGGCGGGGTGTCATCTAAAATAAAAAAGATCTATTATATAGTTTACTAATGTTCATTACCCACTAGTTATTTACAAAACATAAACAAGGTATAGTTCATTTTATTTAAATAAGTACCCATTGCTTGAGTAAAGTACTACTAACTGAAAACATAACAAAAATGTAGGTATAATATTTAATGTTATACGATAAACATTATTTCAATAACCGTTAGCATTATTAAATATTATTTTAGTTTTACCTTCTATAGGAGCTAGCATATTACAAGAAGTAAATGGATCTCCTGTAAATCCTTGACTGCAGGTACATGCCGGAACGTGTGTAAATACAGTGCATATTGCATTCCGGCCGCAACTACCCGGACATGGATCGCGACATTTCAGATTAATACATGCTTTGTCTGATGGACAGTCCTGGTTTATAGCACATTCTGGCCTACAGTTAGGAGGAAGCCCCTTGTAATCAGGCAAACATGTGCACGTCGGGGCATCATTGATATTGCGGCAAATTGCATTCTCTCCGCAAGGATTAGGTATGCAGGGATTCCCTATTGGTTCAGGCGGCTGTTGCATAGGTGCTGAAACAAATGATTAAATCGTAAAATTACGAGTGACACTAGACGAGAGAAATTTTATAATGATTACAAACAAGTACAAAATCGTTTTGTAGACTCGTTTGCCAAAGAAGAAAAAGAAGTACAAAATATGCATAATTATTTAGTACATGTAACTTACGTTGTGGGTAACAGCGGGTAAATGGATCTCCAATATAGCCAGAATTACAAGAACATATAGGACTATGATTGATCACTTTACAGATTGTGTTTAATCCACAATGGCCAGGGCATGGGTCGGAACATTTTTGATTGATGCAAGCTTTCTCTTTGGAACATTCTGAACTAACTGTACATTCCGGTCTACAACCAGGAGGAGAGCCAACGTAGTTTGGCATACAAGAACATACACTTTGTCCATTGACAGCACGACATACACTATTTGGTCCGCAAGGATTTGGTACACAAGGAGTAGTTACTTCTGGAACAGGATCTGAAATAAAAATAATACGTGTGTCAACGATTTTCTTTCATCGCCACTTTTTTTATACATTATATTTATCAATGAAAATTCTTACCTCTTAAGATACCACATCTTATGTATGGATCACCACTGTAACCTCCAGGACAGCTACATGATGGGAGGTGATTAACAACCGTGCATAATGCCATTGGGCCACACGTTCCTGGACATGGATCCTGACATTTATTACGTATACATGATTTACTTGGTATACAATCCGTGTTTACTACACATTCTGGTCTACACCCTTCGTAAGGGTTGCCTATGTAGTCATGTAAACAAGTACAAGACCCGGCTGCATTATGCTCTCTGCACTCAGCGTTAGGTCCGCAAGGTGATGGTTCACAGGGTGAAGTTTTCTCTGGGTAGATATTCTGTTGTAGATAGCAGTTACTGAATGGATCACCAGTAAACCCATTTTCACAGAAACACGTTGGAGAATGACTAATCGTTTTACATTGAGCATTGATACCACATGCGTTTATGCAGGGATCTTTGCATTTTTGATTGATACAGGCTTGGTTAGAAGGACATTCACTGTTGCTCGTACATTCAGGTCTGCAGTATGGTGGTGAACCAAAATAGTTTGGCATACAAGTACATGAGGGTGATCCCGATAGCTCTTTACAAATGGAATTAGGTCCACAAGGTGATGGTACACATGGAGTTATATCTGCAGATGGAGCTCCTGCAATAAAATTATTATTTTAAAATATTCGAAATAGATATTATTTAGTTTATTATTTTAAATTAAAATACTTACTAAATGGTACACATCTTATAAATGGATCACCGGTATATTTGGGTGGACAAGTGCAAATAGGATTGTGTTTAACGACATTACATTTTGCTTCCACACCACATGATCCAACACAAGGGTCAATACACTTCTGATTACTACATGCTCTGTTGAGTGGGCAATCAGAACTGACTACACATTCCGGCCTACACAGAGGTGGGCTTCCAAGGTATCCCGCTACACATGAACACACAGCTTGCCCATTTATTTCTCTGCATTGACTGTTAGGTCCACAAGGAGATGGAATACATGGGTTCGTCACAATGGGTACTGCAAAAGATAATTAATAAGACGATCATTTTATACATTTTAAGTACGTATAATATTGTACATTGAAAATCACTTCGCAAACCAAAAGATGTAGAATATTATAATTATTAAAAAAATGTTGAATTACGGAATTAATTCAGTATACTTTGTTCAAATTTTCAAAAATGCTCTTTGTTTACGTACCCCGAATAGGTTCACAATTGTAAAATGCGTTGCCAGTCATGCCTTGAGGACAACTGCACATTGGTACGTGATTAATGACATCACAAATTGCATTAGAGGAACAGGTTCCTGGACAAGGATCAATACATTTGTTCCTGACGCAAGCTCTATCGTGCGGACAATCAGTGCTAAGCACACATTCAGGTCGACAACCAATGTACGGGTCTCCTTGGTGTTCTTCTATACATGAGCATACACCATCCTTACATATAGCATTTGGACCACAAGGAGACGGATTGCATTTATCTATAATTTCAGCCTCTGTAATAACACAAATCATATAAAAGTGTTATTTTAATGGTTTACGAATCGTTTTTTATACCCGTTCAAATCAATCAAATTCAACACAGTTTTTTATTCCCACTTACCTAGAGGCTTAGGAGAGCACACCGTAAAAGCATCGCCAGTGTAGCCATCTGGACACGTACAAATAGGAGTATGACGAGACACTGTGCATAAAGCACCTACACCACAAGACCCTAAACACGGGTCCCGACATTTTTGCTGAATGCATGCTTGTGAAGTAGAACATTCTGAATTGATAGTACATTCTGGTCTGCAATTAGGTGGACTACCGACGAAATTAGGCATGCATGTGCAAGAAGGTACATTACGGGTCTCTTGACATATAGAGTTAGGACCACATGGGGATGGCAGACATGGATTCCTGTATGGCTCCATTACAGAATTTGCTACAGGTGCTAAAAAAGAAATACTTATTAATATTTCTATAAAGTCAAATAATATTGTTATAGGCGATTCATTTCATTCTCAACTTACGTGGTATTGGATTGCATCTGGTGAACGGATCTCCAGTGTATCGAACTACGCATGTGCAAATAGGGCTGTGGTTAATTACTTTACATTCAGCGTTTGTACCACATATATTAGCTTGCAGACACGGGTTCGCGCATTTCTGATTTATACAAGCTTTCTCTCTCGGGCACTCTGCACTTGTGACACATTCAGGGTGACAACCTGGTGGCACTCCTATATAACCTGCTTCACAAGAGCAAACTGCTTGCTTATTTACTTCTTGGCAACGACTGTTCGGTCCACAAGGTGAAGGTCGGCAAACATCAATTGGAGTTTCCAATATTTCTAAAAAAAATAATTATGCATTTATGAAGAATTTAAGACGTTAAAGTTAACGGATAAAATAGAAAGTAATGATAAAGACTTACGTTCTGGGGTGCAATATCTGAACGGGTCCCCTGTAAAGCCTCTTTGACAAGAACATGATGGAGCATGATTGACCACTTGGCACAAAGCATTTGGAGCACAAGCACCAGGACAAGGATCTTGACATTTTGATTGAAGACAAGCTTTGTTTGATGGACAATCTGTGTTAATTACGCACTCAGGTTTGCAACCTTCATATGGATTACCGTAATAGTCAGGAAGACAAGTACATGATCCTGCACTATTGTATTCTTTGCAAACGGCGTTAGCTCCACAAGGAGAAGGTTGGCACGGAGAGGTTACTTCTTGTAAAATTTCAATTCTATGGCATTCTATAAATGGATTACCGGTATATTCAGCCAGGCAAGTACACGAAGGCGAATGGCTTATTACATGGCATTGGGCATTTGTACCACATGTATCAATGCAAGGGTCAGTGCATTTTTGATTTATACAAGCAAGATGAAGAGAACATTCGGAATTGCTAATGCATTCTGGCTTGCAATATGGGGGTGATCCCACAAAACCACTGACGCATGAACATGACGGAGCACCTAATGTTTCTTTGCATACTGAGTTTGGTCCACATGGTGATGGTTGACAGGGATTTATAGGCTCTGGATTAAATTCTTGAATGATACATCTAACGAAGGGATTTCCAGTGTACGATGGTGGGCATGAGCAAATGGGATTGTGCTTAATCACTTGGCATTTTGCTGCAACGCCACATGCTCCTTGGCATGGATCAACACATTTCATATTACTACACGCTTCGTTCGGCAAACAATCTGTGCTGACAGTACATTCTGGTCTACAAGACGGTGGACTTCCCTTGTATCCACTAAGACACGAACAAATTGCCTGGCTGTTTATTTCCCTACATTGGCTATTAGGTCCACACGGGCTTGGTTGACAAGGATGCGTAGGCATAACTGAAATAAATAAAACAATTAGAAAAATTACCAAATTAAATTAGCAAAATAGTTATTAACAAGCTATTTAAAAAACATGCAATTACCTTCCACTGGATAACATTGGACAAACGCATTGCCTGTCATACGTTCTGGACATCGGCACATTGGTATGTGGTTGGTAACTTCACAGATTGCGTTTGTAGCGCACACACCACTATTGCATGGGTTTACGCATTTATTCCGCAGGCATGCTTTGTCATGAGGACAGTCAGAACTCAGCACACATTCTGGACGACATTCGTAGTATGGATCTCCTTGATATTCAGGTAAGCACGAGCATTCCCCGTTGTCGCAAACAGCATTTGCTCCACAAGGTGATGGATTACATAAATCAACTTCGTCATTTGGTATTTCTAAAAGTTTAATTGTGTTTTAGTAAAAGTGTTAGAGTGTTCTGGGTGAAAACTTTGAAACGTATAAATTACCTATACGTAATAATTTCTTACAAAACATACCTTGAATTTTACATTCAGTAAAAGCATCGCCAGTGTAACCATCGAGACAGGTACAGATGGGCATGTTGTTCTTCACAGTACATTGAGCGTTTAATCCACAAGAACCTGGACAAGGATCTTTGCATTTCTGGTTGATGCAAGCTAAGTTGCTAGAGCAGTCAGCGTTAATAATGCACTCAGGACGACAACCTGGTGGAGCTCCTATATAATTTGGAAGACAGGTGCAAGATGGTATTCCTCCAATATCTCTACATTCACTGAACGGTCCACAAGGTGATGGCAAGCAAGGGTTTTTAGGCGCCTCTTGGATTTGAGGTATTGTCAATATTTGGTAGCACCTACTGAATGGATCTCCAGTATAACCATTTTTGCAAGAGCATATGGGACTGTGATTGATGACAAGGCAGTTTGCATTAAAACCACACTGACCAACACACGGGTCAATGCATTTCAGTCCGACACATGCTAAGTTGGAAGGACATTCTGCACTAACGACACATTCAGGTCTACAGTTTGGTGGAGCACCTCTGTAATTTGGTAAACAAGTACAAACTGCTTGATCATTTACTTCCTTACATGCACTATTGGGACCACATGGTGATGGCGTACAAGGATTTGTTGATGGTTCGATATCTGAAAATAATAAATGTTTTGTTTACTCGAAATAATATGGAATGCGAAATATGTCTTAAGTTTATAATATTAATGTATTTCGGCTACTTACTTTGTATAATACTACAGTGATGGAATGGATTGCCTGTGTACCCACTATTGCAGGTACATATGGGTGCGTGATTCACAGTTTGGCACTGAGCATTTGTACCACATGTACCAGGACATGGATCCTGACACTTGTTTTGCTGACACACTCGGTTTGAAGGACAATCTGTATTGACTGTACATTCAGGTCGACAGCCTTCATAAGGATTACCAAAATAACCAGATGCGCAAACACAAGAGCCGGCATTGTTACGTTCTTTACATATAGCATTGCTTCCGCATGGAGATGGAGTGCAAGGTGTAGGTCGTTCCACTGGAGCCACATCCTGTTGTACGTTACAATAGACAAATGGATCTCCAATATACCCTTGCGGACATACGCAATTAGGAGTATGACTAACAACACGGCATTCTGCTAAGGAGCCACATGCACCTACGCAAGGATCACCACACTTGTTGTTGATGCACGCTAAGTGATTCGCACATTCGCTGTTACTAGTACATTCTGGTCGGCAGTTCGGTGGCGCTCCAATAAACTCTGCCATACAAGTACACGATGGTGATTCATTAATGGCTTGACAAATTGCATTTGGTCCACAAGGTGAAGGCAAACAAGGGTTTATTTGGGGTGGGATTTCCTGTGCTGTAAATTAAAACGTGCGACATATTATAACATCAATAACTATGAGCATTACAGAAATACGTCCCGTAAAATATATAGATAAGTATTAATATTGACATAATTATTGAAGACGGAATGGGTTCGGGTACTTAATAGGTATGGTAAACTTTACCTGAGCCAATTTTGTCTTTGTATTTCAAAACAATTCATTAATGTGTTTATCAACATCTTACAGTCAAGAACTTATTATGAATTTCTGATTTAATTTTACTTATAATAATATGCTAGTGATATTATCACTGATTGATAAAATCTTAATAAAAATACCTATGTCTGAAAAGAAGTGGTTTCCGGGTATTATTAAAATTTACTTACGTTTTGGTACACATCTGGTAAATGGATCACCAGTGAATTCATTTGGACACGAGCAAATAGGGTTGTGGTTTACGACCTCGCAATGTGCTGAGACTCCACATGCTCCAATGCATGGATCAACACACTTATAATTGTTACAAGCCTTGTTAAGTGGACATTCCGCGCTAGTAGTGCATTCTGGGCGACATGTTGGAGGGTTTCCAGAGTAGCCGGGTATACAGGAACACACAGCTACTTTATTTATATCTCGACATTGACTGTTTGGACCACATGGACTTGGATTGCATGGGTTGGTCGGCAAAGGTGCTGAAATACCATTGACACGTAAATATTGGTTTTTCATTATTATATTATTATGTAACTAACAAAAATAAATGTTAAAATTACCTTGTAATACGTTGCATGAAACAAAAGAATTTCCTGTGAAACCGGCTGGACAACTGCACATTGGGATATGGTTGAAAACTTCGCATATAGCATTAGCACCGCATGTATCCGGGCATGGGTTCACACATTTTTTGCGTACACATATCTGATTCTTTTGACAATCTGCGCTGACAGTACATTCAGGACGACAACCCACGTACGGGTCTCCATGATACTCCGGCAAGCATGTACATTCTCCGTCGTGGCACTCTGTATTGGAGCCACATGGCGAAGGATTACACAGGTCGAGTGGACTGGGATCTGTAAATAATAGAAAATAATAGTTAATATTAAAGTGACTGTGTGCTAAAATAGTGCTATAGAAATTTTAGTTTAGTAATGACTAAAATGTGAATTTCAACATTGAATCAATGTCAAAATATGTAAGCAATTATGTATATATGTTCGACCTGAAAATACTACAACAAATGGAATTCCTTGCCGGAGGCTTTTGACGCCAATAATATAGAATTAGGCACTACCGTGCCGTTTATTAGGCACAACCGTGCCTAATTAACTAAATAAAGTTTTTAAGCAAAAGGCGAAAATGCTTTTTGCATCAGTCGTGGAAATAAATTTTAGTAGTTTAGCCTATGCTTTAAAAATCTTCAAGTTTATGGGTAAGCATTGTTTATCTTGCTACATACAAGTAAGTTAAGTCAAGCATTGTGTATCACGCACATACTGTTTTAATCTAACTCTCTGTATATTTTCTACCATTACTAGCTGAAAATTAGCCTAACTAAGCATAATTCTCGCGATGGATTTGCATAATTGGATAAACACAAATAATTCAGTTTTCAGTTATAAGTACCTTTTAACGGTTCTACTGTACACGCAGTGAATGGGTCGCCTTTGTAACCTTCATAACACGAGCAGATAGCTAAGTGATTCATCACAGAACAACGCGCATTTTGACCACATGAGCCGAGGCAAGGATCTCTGCACTTCTGATTGATGCATGCCAATGAACTGATACAGTCTTGATTCGTAACACACTCGGGGCGACAGTTAGGCGGGCTACCGATGTACCCCGGCGAACAAGAGCATGAAGCTTGTCCGCCGAAGTTACGGCAAGTTGAAAAAACACCACACGGTGATGGTATACACGGGTCTTTAGCTTCATCTAAAACCGGCTGGGGTGCTGAAAGTAGTACACGAGTTAATATATATGATATTTAGGTGTATTATGAAAAATCGATTAATATTGTTATTAAATTATTTACCTGGCTTTGGATAACATCTAGTGAATGGATCACCTGTTAAACCTGAACCACAGCTACAAATAGGATTATGATTGAACACTCTACATTCAGATCTCTGACCGCAGGGGCCTGGACAAGGGTTCACACATTTTTGGTTGATACATGCTTTGTCTGAAGCACAGTCTGAGTTCATGACACATTCTAATCTGCAAGCAGGTGGTTCTCCGAGATAATTAGGTAAACAGCTGCAGGTGGCCTGTCCGTTTATTTCCCGACATTGACTATTTGGTCCACATGGGTTTGGATAACATACATTTACTGGAATTACATCTTGTGCTAAAACAATTGAAAGTATAATATTTTAGGTGAAGCTTGTTGCAACTATTTAGAAAGACAGACTACTGAAAATTTGATAATTTACCAGGAATGAGGTTGCATCGACGGAATGCGTCGCCTGTATAACCTGTTAAGCAAGTACAAGTCGGAGCATGGTGTATCGTAGAACATTCGGCATTGATTCCACAAGTACCAGGACAAGGGTCTTGACATTTGTTCCCAATACAAGCTCTGTTTCCTGGACAGTCCGAGTTGCTGACACATTCTGGTCGACATCCTTCGTATGGATTTCCAAAGTATCCTTCATTACAAATGCAAGATCCAACCTTATTTTGTTCTCTGCATATAGCATTCGATCCACAGGGTGATGGAGAACATGGAGTCAATAATTCATTTACGCTTTGCGGTGTGCATTGTGAAAATGGATCTCCGAAATACCCTTGTGGACACACACACATAGCTGAGTGGCTAACTACTCGGCATTCAGCATTTGCTCCACACGCCTGAATGCATGGATCTCGGCACTTTTGATTGACACATGCTAAATGGGGAGAACATTCGCTATTACTTATACATTCCGGTTTACAGTACGGTGGTTGACCTTTATATTCAGGCAAGCAAGTACAAGACGGACTTCCATTAATTTCTTTACATATCGAATTTGGTCCACATGGTGAAGGCTGACACGGGTTGATTTCTAAAGGCGGAGAATCTGAAAAAAAATAATATGTGAGTATACATGTAATCATTGACAAGTTTATTTGAAATATAATTTCTGGTTTATCTATAAGTGGTAATAAATAATTTTGCAATAAAGTGATATGTAAGTAGTGTAAACAAGTTTAATGATTTGAAGTTAATATTTACTTGAAATGAAAGTGCACTCGACGAATGGATCACCAGAATGTGCTGCAGGGCAAGCACAAATAGGATTGTGGTTAACCACTTCACACGTAGCTCTTAGTCCACAGGTTCCTATACAAGGGTTCACACATTTCTGTTTCATACAAGCTTCATTTTGTGGACACTCTGCACTAACGACACATTCTGGTCGACAAGCTGGTGGTATACCCAAATATGTAGGCAAGCACGAACACACGGCTTGGTTATTAACTTCCCGACATTGACTATTGGGGCCACAGATCGACGTGCTACATGGGTTTTGAGCAGGTACTTCTATAAAATAATAAGATAAAATTAATAAAAAAATGTTTTATGTAGTGTATTTCCACTTAATCTTTTAGTGTTTTTGCTATAGTTTACCTCTTATAGGACTACATAATACGAATGCATTTCCAGTAAAACCACTATTGCAGCTGCACATGGGTATGTGATTAACAACTTGACACACAGCATTTTGCCCACATGCACCAATACACGGATCAACACATTTTCTTTGAACACAAGCTTTGGTTTGATCACAATCAGAACTAAAAACGCATTCTGGTCGGCAATTGAAGTATGGATCTCCATGGTATTCGGGTAGACATTGACACTGTCCATTTACACACTCAGCATTGGATCCACACCGTATATTTGTGCAAGCATCCACAACGGTTGGTTCAACTGAAACAAATACATTGTTCAATTATTGGCTGCGTACCTACAGCAAACTTTAAATAATAAAATAATAAGCCCGCAGGGCACCTTGAGGCGAGGTGAAGGGCATTATTGACCCCGCGGGCTATCATCATCCCGAGTGCTCCAGGGAGAAGTCACCGTTCCTTATTCTCCGGCTTGCCTTAATTGGCTGGCTGGAGTGAACAATAACAAGGAACAGGTCTCCCACCTCTGGCTTGCCTTCATTGGCCGTCCAGAGTGGCGTCGCGAAAGCAGGGATCCTGCTCGGAGGGTAAGAAACTATTCGTAGGTCGCGAATGGGCCAGGGATGCAGAAAGCTTCGGCTGGGGCAGATGATCTGAGTAGAAAGCGGTGGTAGTTTCTTAACCTTCAGCCACTCACATTCTCGTTGCCCCTCTATTGCTATATATAGCAACCATTCCCGGGGCCCGGTCGGTGAGTTGGCGAGGAGTTGGCGAGTCTCCGCCTGCCACTTTTACGTGTAATAATTACATTGTTTTGGCAGGTGCCATAGTCATCCATAGTTTCCAATTTACCGGTCCACAGCAACCTATCCATAGTCCTAACTTTTTTTTTGTTTTTTTTCCAATATCTACAATAGTTCTACACTAACCGGGGACTATCCTTGGGTGCATTTCCACAGTGCATCCAGGGATACTCGCCAGTTTGTGTGTCCATTACATTTAGATTAAAGTTGTCTAAAGGGTCTCTGCGCAGTTGACTTCGGCCCCTCGTATGCCTCCCAAATGACCGGGACCCTGTGGTCCCGTGAATGATAAAGAAATACATAATAATAATGTTGGGGTTATTAATTTTAGTAAACCATATAGAATATATTTCAAATAGTAATAATAAATACCTTCTAACGGTTTTGGTCTGCAGCTAGTGAACGGATCTCCAATATATCCTTCGATGCATGAACATATAGGAATATGGTTAAGAACACTGCATACGGCTGACACACCACATGATCCAGGACACGGGTCTAAACACTTTGAATTAATGCATGCTCGATCACTTTGGCAATCAGAGTGTATTGTGCATTCCGGTCGACAATTAGGTGGACTACCAATAAATGATGGCAAACACGAGCAGGACGGTGAGTTTCCAATTTCGCGGCATTCAGAATTTGATCCACAGGGAGATGGAACACATGGATTCCTTACATCAGGGACAGGATCGTCTAGAAAAAGATTATCATTAAAAAATTAACATTTAATACTAGTTGAGAAGATTAGTATTTTGTCATTCTGTTCGTCAAATAACTTACATTTAATAGGTGTACACAAAGTAAATGGATCTCCAGTAAAAGTAGACTTGCACGAGCATATCGGACTGTGGTTGATGACTTTGCAATTGGTATTGGTACCACAAGGCCCAGGACAAGGGTTCACGCATTTTTGCTTAATACAGGCTTTGTCTTGCGAGCATTCAGAGCTTACAACGCATTCTGGCCGACAATTAGGTGGTGAACCTATGTACTCTGGCAAACATGAACACACTGCTTGGTTGCTAACAACTTTACATTGGCTGTTTGGTCCACATGGTGATGGATAGCATACATCGACTGGTGTAGAAACCGGAGTTGATTCTAAAATAAAAATTAAGATACGTAAGTTATCGAAAATAATACGTCAGACAATTTGGTAAATAGACATCGAATTAAAATAATACCTTGGTAGACACAATAGCGGAATGGATCTCCGGTGTAACCATTGATACATGTGCATAGTGGAGCATGATTGACAACTTGACACTCTGCGTTGGTACCACAGCTGCCTGGACAAGGATCGCCGCATTTATTGTTGATGCAAGCTCTATTTGAAGGACAATCGGTGTTCACAACACACTCTGGTCGGCAACCTTCGTAAGGATTTCCAATGTAACCCTCCAAGCATGTACAAGATCCAGCGTTGTTTCTCTCTTTACAAATAGCGTTGGCTCCACATGGTGAAGGTGAACAAGGAGTAGAGACATAGTCTATGTGCAAAGGTTCGTGAACGCAGTCAAAGAATGGATCTCCAGTAAATCCATACGGGCAAAGGCAAATAGGTGAATGGCTAACCACTTTACACTCAGCATTACTAGCGCAGGCACCTTCACATGGATTTTTACACTTATTGTTAATACACGACAAATGTGTAGAACATTCTTCATTACTTGTGCATTCTGGCCTACAGTAAGGAGCTTGACCATGGTAACCATCCAAGCAAGTGCAAGATGGAGCTTCATTTACTACTCGACAAAGGGAGTTAGGTCCACAAGGTGTCGGTTGGCATGGGTTTACTGGCTCAGGTAAACGTTCCGCTGTAATAAAGAGTATCATTTCAGTTTTGAACTTGTTTAACATTTACAATACTTTGTTGTTTTAATTACAAGTATTAATGTATGACTATAATCATTACAATTATTTTACTTACGTAATCTAAGGCAACGTGTGAATGGGTCACCAGTATACGATACTGGACACGTGCATATTGGGTTGTGGTTGACTACTTTACATTCAGCGTTTACGCCGCAGGAACCAATACAAGGATCGACACAGCGTTGGTTGCTGCAGGCTTGATTGAGCGGACATTCAGCACTAATGGTGCACTCAGGCCTACATGCAGGAGGAGCTCCGATATTATTCGGAGCACATGAACAAGCTGCTTGACCATTGACATCTCTACATTGACTGTTTGGTCCGCATGGAGATGGTTGACAGGGGTTTGATATTACTGGTTCTGTAAAAATGAAAAGAAATTATTTTATTATTCATATTAATAGATAAAGGTAGTTGTTGTCAAGATTGATTGAAAACAATCATACTTACCTAATACAGGCCGACAATCAACAAAAGCATTTCCAGTCATGCGCTCGGGACAGCTACACATTGGAATATGGTTTACAACACTACAAGTAGCTGTGATCGCACACGTGCCAGGACAAGGGTCCACACATTTGTTTCTGATGCAAGCCTTATCACGAGAACATTCAGAACTCTGTACACATTCAGGTCGACATCCTGTGTATGGGTCTCCAAGGAATTCCGGGAGACATCTGCATTGCCCGTCATTACATTCCGCATTGTTTCCACACGGTGATGGATTGCACGGATCGTCTTTTTCTATAATAAACATGCATAAAATATTATTAAATAATCGACAAGAGACTTAACTAGTATTACATTGTGTTGCATTAATAGTATACTATGTAACATTATTTAAGTTACCTTTTGGTGGAAGGAGATTGCATTGAGTAAATGCATTGCCAGTAAAACCTTCAGTGCAAGAACAAATTGAAACATGCTTTATGACTTGACAAATAGCGTTAATGCCACAGGAACCTGGACACGGGTCTCTACATTTCTGATTTATACAAGCTAGGTTACTAGCGCAATCTTCATTGATTGTACATTCTGGTCGACAATTTGGTGGACTGCCTTCAAAGTTTGGTAGACATGAACACGAAGGGATACCACGTAAGTTTTGGCATTGCGAATTAGGTCCACATGGTGATGGTACACACGGATCGGCTTGAGGTGGTGGTTGTTCTTGAACTAAAAAGATAAAAATAAATTTTAGAATTTATTTCATCGAAATTTATTTTGCTGTAATAAATGTACAATACCTGTTACTATGTAGCAACTCGAAAATGGATCACCGGTGTACCTATTTTGACAAGTACATATAGGACTGTGATTGATAACTCTACAGTCTGTGTTACGTCCGCATGGACCTGGGCATGGCGAAACACATTTTTGATTTTGACATATCTTGTCTGCTGAACATTCTGCACTTATAACACACTCAGGCCGACAGTTTGGAGGTGAACCTTGATACTCAGGTAAGCATGAGCATGTACTCTGTCCATTCAACACACGACACTGGCTATTGGGACCACACGGTGATGGTTGGCACGGATTTAAGGGAATGTCTTCTTGTGCTGTAAATTAAATGTAAATGGCCAAATGAATATCTTTTTTTTCCGACAAACATTATTTTATGATATTGTTGATTTCACTTACGTTTTAAATTACACTGCGTGAAAGGATCTCCAACATATCCTTGTCGACATGTACATAAAGGCGAATGATTCACCACTTGACAATCAGCATTTACGGCACATGTACCAGGGCAAGGGTCGATGCACTTATTTCGCGTACATGCTTTGTTACTTGGACAGTCGGAATTTACAAGGCATTCCGGATGACATGCTTCATAAGGATTGCCAAAGTATCCAGTAACACAAATACACGCTCCAGCTCCAGCTTGTTCCCTGCATTCAGCGTTCGATCCACAAGGTGACGGTGTGCATGGCGATAGAGATTCAACAGGCGTCATTGCTGTTATTGAGCAGTGGACTGCTGCGTCACCTGTGTATCCCTCGGGACAAATACAAATAGGTGTATGGCTGACGACTCTACAATCAGCGTTGATGCCACATGCCTGTGTGCATGGGTTTTGACACTTTCTATTTATACAAGCCATTTGTGGAGCACATTCACTGTTAGCCACACACTCCGGGCGACAGTTGGGTGGTGTTCCAATAAATTCGGGTTGGCATTGACATGAAGGTATAGCTCCACTTGTTTGTTGACAAATAGAATTGGGTCCACATGGAGATGGTAAACACGGATTTACCGGAATCAGAGGTTCATCAGCAGCTACAATAAAATATATTTTTAGGCATAGTAAAAGGTTATTAAATCATGCATTTCTATTAAATTTAATCATTAAAAAATACTTACGCTTAATCATACATCTTGTAAATGGATCTCCAGTCATTCCCGTAGGACATGAACAAATTGGATTATGATTCACCACTTGACATTTGGCTGCTACACCACATGTTCCTTGACAAGGATCAACACACTTTTGATTGGTACATGCTTTATCGAGAGGGCAGTCAGAACTAGCAACACACTCTGGTCTACAAGAAGGAGGTGCTCCACGAAAGCCAAGTAAACAAGAGCACACAGCTTGTTCATTAAATTCTCGGCATTGACTGTGAGGGCCACATGGACTTGGATGACACGGATTAGATGAAATCATTTCTGCAAAAGATAAAACATTTATAAATCTATAACAATAGTTGCTATTTGCATTAAAATATGAATTATTTCAAAGGAATAAATAACGAAAATACATAAAGATTAGTCTAATACAACTCTGTCATTTAGATTTTGGTGTTTTTTTTCTTACCTTTCACAGGAGTACATTGTATAAAAGCGTTGCCTGTAGTTCTGGATGGACAAGTGCAAACTGCCATATGATTGACAACTTCACAGTTGGCGTTAATGCCACAGGTATTGCTAATGCAAGGATTGATGCATCGATTTTTGACACACGCCTTATCCATCGAGCATTCAGAACTTATTGTACATTCGGGACGACATTCAAAGTATGGATCACCGTTATATTCAGGTAAGCAAGTACAAACTCCATCGTTGCAGACTGCATTTGGCCCACACGGTGAAGGATTGCATAAATCTGCCTCTACAGGTTCTGTAAACAAACGAATAAATATATAACGACAATTAGTTTATGTAGGCAAGTGTGGTTATTCACAATAGTGTTACATGAATGATGCTTACCTATATTCGGTTTAAAAGAACAGCTTTGGAATGGATCACCAATGTAGCCATCAAAGCACGTGCATATAGACACATGCCCTTGTACTCTACAGTTAGAATTTACCCCACACGACCCTGGACAGGGATCTACACATTTTTCATTGATACAGGCCAACTCATTAGAACAGTCCGTGTTAATGGTACATTCTGGACGACAATTTGGTGGACTACCCATATACTGTGGTAAACAGGAGCACGACGGGAAACCACCCATATCGCGACAATCCGAGAATGGACCACATGGCGATGGCAGACATGGATTTGTAACCACCGGTGTAACATCCACAACTAAAATAATGAAATAACATTTGCAATCAACTTTATTTTGGTTAACTAGTCAAGATACAAATTGGTGAATGTTAAATACCTGGTGCCCTATAACATCTGCTAAATGGATCTCCTGTGTATTGTGGACGACACGAGCAAATAGGACTATGATTTATAACCTTGCACTCCGTATTCAGTCCACAAACGCCATCACAAGGATCTTTACATTTTCGTTGAATACATGCTTGTTGTTGGTTACATTCTGAGCTAACGATACACTCAGGTCTACATGCAGGCGGTATTCCCAAATATTCAGGTTCGCATGTGCATACCGCTTGGTTATTCGCTACTTTGCAAATGCTATTTGGGCCGCAAGGCGACGGAGAACAAGGATCCTTATTAACTATTGGAGTATCTGCAAAGAACAAAGTTGATGAATTACCTATAATAATAAATTTTAATAATATTTTTGTAATAAAAGTAGATCTATAACTTACCTAGTATTTCTTCGTAGCAGTTTTGATAAGGACTTCCTGTTAAGCCAGGTGGACATACACACGTCGGGGTGTGATTGACAACATTACATACGGCATTGCGTCCACAAATGTTGTTACAAGGGTTTTTACATCTATTTTGGATACACGCCATGTTTGTAGGACAATCTGAATTGACAACGCATTCTGGACGGCAACCTTCGTAAGGATTTCCGATATAATCTGGGAGGCACACACAAGCACCAGCATTTCTTTGTTCTTTACAAATAGCATTTGGACCACAAGGCGAAGGAGAGCAAGGAGCAAGCGGAACATCAATAATTTGACACCCTCTGAATGCATCACCAGTGTATCCTAGAGGACACAAACATTGGGGAGAATGGCTCACTACTCGACACTCAGCACCAGATCCGCAAGAACCTGGACAAGGATCTTGACATTTTTGATTGATACATGCTAGTTCATTTGAACATTCAGAATTAGAAATACATTCTGGGCGGCAGTTCGGAGGATTTCCCATATAATCAACTTGACAAGCACACGACGGAGAACCTCCTACTTCTCTACATACTGAGTTCGGACCACAAGGTGATGGTTCACATGGGTTAATGTAAGGTGGTGGTTGAATATCTGTAACAAAATGAAACAAATGTTTAGTGATTGAAAATTAAAAAATATAGAAACAATATATAAATGCGAAAGTTAATGCAGCTGAACGGATCGGGATGTTTGGAACGGGGTAGATTTTGCACTGAAATAACTAATTTTTATCAATGTCAATACCCAAAGTACTAATAGCAAAGTTTTTACCTTCTATCACACATCTACTAAACGGATCCCCAGTATGGCCCGATGGACAGGAACATATAGGGTTGTGATTTATTACTTGACACTGAGCTCCTGATCCGCAATTTCCTTTACAAGGATCTATGCATCGTTGATTAGAACAAGCTCGGCTGAGTGGACATTCTGCACTCGATGTGCATTCAGGTCTGCAAGTAGGTGGTGCACCCATATATCCAGAAAGGCAGGAGCAAATGGCTTGGCCATTAATTTCTCGGCATTGACTGTTGGGCCCACATGGTGTTGGGTTGCAAGGCTTTATAGCCTCAGTCACTCTGATAGGGCGACATTCAAGGAATGCGTTTCCTGAGTACCCTGTTGGACACGTGCACATGGGTACATGGTTGAAGACGTTACAAACAGCTTCTCTGCCACATGTATTTAGACAAGGATCAACGCATTTATTTCTGACACAAGCCTTGTTATGGGGACAGTCTGTACTCATAAGACACTCTGGTCGACAACCGAAATAAGGATCCCCTTGGTATTCTGGTAGGCATGTACAAATGCCGTCATTACATAGAGCATTTGCTCCGCAAGGTGAAGGATTGCATAAATCAGTTTCCGAGAAGGTTTCTGAAAAGAAAAAAATAATTTCTGTATCATTGAATTCACCATAAATAATTATAATTATACCACGTTGAAATATTTAATATATGTAATTGGCAATTTCATATATGTTTTATTCCCTTACCATCATTGTCTGGTACTGGTAGACAACGCGTAAATGGATCTCCAGTGAACTGTTCAGAACAGCCACATTGGGCAATATGGTTAAACACAGTACATTGTGCATTTACACCACAAGCTCCTGGACAGGGGTCGCGGCATTTTTCATTGATACAAGCCTGATTGCTGGGGCATTCAGAGTTTATAGTACATTCTGGCCTGCAGTTAGGTGGACTTCCAATGTAATTAGGTTTGCAAGCACACGAAGGAGCATTTCCAATGTTCCGACACTCCGCATATAAACCGCATGGCGATGACAAACACGGATCTTGAGATGGTACATTTTGTGGCGGTTGTGAAACTAAAAATACAGAAATTAATATATTGAACAATTTAAAAAGATTTTTAACTCGTACCGTATTCAGTAAATTACTTACTTTTAATCGGATAACATTTTGTAAATGGATTTCCCGTTAGGCCCTGCTTACAAACACATATAGGGCTATGGTTGATCACATTACAATTGGCATATTCTCCGCACGTGTTTTCGCATGGATTTAAACACCTTTGATTCGTACAAGCTAAATGTGATGGACATTCAGAGCTCACCACACATTCAGGGCGACAGTTTGGTGGTGAACCTATAAAACTAGGTAAACAAGAGCATACAGCTTGGCCTTTCACTTCCTTACATTGACTATTTGCTCCACATGGTGAAGGATTACACGGATTATTTTCCACTACTTGTGCTGAAAATAATAATAATCGCTTTAAGTTTTAATTATTTCACAGTATTTGCAGCAAAAAGTATATAAATATTCTTACGTTCTTGCATGATATTACAGTGGCTGAATGGATTTCCTGTGTATCCTTGCTGACATAAGCATGTCGGAACATGATTCTGCACTTGGCATATAGCATTTGAGCCACATGTACCAGGGCAAGGGTCAATACAATTCATTCTAGAACATGCCCTATTCAGAGGACAATCAGAATTGACTATACACTCTGGTCGGCAGCCTTCATAAGGATTTCCCAAGTAACCCTCTAAACATTGACATGATCCAACACCTCTTTGTTCTTTGCACACAGCGTTGGATCCGCATGGGTTTGGATTACATGGCGTTAAAACTTCAGTCTGTTCGACGATATTCATAGCACTGCAGTAAGTAAATGGATCACCCGTATAACCAGCCTGACATAAGCACATAGGAGCATGACTAACAACTCTACACTCAGCATTAGAACCACAAGCGCCTAAGCAAGGGTCTGCGCATTTCTGATTAAGGCATGCTAAGTTATAGTCACACTCGCTATTGCTAATGCACTCTGGCCGACAATTCGGTGGCGTTCCCTTGTAGGTTGGTAAACAAGCACAAATGGGACTCTCTCCACTTATTCTGCAAATAGAGTGTGGTCCACACGGTGATGGTTCACATGGGTTGACTTGTGGTTCCACAGCAACTGGAATATATAAATAACGGTTATAAAATTAAGTCAAAACATCTAAAGTAAATTATTAGGATATATTATAATTTGAAGTATTGAATAAAACGAATAAAATACCTGTAACGATACATCTCACAAATGGATCTCCAGTAAATGAGGGTGGGCATGTACAAATTGGGTTGTGATTGATAACATCACAAATGGCTGCCGTACCACAGGCTCCAACACAAGGATTTATACACTTTTGGTTGTTGCAGGCTTCTTTTAAAGGACATTCCAGGCTAACAACGCATTCTGGTCGACATGTCGGTGGACTACCGCGATATCCTGGTACGCAAGAACACACTGCTTGTCCATTTGATTCTTGACAACGGCTGTTCGGTCCACATGGTGAGGGATTGCAGGGGTTGGTAATAGTTACTGTAAAAAAGGATTTATGAAATTAAATGTTTATATACAACGAATTAATTAACTGGCTCTAGAAACTGATAAGACAATTTCATTTATTTATTTACTTTCAGCAATATTCTAAGACTTAAAGTCAAAATGTATACATACCTGCTGATACTCTGCATTCTATAAATGCGTTGCCACTCATACCCTTTGGACAAGAACACATCGGCACATGGTTCATGACTTCACAGTTGGCATTCAATCCACAAGTTCCAATACAAGGATTTACACATTTATTTTGTAAGCAGCCCTTATCCAACGGACAATCTGTGTTATACACACATTCTGGTCGGCAGCCAAGGTAAGGATCTCCGTGGTATTCAGCAACACATGAACAAACACCATTGTTGCAAACGCTGTTCGGCCCACAAGGGCTTGGATGACAAGGATCACTTGGTGCAGTCATAGGTACATCTAGAATTAAAGATTGCATTTTTGTTAACAGTCCATTAATAAATATCAATTTAAAATTTGTTAATATAACTTTACCTTCAATGGGCTTAGGATTACATTGTCTGAACGGATCTCCTGTAAAGCCATCCGGACAGAGGCAGACAGGCACATGATTATTAACAAAACATTTGGCGTATAAACCGCAAGAGCCTTCACAAGGGTTTCGACACTTCTCAGCTTCACATGCTTGATCACTCGGGCAGTCAGAGTGGACAACGCATTCAGGCTTACAGTATGGTGGTGAGCCAATGTAAGACGGCAAACATGAACATGAAGCTAATCCGTTGTTATCCCGACATTCGGAGTATGGACCACATGGTGATGGAACGCAAGGATTTGACGGCGCAGCTACACTTGGTGTTGTTTCTACAGTTTAAGGGAAGACAAAATAATAATTAAAATATTCTCACACTAATATCTTAATATAACATGATCATTTGGAATCATATAACTTACGCATTATGAGACTACACATTGTAAATGCGTTCCCAGAATATCCCGGCCGGCAAATACATACTGGACTGTGATTAATTACTTTACAATCCGTATTTTGACCGCATGGCTTTGGGCAAGGATTAATGCATCGTTGATTAACGCAAGCTCTATTTGATTTGCATTCCGAATTTATCACGCATTCCGGCTTACAATTAGGTGGTGAACCCATGTAATTTGGAAGACATGAACAAACTGGCTGATTATTTACTTCTCTACATATGGCGTTTGTTCCACAAGGCGAGGGATTACAAACATTTATTGCAGCAATATCATTTTCTGAAAGAGTAAGTGTATTCAATTTAATTTTCAGAACAAAATTCACCATTTCAATTATTGACAACAACTTCTTACCTCTAATGGGATGACAAATTGAGAGTGGCGTTCCAGTATATCCTGGTTTACAGTTACACATCGGTTTGTGGTTCGTGACATAGCAGTCTGCGTTATATCCACAAACCCCAGGACAAGGATCTATGCATTTATTTCTGTTGCATGCAGAAACCAAAGGACAATCTGAATCAGCTAAGCATTCAGGTCTGCAACCTTGGTAAGGGTCACCAAAATAATCAGGTAAACATGAGCACGATCCCGCGTTTCGTTGTACTTTACATTCGGCATTTACACCACAGGGAGATGGTTCACATGGATTTAGATATTCGACCTTTGAAGGAGCTGAAATGTTTTTCAAATAGAATAAATTCACTTACCGATAAACATGTCAGTCACCGTAGAAGCACGTCCTTGTTCCGAAGCGTTAGTTGAAGCTTGCTGGGCCTGGCGACGTTTAGTGACCTCCATTATCCGGCTTCCGCGTCACTATTTCAAGCAGCACCGTCCATAAGCGGCCGTCATGATGGACAGCCTAAGCTTTACTGTAAGTGCTATGTTATCTCCGCGTGCTCCGTAATCAAGCAAAAGGCATTATTTCACATTAACAGTTATTCATAAAGTTATATCCCTTCTGGAAGCGAACATCATTTCCTAATGTTCATTGTATCGGTACCTACTACCTGATTCTTATTGGAGGCTTATTTTCAAAGCATTTGCATAGATTCTGTATTAATGCAATTACCTTTAAACCACTTGGTGGGCATGGTCACCGCACAGTCACAAAGTAAAAACAACCATACAGTCCTATGTTCATTAGTAAACCGTGTGAGGCGTGTACGCTAATTATATTTTCTTACATGACAAGCACGTCATTTGAAGCATGAACAAATTATCACGCTTTGCAAAGCTGAATGGTTATATGCATCATAAATGGTTGATTTATCAGACTCCCTATAGCATTATTGTACAAATTTCCGTTTACCTCACATTGTAAATATTATTTCAAATAGGTATAATTTGTACCTACCAAAACCGGTTATACTTTACATCATTGAAAAAACCGTTCAGATTTGATCTAAACTCGTAAAAAAACCATTAAAATTGTACAGAAATAAGTTAATAATTACCTTTTGGCTGTGAACAACCCTGGAAGGGGTCACCTTCTAGACCTAGTTCACAAGCGCAGATAGCTCGATGGTCGACTACAGAACATATTGCCCGTGGGCCACAAGCTTGTTCGCATGGATCTTTACATTTCTGTGCAACACAAGCCAGGGCCGCAGGACATTCGGCGCTGATCGTACATTCCGGTCGACAATTAGGTGGTGCTCCTATAAAACCTGGCTGGCAGCTGCACGCTGGTGTATCTCCAGAGTTTATGCAAAGCGAGTTAGGACCGCATGGTGAAGACTCACACGGATCAATTGGTTTTGATGGTGGTGCTGCAAAAAGGAATTTGATTTAGTGCCAAACTTATAAAATGTATATGTATGTAAATATGATCTATGTAAATATGAGGAAGTAAATTTTACCTGGTTTTGGATAACAATATGAGAATGGATCACCAGTATAATCTTCATTACATGTGCAAATAGGTGAATGAGCGATAACTTGACAACGTGCGCCTCGACCACATGCTCCTTCGCAAGGGTCTCGACATCGGCGATCAATACAAGCCAATTGTAATTTACACTCAGCGCTGACTAGACATTCAGGGCGACACGATGGTGGCGATCCAACATGTCCAGCCTTGCACGAACAAGCAGCAGCACCATTTTTACTCACTGAACATTCACTGTATGGGCCACATGGAGACGGCGAGCAAGGAGATGTTGAAGGAATTTCTAAAACATTTTATACATAATTAAAATAGATCTGATCTGATAAAGGTACAAACTAGTTAACAGTATCTTAATTCTTTCTTTTTACCTTTTTTAATCTCAGTGCACAGATTGAAAGGATCGCCTGAGGTGGAAGGCGGACACGTACATGATGGTATATGGTTATTGACTGAACATATAGCATTCGTCCCACATGCACCTGGACAAGGATCGACACATTTGCCTCTTTGACATGTCCGTGTTGGGGAGCATTCGCCATTAGTACTACATTCAAGTCGACAACCCGTGTAAGGATCGCCGAAATATCCGGGAGCACAAGAGCAAAGTCCTGCATCACATATTGCATTGCTACCACATGGTGATGGATTACAAGGATCTTGTGTGATCGGAGGAGTTTCTGTAAAATGGAAACAAATAAGTTAGATAAAATTCAAAAAAAATATTTGCTAAAAAGTAGGAAGATATGTAGTAGTAGGAAGACATTTACCTAACACTTCCGTGCATTGTATAAATGGATCGCCTGAAAAACCGGTAGGACAGCTACAAATCGGTATATGGTCATGAACACGACATTCTGCTCTGAATCCACATGAACCTTCACATGGGTTTCTACATCTTTCTGCGATACAAGCCTGATGAGATGGACAATCTGTATTTACAAGACATTCTGGATGGCAGTTAGGCGGAGCTCCTATATATCCTTGTACACAAGAACATGACGGACTATTGTTAATCGGTCGACATTCACTATACGCTCCACAAGGATTCGGCTGACATGGATGAGGTTGAGGTAGATCTGGTACGTATTCTGTCTTTTCAATTTCGAAACATTTCTTAAACGGATCGCCAGTCATACCCGCTGGGCAACTGCATAATGGACTATGATTAATAACTTGACAATGAGAGCCTATGCCACATGTGCCTCTGCAAGGATCTGCGCATTTCAATCTATGACAAGCCCTATCTGATGGGCATTCACTACTATCAGTACATTCAGGTCTACAATCAGGCGGAGCGCCTCTATAGTCTGGAAGGCATTCACATGATGCTAATCCACCGTTTTCTCTGCAAATACTGTTGGGACCACATGGTGATGGCTGGCATGGTTTAACTATTTCTACGGGTTGTTCCTTCGTACACTGATCAAATGGATTTCCTGTGTACCCCTTGATACAGGCACAGCTTGGAACGTGGTTTATAACATTGCATTCAGCGTTCCTACCACATATTCCAGGGCAAGGGTCTACACATTTATTTCTAATACATGATTTATCGGCAGGACAATCGGAACTTAGTACACATTCAGGGCGACAACCGTCATAAGGATTTCCTAGGTATCCTTCTAGACAGGAACATGATCCAGCTCCATCCCTTTGAGTACAAATTGCATTTGCTCCACATGGTGATGGATCACAAGGCTGAACTGCATTTTCTGAAAACAAAAATATTATTAAACACGCGTACTAAGGAGTGTTATTTATCACGAGCAACAAAATAATAAGACAATATACCTTCTTGAACAACACACTGCATAAATGGATTACCCGTAAACTTTTCTCTGCACATACAGGAAACAGTATGGCTCACCACGATGCAGTCAGCATTTACTCCACATGAACCAGGACATGGATCTACACATTTATTCTTAATACATGCTTGATTTGAAGGGCAATCTGGATTAATCACACATTCTGGTCTACAATTTGGTGGTTGTCCGATGTAGTTTTCGATACATCTGCAATTAGCTTTTCCATTTCTTTCCATACATTGTGAATTAGGTCCACATGGAGATGGATTGCATGCATCTACTGGTGGAGACGGTGGAATTACTATATCGTAACAACTTTTAAATGGATCACCAGTTTGCCCTGAGTTACAACTGCAAATTGGACTATGGTTTATTACTTCACAACGTGCTGATACTCCACAAGCGTTTATACAGGGATTAATACACTTTTGATTTACGCATGCTTTAGTTGACGGACATTCAGAGCTGACCACACATTCTGGCCGACAAGTTGGTGGTGATCCTTGGAATCCTTCAAGACAAGCACAAATTGCAGCATTGTCGACGTTTTTGCAAATACTGTTGGGTCCACAAGGGGAAGGATGACAAGGGTCCCTTGGTCTTGCTTTCTCTTGTTCCATACGACGACAATGAGTGAATGGGTTGCCAGTATATTCTGTCATACACGAACACGTCGGTATATGGTTAATGACGTCACATTTAGCATTTTGTCCACATGTGCCTGGACAAGGATCTCGGCATTTATTTCTGAAACAGGCCTTATCTCGGGGACATTCTTGGCTTCCAGTGCATTCTGGTCGGCAACTTTCGTAAGGATTTCCACTGTAATCCGCTAGACAAGTACAGAATCCGTTGTCGCATACAGCATTAGCACCACATGGAGATGGATTGCATGGGTCTGTAGGGGCCGGTGTTGTTGAATCTAAAATTAAAATCAACAATTAGTTTATAATCTTATTTAAAAATATAATGTTAAAAACACTGTATTGCCGCGGTGGCCCGGAGGTTTAAAACGCCTGCGTCTCATACATTAGGGTGCGGGTTCGAAACCTACCAACGGCAAGTACCAGTGTGACTTTTATCGAGTATTTTTACTTTCTAAAATCGTTTAGATACCACTGACACATCATACACATAGAGGTGGAGGGAAACATCGTGAGGAAACCTGACCTTATGATTTCTAATTATAAGTTTTAAATCGCTCTCCCGCTATGAGCAAACGTTGTGACAATGCTCAAACCTGCTCCGTGTGAGGCCTGTGGTCAGCAGTGGCCACTTATTGGCTGATGATGATTATGACTGGCCTCATTGGTCGAGAGGCTGCAAGACCAACTGTCGAGCAACAGGCTTCGGGTTCAATCCTCGGTTCAGGCAAAGTGCTGTTTTGTCATGGTTACTCTCCCATGACAAAATAGCACAAACGTGAGGTTGAGCCCAGGGGCAATTGGCTCACCCTCTATTATGTAGGAGTGTTTAATGTATACATTAATTAAATACATTAAGGCTGGGCAACCGGGTGCCGTGCAACGTGTCGCGGGTTCGATTCCCGCGCGGAACAACACTTTGTGTGATCCACTAATTGTTGTTTCGGGTCTGGGTGTCATTGTGTATGATAACTTGTATATTTGTAAACGCACCCACGACACAGAAGAAAATCCTAGTGTGGGGTAATGTTTTTATTAAAACAAAAACAAAACACATTTGCTTAACTTTCGAGGAATAAATAATGTGATATTATACTACCTCTATATGTAAATTGAAATAATATTTTGATAGAACATAACTTTATAAAAAAATAATGATAGTACATACCTTCAAGAATACGTAGACATCTTGCAAATGGATCACCAGTAAAACCTTCGTTACATACACACACGGCTACATGGTTCAATACATGACATGACGCATCTACTCCACACGAGCCCGGACACGGGTCTTCACATTTTTGTCGTACACATGCAAGTGAAGCCGGGCATTCGGCGTTAATTGTACATTCTGGTCGACAAGATGGCGGAGAACCCACGTAACCAGGAAGACACGAGCATGCTGGTCCACTTGCTAACAGTTGACAACGTGAATGAGGACCACACGGTGACGGAGTACAAGATGGAGGTCTTTCTGTTGTGGGTGGAATTCCTAAAATAAGGAATAATATTGTAAATAAAGAGAACGGATATTTTTTGCTAAATTAAGTGGGAAATATTGTATTAATTTACTTAGTTACATTGAACTTACCGTAACACTGAGTGAAAGGATCTCCAGTCATTCCCAACGGACATGTACATATAGGACTATGATTCTTTACAATGCAGTGTGCTCTCAATCCACAGGAATGCGGGCAAGGGTCATCACATTTTTGATTGATACAAGCCTTTGAAGTATCACATTCACTGTTAACAATACACTGTGGGCGGCAGGCTGGAGGTGAACCGATGTAATTCGGTAAACATGAACATACTGCTTGCATGTTTACTTGTCTGCACTGGCTATTTGGTCCACATGGTGTGGGTTCACATGGATTTTGTGGTGGAGTAGCTGTAATGAAAATGTACATTTAACGTGAATTTCTTATTAAGAACTAACGTGTGGTTGCTTTTGAAATCGTTTAATCATATAATTAAAAAATAAGTACAGTTAAACTTACGAGATATGGTAATTTCTTTGCACTGGAAGAATGGATCACCAGTATATCCTCTAGGACAAGTACAAACAGGAATATGATTTTCCACAGTACATTGTGCCATTTGCCCACATGTTCTTGGGCAGGGATCGATACATTTAAATCGAGTACATGCTAAATTTGGTACACAATCATCGTTACTCTCACATTCCCTTCTGCATCCCTGCGTACTGTACGGGTCACCCTCGTAGCCTTCCGAACACACACAAGCACCAGCTCCGTTGTATTCACGGCATTCTGCGTTAGGACCACATGGAGAAGGCGTGCATGGACTTGATGTTGGAGTCATTTCAGTTGCTATAAAAATGTAAGAAACATTAAGACGATTACCTTATTTTTAGGGTAAATGGCTATTTAAATTTCTAAATCCTATATTTAATTGATGTATATATACACAAACTTATACGTACATGATATAACGATTTGAATACAATTCTTTCCGGCGTCACCAGTAAATCCGTGCTGGCAAGAGCATACTGGTTTGTGATTTATAGTTAAACAAAGAGCATTTACACCGCACGCTCCTTGACAAGGGTCCTTACAACGCTCGTTTATACAAGCTGTGTTACTAGGACATTCTGGATCAATAGTACATTCCGGTCTACAATTCGGCACTCTGCCAATGTAGTTTGGCAAACAGGAACATGCAGCCTGATCTCCAATAACACGACATTCCGAATTAGGTCCACATGGAGAAGGTACACATGGGTTTGTGGTAGGAACGTCACCTAAATTAAAATTGAACGGCATTATGAAATTCGTAAAGTTAAACGACATTAAAAAAAGTAAGATGTCTTCAACTCTAATATAAACGGTCGCTCAATTACTTACGTTCTATCAGAGTGCACTGTGTAAATGGATCTCCAGTATATCCGGGACTACAAGTACAAATGGGATTGTGTGTTATTACTTGGCATCTCGCGTTGACGCCGCAAGAGTTCTGGCATGGATCCTTGCACTTCTTTTTAATACAGGCTTTGTCTTGTGGACATTCCGAACTGACAATACACTCGGGCCGACAGGAAGGTGGTGTGCCAATGTAGTCACTCTCACAAGTACATACACTGTGACCGTTTATCACTCGACATAAGCTGTTTGGCCCACAAGGTGATGGTTGACAAGGGTCTAATGGGGTCTTCGGATTTTCTGTAACAACTACAATCAGAATTTATTTCAATGATTACCTTATTCTAGAATGTGCTCCTCCATCTACCTATTATAATACATTTTTTACAACGTTAATAATTTAAAAGCACTTACTTTCGATTTCGCATCTAACTAATGGGTTACCGGTGTAACCAGTAAGACACGTGCATGTTGGAGAATGGTTGACAGTTCGACATTCAGCATTAATGCCGCAAGCTCCTGGACAAGGGTCTTTGCACCGATTGTTTGAACACGCCTTGTTGCGATCACAATCTGAATTTGAGACACATTCTGGTCGACATCCTGTGTAAGGATCACCAAAGTATTCCGGCAAGCATGAACAGGAGCCCACTCCGTTTCGTTCTTTACATAACGCGTTAGCGCCACAGGGTGATGGACTGCAAGGATTTGGCGGTGGCTCTGAATGTTCTGAAATTGAAACATCAAATATTTCACAAAATGTACATGATAAAAATAGCCAATGCTGCTGCTGCAATTTAAAACTTACGTTTGAACGGTGAACAGCCACTGAAAGGATCACCTGTATATCCCAACCAACAGCTACATAGTGCGACATGATTGGCTACAGAACATTCCGCATTAAAACCACAAGAGCCAGGACATGGATCCACACATTTCTCATTTTGGCATGCAAGATTACCAGGGCATTCCGCGTTTATAGAACATTCAGGTCTACAATTTGGTGCTACACCAATGTAATTCGGTAAGCATGAACATGCAGGCGCTTCGCCAACTACTTTACACTGAGAATATGGACCGCATGGTGATGGAACACATGGATTTCCTTTAGGCACGTCTAAGATAGGTTCTAAGAAAGACAGAAAAATAAGAAAGATTTAGAAAAATAGTACACAGGAAACATAAAAAAGCTATAGAGAAAAATGAAATATAAATGAAAAGAAAAATGAAAACAAAGAAAATAATAAATTATGAACAATATAAATTTCCAGGGAAATTAAAACATGAACTGTTTAATTTGAGCCTCTTTTATTATTTTTCTAATATTCTTACTTTGTTCCAACTGGCAAGTTACGAACGGATCGCCAGTAAATCCAGCATTACAAGTACATATCGGATTATGGTTTATCACTTGGCATTTAGCGTTGACACCACAAGTTCCTGGGCATGGGTCCCGACATTTTTGTTTAATGCAAGCTTGATGTTGAGGACAATCTGTGCTTATAACGCATTCTGGTCTACAAGTGGGTGGTGTGCCCACAAATCCTTCTCGGCAAGAGCATACTCCGTGGTCATCCACAACTTTACAATTGCTATAAGGTCCACAAGGCGTTGGAATACAGGGGTTTACATCCGCGATAGGTGCTAAAATGAAATACATTAAGTTATGATTTAGAAAGCAAAGAGTTTTAATTTATATTCCTTATTTCATTTTGGAATACTAACGTTTTCTTTGTGGATGACATGATACGACTGGATTTCCTTCATAACCATCAATACACAGGCATACAGGTGTATGATGCGCAACAGTACACTGTGCATTTAGACCACACGCGCCTTGACATATATCTACACATTTATTATTGGAGCATGCTTTATCAAAAGGACAGTCGTTGTTTGTGACACATTCAGGACGACAACCCAAATATGGATCACCAAAGTATCCCGGCGCACATGTACAGGCTCCAACCGAATTCTTTTCAGTGCATATGGCGTTCGGACCACACGGAGATGGATTGCATGGATTCGTTTCATCTTCACTTGGTACTGTGACTAAAATAAAAAACAAAAATTCGTTGGAGTTCTTAAAGATTTTTTTGTCAACCAAAATAAATAACTACTTTTCACACAAACTTACCAATAAAGTAACACCCACTAAACGGATCACCAGTATAACTTTCTCGACAATGGCAAACGGCTTTATGGTTTATTACAACACATTCCGCATTTGAGCCACAAGATCCTTGGCAGGGATTTACACACTTTTCACGGATGCAAGCTAAGTTACTCGGACATTCTTCATCATATATACATTCAGGACGACAATTAGGTGCTCTTCCTATGTAACCAGGTTGACAAGAACAAGCCGGAGTCTCGCCAATCACCCGGCATTGTGAATTAGGTCCACATGGCGATGGTATACAAGGATTTCCAGAAGGCTTAGGTTCCGGCCCTAAAATTATTTAAAATATTTATATTTCGATCATGTTTGGTTAAAAATTAGTCTGTTAGTTTACTATTTAACTGTAGTAACTCACGTTTTTCATATGAGCAATGTACGAATGGATCTCCAGCGTAATTTGGTGGACAACTACATAATGCATTGTGGTTGACTACAGTACATTTCGCATTGTTTCCACACGCTCCGATGCAGGGATCAACACATTTCTGATTGATACATGCTTTGTTGGGCATACATTCGCTGCTAACTATGCATTCCGGCCGACAGAAGGGCGGAGTCCCGAAATATAGCTCTTGACAGGAGCATATAGCGTGACCACTGGTAATACGACATAAACTGTATGGTCCACAAGGGGAGGGTGAGCACGGATCAATTGGTATTTCATTTTGTCCTAAAACAGATTTTATTTTAGAGTACATCTATAAAATACGTAGGTATATGAATTGTTTATTCAGAATAACTAAGAATTCTTACGTATGTAACAAGACGTAAATGGATTTCCTTCGTAACCAGGCAAGCAAGCGCAAGACGGCGCGTGATTATTTATACGACATTCAGCGTTCATTCCACATACTCCAGGACAGGGATCTTTACATTTATTATTGATGCAAGCTCTGTCTCTTGGACAGTCTGAGTTTAAGACACATTCAGGACGGCATTCCACATATGGGTCTCCAAAGTAATCAGGAAGGCAAGTACATGAACCGATTCCTTGTCTTTCTTTGCATATGGCATTTGCTCCACACGGTGATCGTGAGCATGGACTTTCAACTTGTGGTTCAATAGCTACAAGAATAAACAAATTGCTAGTAAACAACGCTCTTTACATTACAAAGTCTTATTTCATGTGCAGTAAAACTTACATGGAATAGGAGAACAGCCAGAAAATGGATCTCCAGTGTACCCTTGGTCACAAGAACATACTGGAATGTGTTTGACAACAGCACAACTTGCGTGGTATCCACATGATCCCGGACAAGGATCACTACACCTTTCAGAAATGCAGGCTAAGTTGCCTGGACATTCAACGTTTATCATGCATTCAGGCCTACAGTTAGGGGGACGTCCAATATAGTTTACTAAACACGAACAAACTGCCAGTCCATTAATATCTTTGCATTGAGAATGTGGACCACACGGATTAGGTAAACAGTTATTTATTGGTTCCATTTGTTCTGTCAAATAAAAACATGTTTAAGAAATAGATAATAATCATGAATACGTTATTTAATATCAAATAAATGTCAGTATTACTTACTTTCTTCAAAGAAACATCTAATAAAAGGATCACCGGTGTAACCATTAAAACAGCTGCATATAGGGTTGTGGTTAACTACTTGACATTGAGCCTCAATACCGCACATACCAGGACACGGGTCTTGGCATTTTTGATTAATACATGCTTTATCCGGTCGACAATCGGAACTAACGATACATTCAGGCCTACAATTTGGCGGAGAGCCAACACACAGATCAAGACATGTACAAACAGCATGCCCGTTAAATACGCGACATTTACTGTACGGCCCACAGGGTGTTGGGTTGCATGGATCCACAGGTTCCGGTAGTGCTATATTTTATAGGAAAGAAAATAGACAGATAAGTAAAATAGTATGAAATTCAGAAATAGACATAAAGAAAGATCAAGAAAGATAGTCTTACATGAGACAGGAGTACATGCATGAAGAGGATTTCCTCTAAATCCAGGTAAGCAGTAACATGAAGGTGCATGGTTTGCGACTCTACATTCAGTATTTTGTCCACAAGCGCCAGAGCACGGGTCCACGCATTTGTTATTGAAACAAGACCTGTCTCTAGGACAGTCAGTGTTCATAACACATTCTGGACGACAGCCACGATATGGATCACCGTAAAATTCATCTACACATGTACAAGAACCAGCACCATTCCTTTCTCGACAAATGGCATTAGGTCCACAAGGTGATGGATTGCAAGGTTGATGAGGTACATCTTTCGAAGCTGCAAAATGGTATACATAAACATGCTATCACATACATTTACAATTATCATGCAAAATGATGGTGCATTTAAGGAATAAATAATATTTTCGCTTACCTTCAACAGGATTGCAGCCAGCAAATGGATCACCAGAAAATCCTTCGTCACATGAACATACTGGTTGGTGGTTTTGCACGATACATCGCGCATTAAAGCCACAGGACCCTACGCATGGGTTCACACAGTTGCCTGCTAGACAAGCAAGCGCCAGCGGGCAGTCTTGGTTTATAACACATTGTGGACGACAAGACGGTGGCGCCCCCAGCGTGCCTGGTTCGCACGAACAAACTGCACGGCCGGCTTCATTGCGGCAGGAAGAATGTGGGCCACATGGCGATGGTAGACATGGGTCCGGCGCTGGTTGAGTAATAGCTGACAAAAAAGCAATTATTAGATAAAGTCACAACCTCAGTTATTTTTATGCAACAATTTGTTATTGTACGTACATGATTAATCTATCTATAATTATTATGTGATCTATAATTATGGCTATCAAACTTGACAAATTACACTGTTTCCAGCATAAAATCGAAGTTTCTTTATTATGACAAAACAACGCACAAATTAAGTTATGAAAGATTTTGTAAATACGTACTTTTCCTGTAACATCTGATAAATGGGTCACCTTCGGGTAGATTTTCTGGGCAAGTACAAATTGGATTATGTCCAACTACGTGACATCTTGCATCTAAACCGCAACTATGAAGACAAGGATCCTTGCACTTGTGATTGATGCAAGCTTTGTTTGTAGGACAATCAGAATTTACTGCACACTCAGGACGGCAGGCAGGTGGTGCACCCAAGAATCCAGCGCGGCATGAACATGCGGCACGGTCATTCACTACATGACATTCACTGTTTGCTCCACACGGCGATGGCTCACAGGGATTGAAAGGTGATGCTAGAATGAACAGAGTCATTTCATTATTACAGCAAAAAAGATACATTTAACTTGAATATTATTTACCTAACCCGATAATATTTTACATAAATTAACTAGTAGGCTGCGCAACATCGCGGCGACCGCGCACGCTGCTCATGAGGAAGAACCCCTCTGTGGTTCGAAACTAGTAGAGCTTTTCTCAGTATATTCACGTGAGTAACTTGCGATTTTTAGTTAATTTAGTATGTCTCACGATAGTTATTATAAAAATATTTTACATAGTTATGAACCGAGAATTTAATTTAAAATTAAACTTAAACAAGCTAAACGTATAGAATAAAATGAAGTTGTACATACGTGCTTTCGGTTTCTGACGACATGATGAGAATGGATTGCCTTCATACCCTTTGAAACATGTACATACTGGAACATGATTAGTGACAGAACATTCAGCGTTTACGCCACATAAATCTTTGCATGGATCTCTGCAGTGATTGGATAAGCATGCTAAGTGGTTCGGGCAATCTGAGTTTATAGTACATTCTGGTCGGCAGCCTCCAGCGTACGGATTACCAATATTAGGAGGTATACATGAGCACCGTGCTACATTGTTCACAACTGTGCATACAGTATTGTCCCCACAAGGTGATGGGTTACATGGTGTTCGTGATTCATCTTTCGCAATTGCAACACAACCTACAAACGCATCACCTCTATATCCTTCAAGGCAACTACAAAGAGGTGTGTGATTTACTACGTTACATCTGGCATTGTTACCGCAGGCACCAACACATGGATCGACACATTTCTCGTTGATGCATGCTCTGTTAGATGGACATTCTTGACTTATAACACATTCTGGTCTACAGTATGGAGGCGTGCCTGAATAATTTGGACGACACGAACACACTGGATGGTTTGACTTAATTTCGCAAACAGAATTGGGGCCACACGGTGATGGTATACAAGGGTTTTTGTCCACAGGCACAGGTTCTATGACTTCAGCACAAGCTACAAATGGATCTCCTGTTTTTCCTGGGCTACAACTACATATTGGGTTATGATTAACTACAATACATTCGGCATTTACACCACAGCTGCCCTGACATGGATTAGTACACCGTTGATTTACACAGGTGTCCGTTTGAGAACAATCCGAATTACTGACACACTCAGGTTGGCACATTGGTGCTACTCCTCTATGACCTGGTAAGCACGAGCATACTGCAAATCCTGAAGGTGATACAAGGCATCGACTGTATGGTCCACAAGGCGATGGGTCACATGTAGACCCGGTAGGTGGCAATGACACGGTTGGTTGGCACCTTACATAAGGATCTCCAGTGTTGCCTACTTCACAATAACATACCGCGTGATGGTTGACGGTTTTACATAAAGCACCAATACCACATATGTCGGTACAAGGGTTTTCACACTTATTATTCAAGCAGGCCAACTCTGGTGAGCAATCACTATTGACGACACATTCAGGACGGCATGACATATAGGGATTTCCATAAAAGTTTGGCAAACATTTACAAGTTTGGGCACCATTTATATCTTCACAAATAGCATTAGCACCACATCTTACATTGTCGCACGTTTCGGCCAAAACAGCTACAAAAAAGTAAAGGTATTTAATATTATTAATACTATGTTAATGAATTTCGAATATGAAGTTTTGAATACTTACGATTTCTGGTTGGCTTGCAATGTTCATAAGGATTTCCTTCGAAGCCTTCTTTGCAGTGACATATCGGATCATGGTGATAAACTGAACACAATGCATTAATGCCACATGAGCCTGGGCAGGGATCTACGCATTTATTTCTCAAACAAGCCTTATTAAAGGCACATTCTGAATTAAACACGCATTCTGGTCTACACGCTGGATTATTTACTGCATTTGGTCCAACACAAGTGTCGCAAATTGCAAATTGATTTCCATAAGTATCACAAGGGGCGGTAGGATCGCAAGGATTAGGCGAGCATGGTTGAACAGTCGTATTATCAGATCCAATTATTATTGCTGAAATTATGAAAAGACAGTTTAAATTAATTCGGCTATAATCTATTTAACTTGAGTCAGTAAAATTGAAATAAAATACTCACGTCGATAAAGACATTGAGTCAAAGGATCTCCGATATATCCATCTGGGCACATGCAGGACACCGTGTGTTCGGAACACAAACACACTGCATGTATACCACACACGTTGTTGAATGAACATGGATCTGTACACTTTTGGTTTATACAAGCTTCATTAGGTGAACAATCCGAATTCATAGTACATTGAGGTTTACATTCTACTGTTGGATCTCCAAGGAAATTAGGTGGACAAGAACATAGAGCTTTATCACCAACGTCTTGGCAAATTGCGTTTATACCACACCTTACCGTGTTACAAGGTTTTTTAGGATTCGATTTTTGGTCCCCAGGTGGCAAACAACTCATTAAAGGATTGCCGACAAATCCATCTGCACATACACAAACTGGTCTATGAGATTCAACACGACATTTAGCATTTATTCCACACGCACCTGGACACGGGTCCCGACAAGTATATCCAATACAAGCTCGGTTAAGTTTACATTCATCATCTACTTCACATTCTCGAGAATGACAACCATCAACTCCGTAAGCATCACCTATACTGCCTTCAGGACAAATACACAATGCTTGTCCTTCGTAGTTGACTTGACAGATGGCTTGAGGCCCACAAGGGTTGGGTGTACACGGACTTCTTTGAGGTTGGCAGCCAACATGTGGATCCCCAGTAAATCCAGTCTTACAGAAGCACATTTCCATATTGCCACTAACGTAACAATCTGCATTTGGACCACATGGACCTGGTCGACAAAGTACGTCAGGTGGCAGATAACCTTGTGTGTTGCACGATTTATACGGATTACCTATAGCGTTTTCAGGGCAGTAACACGGCGGAGATCGGTTCGGGTCACATCGTGCTCCGATACCACAAGTATTTGGTTCACAAGGATTGCGTGATTCCACACATCCTCTAATTGTATTGGGACTTTCTATGTAACCTGGTAAACAAGTGCATTTTGCAAATCCATTTGATTGTATTGTGCATTGTGTGTTGGGCCCACAGGGAGACGGATTGCATGGATTATTTGGTAAGCGACATTGTTGACGAGGAGGATCTCCTTCATAGTTGGGTAAACAGAAACAAGCAGGTTTGTTATCGATTAATCTGCATCCAGAATACGGGCCACACGGATTTGGTTCACATTCATTTCCTTCAGGTACTGAAATTAAAATTGATGGATGGTAAATAAATACATTTTCAGTGTGTAATGGATCCGAAAACCCTAATAAACATTAAATCAAATCATTGACTAATTATTCAATTACTATTGATATAATGTAAATTTTTGGTATATATTATACTTACTGCAATTTTTGAAAGGATTTCCTGTTAATCCTTTAGGACAGAAACAAATTGGATTGCCGTTATCACTTTCACACATTGCGTTGGTTCCACAAGGATTTGGAATACATGGATTTGTAGGTGGTTCACATCCATGTTGCGGATTTCCAGTGTAACCTGGTAGACATTTACATGATGCGCGGTGATTCAAAACGTCACATACAGCGTTTATTCCACATCGACATGGAGACCCACATTTGCCATTTATGCAGGCTTCAGAATTTGCGCATTCGTTATCTGAACGGCATCCTTGTACTGAAATAAACACAACTATGTTACTAACAAATTATATTAATACGCTTATTTAAATAATTCTGATTCTAATTTAACTGATCTAAGACGAAGTAATTTGATTTTCTATTAAATTAAAATTAACTTAATTAAAAATATAATCTCACCTTGGAAACATTCAAGGAAAGGATTTCCGGTAAAACCAGCAGAGCATTTGCATTGTATACCATGATTTGCTGGGAAACATTCTGCGTTATCTCCACACTTATTTACAGCACAGGGGCTTATGCAAACTCTGTTCAATTTGTCACATAGCAGTTCTGGAGGACAGTCTTCATTATATTGACATACTGAACCGGGTGGTATTACTAAAATAACAATATATATTACAATTTATATAGCCCATAAATCTACACGTACACTTACGCTCGATCATTGTGATATTTACCTGGCACACATCCAACGTAGCCATTTCCTTGGTATCCTTCGACACAGCTACAGTCTGATCCATGGTTTGTGTTTATACAGACCGCATTTGGTACGCACGGATTGTGTATGGCACATGGGTGTTGACATGCATTATTTATACAAGCTTCAGTCAAGGGGCAGTCTTCATTTTGAGTGCAACCAACTGAGTAAAATGTAAGATACATATTTATAATATTGTACAAAGAGTGAACCTACAGAACCACATAGAAAGTAACAACGTGTAAAGTGATTTTTAAAAAGATATTAATAGTTAAACTTTATTTCGATATATATGTACATACATTTAAACCAAAACCATTAAATTAATTTTAAATAATATTTTAGTCTTTGCATTTTAGGAATAAGTATATTACAATACACCATTATACTTAATCTTAACACTAAATGTTGCTATGTAATAGGTAAGGTGTAAGTAAATGACAAATTCAATGTATTTTCTATTAGTAGGTATCAGTTGAAGCTTACATATTTTAGGTGAACATTTAACAGCAGGATCTCCATCATGTCCGGCAGGGCACGAGCACATAGGCCTTTGCTTTACTGGTTGGCAATTGGCTCCTATGCCACATACGTTGTCGAACTCACAGGGATTTTGACACAATCCCATAAAACAGGCTTCGGTCTCTATACAGTCCCGATCAGAGTGACAAGGTTCTGGTACCTTGGGTGTTCCAGGTGATTCTAGTATTTTACAGTTAGATACAGAATTAGTATGTTACATTTAAGATAAAGTGCATATTAGTGTATTTACAAATTAATAACATGATTTTATTATGTCCGATCAAAGTAAGTATTCATCTGTCCGATAAAACGATCATAATATACTGGTACTGATAAAAATATAATAAATTGACATTATGAGCTTTACACAGAAATATTAAAACCTCCTCAACATTATCATTATTTTTAGAACCTAAAAAACAATACACCTGGTAAGCCTACCTTTGCGTGAGCAGTGGATCCCAGTGACGTCGTTACACACACAAATGGCGGCATGACCCACGACTATACATGATTCGTTCTTTGTACAACCATTTCCATCTATTTCACACGGATTCTGGCACACTTCGTTAAGGCAGGCTTTATTCGTCGGGCAATTTGAGTTTGTTTTACAGGTGTTAATATGTAAGTCAGTACTTTGTACAGTAGTCTCAGTCGAAGTCATGTCAGTTAGAGTTGTGTCAGTCCAAGCAGAAATATCAACAATTTTTCTACGAGATGACAAACTCTCAGTCGATGTACTTATAATTCCTGTCGACGTATGTTGTACTTTAGATGTAACGTAAATATTCGTGGATTGAGTATTCGAAGAAGCATTATCAGGCATTACTTTAGTGACCGATTCGTTTAATATACTATTATTTTGTTTAATGTCAGTAATATTTTGTTGAAGGATAGATATTACGGTAGTGTCTTCTTTACCTGGTGTGAATGTGGTTTTATCAGTAAGTTTGGAATATGGTGTCATTATAATTATATCGCTTTCAGTTGTTACCGCTCCAAATGAAACGTCAACATCGTTTGTTACTAATGGTGACGTAATTAAGCTATTTGTCGTACTAGTGATATCGTCAGAAAATCGTGTGTTTTGCGGTAAAGTTGTCGGAATACCATGACTAAGCGTTGGAGTCGTGTCTCCAATAATGTTGGTAGAATCAAATGATTTAGAGGTATATGAATTAGGTTCAAAGCGATTTATTGCACTTTCTGGCGGTGTTTTACTCATGATTTCTGTAGTAGATTCGGATAAGTCTCTGTTCTTAACAGTATTTATATGTGTAGTTTCGGTTGGAATGTTATTGACGTTTATGCTATCAATATTACTAATAGTGCTGGTAAGGTAAGTTTCTGTTTCAAATTTGTTTTGATTTGACACTTCATCACTTCCAAACGTCATCGCGCTTGTGTTATTTATCAAATACGAAGATGTGATAGATTTGGTGGTAAAATTCGCAGTATTATCTGATTCAGTTACCGTTTCATAATTATTGTCCAAGGTCGTTGTACCTAAATCTGTAGCAAATAGTGTTTTTTCGGGCAGCATATTGGCGGCTGTGTAAGAAATGTCTGTGGTACTAGGAATTTCCGTCCATGCCCGTTTACTGCTTGCGTCTAAAGAGGGTGTACTTGTCTGTAAATTATTATTTATTGTTGTTTTTTCCACTTCATTTTCCGTAATTTCAGTTGTTACCTTTTCTGTTTTCTTACTCGTTTCTTTGTCTAATTCGGTTGATAGAATCAATCCGTCAGTCACTATAGTTTGGGTACCTAGATCTTCCATTGTGACAGTATTTTTTGTCAAACTCTTATAAGTTGTTGTATCTAACTTTATTTCATTTGTAAATTCTTCTTGTGTACTTTGAGTACCCAATTGTATAGTATGTGTAATTAAATTACTGTACGTTGTGGAATCAATATTTGGTTTACTAGATTGATTCCAATCTTTTGTTACTTCTTTTTGAGCAGTTTGAGTATCAGAAGTTTCCATAATCACAAATTTTTTATCTAAACCTTTCGTTGTTGTATCAATTTTCATATCAGTAGATCCAGTTAGATTATCTGGATCCATGTTTTGTGGATTAAAAGTTTGTATAGTAACAGTGTTCTTATCCATATACTTATTAGTTGTTGTGCTCACTCTGTTTGTACTTGTTAATTCAGTCAATCCATCTACTACAATATTTTGTGTCTTTTCAGTGTCTGAGGTTTCTGTACTTTTTACTAAAATGTTGCTAATTATTGTAGTGGTATCTGCATATATTTCAGTTAATTTATCTAAAGTTTCTGTCGTTATTTCGTTTGTGCTTGGAGTACCTAATATAAATTCAGTTGATTTAGATACTGCGCCTGTTATAATTTCTTGGGTATTTTGAGTACTAAATGTAGTTTCATCCATACTCTTATAAGTTGTCGTATCTATCATTACTTCGGTTGGTTCACTTATTCTGTCTGTTACTGTATACTGTGAGTTCAAATTTGTCACAGGGACTGTGGATTCCACTAAATTTTTATTTGTTATAGTATGAATTTTAGATTCAGTCGATTTAAACATTTCGTTTGTTACTGTATCTTGTGGGCTTGGAGGTTCCATGGTAATAGTAGTTTCAATGTTTCTATAAGTTGTTAAGCGTATTTTGGATTCAGTTGATCCACCCGATTCATCTGTTACTATATTTCGTGGACTCGTAGTTTCCGTGGTAATACTTGCTTCAAAACTCTTATTAGTCGTTGAGCCTATTTTAAATTCCGTTGTTTCGGTAAATCCATTAGTCACTATTTTTTGTGAGCTGGGAGTTGCCATAGAAGCAGTAGTTTCAAAGCCCTTGTCAGACATTGTGCTCATTTTAAATACAGTTGATCCATTTAATCCTTCAGTTACTGTTTCATGTGGGCTCATAGTTTCCGTAGCAACAGTAGTTTCAAAATTTCTAACAGTCGTTGTGTGTGTTTTAGATTCAGTTGACCCACCCAATCCATCAGTTACTGCATCTTGCGGTCTTCGAATACCCATAGTTACAGTAGTTTCATAATTCTTATTAGTCGTTGTATCTATTTTGAATTCTGTTGATTCAGTAAATCCATCAGTTACTGTTTCTCGTGGGCTAGCAGTTTCCATAGATCCTGTAGTTGCAAAGTCATTGTTAGTAATTGTGCTTATTTCAAGTAGAGGTGATCCATTTAATCCTTCGGTAACTGTTTTTCGTAGACTCGGAGTTTCCATAGCGACAGTAGTTTCAATATTTCTATTGGTTGTTGTGTGTATTTTAGATTCAGTTGATCCTTCCAATGCATTTGTTACTGTAATTTGTGGGTTTATAGTTTTCGGGCGCATAGTGGTTTCATAATTCTTATTAGTCACCGTGCCTGTTTTAAATTCTGTTGATCCAGCTAATCCATCAGTTACTGTTTTTTGTGGACTTGATTTTTCCATAGAGACAGTAGTTTCGAAATGTTTATTAGTTGTGTGTGTTTCAGATTCAGTTGATTCATCAGTTACTGTATCTCGTGGGCTTGGACCTTCCATAGTTACAGTAGTTTCAAAATTCTTACTAGTTGTTGTGCGTATTTTGGGTTTAGTTGACCCACCCAATTCGTCAATTACTGTTTCTCGTGGGCTAGATGTTTCCATAGAAACAGTAGTTTCAAAGTTCTTGTTAGTAATTGTGCTTATTTCAAATACAGTTGATCCATTTAATATTTCGTTGACTGTTTCTTGTGGAGTCGGAGTTTCCTTAGCGATAGTAGTTTCAATGTTCCTATTAGTTGTTGTGTCCAATGTATTAGTTACTGTAATTAGTAGGTTTGTAGTTTCCGTGCTCACAGTAGTCTCAAAATTTTTATTATTTATTATGTGTGTTTTAGATTCAGTTGATCCACTTAATCCATCTGTTACTTTATCTCGTAGGCTCGGAGTTTCCGCAGTGACAGTAATTTCAGATGTAGATGTTAAAACGAACTCATGTACCTTGCCTGTGGTCATTATATCCGACCTATCATTTGGTTTTACTCGTTCAGTTGTATATAATCCATTATCAGTCATTCGGGTAAATCCTTTATCAAATATATTAGTTTCTGATGAGATAGATCCATCATCTGTAGTTACCAACGAAATGTCAATATCTGTTTTTTGAGCAGATTCGGTTGTAGCTAAACCAAAACTGTTAGTTTCTGAATACATATTTTCATTATTAATAATTGTGGTTGTTGAACCAATTTCTCCACTAGTAGTATCTGTGAATTGCGTGTTTTCAAACGATTTTACTGTTACTGGTTCTATGCTTGCCACAGAAGTAAGATTAATTTTAAATTGATTTATCGTTTCAGTGGTTGTAGGTTCTACTACTGTATAAGTTGACATATTTTTATCTTCGTTGATTTTGATTTTATTAGAAGCAGTACTTGCCATTTGACTAAAATCAGTTTCCGGTAGCTCTGTAGGGGATTGAGGATTTGTGGCAGTTTCAGCCGTAACAGCAACAACAGATATGCTCTCTGTTGACCCTAATTTATGTTCAATTCCTACATTTTTAGTTATAGTGGATGCATTAGTTGTTACGTGTGAAGAAACAGACTTATTCTCAACTTCAATAACCTCAGTCTGTACAAAATATGGTGTGTCCGTTGAAGTAACAAGATTTTGTTCAACTGTTTGCATTTTTGTTGTTTGCAAAGTAACTGTACTGTCGTCTAACTTCGACGTCGAACTTTGAATGAGCGAAACGGTAGATTTACTGATTGGAGGATCAAGACTAGCATCTTTATCCGTTAAAATTGACTCAGTCATAGTAACAATTTCAGATTTAGTCGAATCAAATGTGTTCAAAGTAGATTTAGCGAGCTTATCTGATGTTGTCACTTCTGTTGTTGATTTTAATAAATTAATATCGAATGTAGTCTTCAAGAAAGAACCAGTTTCAAGTGTAGTTGTTTCTATATTCGTCGTTTTTGAGACCATATTATTTATTACATTGTTCTCAGCAGAAGTAATCTGAGTAGGATCTGGTGTATATTCTGTCTTTTTGGAACTTATATACTCAGATGTGTTAAGATCTGCGATATTTGGTATTGTTGTTGTAATATCTGACATTTCAGTTTGACGTTGTGTAAATTCTGTGCTACTTAAATCCTCGAAGTTACTAACATATGGCCTAGTTACAATTTCTACCGGAAGAGCATTTTTTTCTGTCACTAGAGTAATATTTTCTGATGAGTTTAAAGTTAAATCTGATAGTGTTCTACTAATGTCTATTGTGCTTTCAGTTACTACCGAAGTTGAAGCCGTGAATTCGAGTATGGTGGAGCTTTGATTTTTATCAACATTTTCATTTATTGATTTCAAAGTCGTAGTACTAGTATCACTTATAATGTCAGACTTTGCACTATCTATTTCAGAGACAACTGGCAAAGTTGTTTTATATTCAGTACTGGTTGCAGTAGTATGTTTTTTAAAATCATAGCTGTTAGATAAAGTTGATGTAGATAAATTTTCTCTGGGAAGGTCTTCAATTAACGTAATACCTGTGTAGTTGCTATTCATCTTACGTTGATTTGTAGGAGTTTTTGTATTTTTATTTTCAATCGGTGCAACAGAAGAAGAATTACTTTCAATAATCTTTTCCGTAACTGGTTTCATTGTACTCTCGACATGAATAGTACTACTACTGGGAAGAAGAACGTCCGAATCGATTGATGAATAATTTTCAATATTGGTATAGGGTGTGGTCATTTGGGTTGTGAAATCATTGGTCTGGTGGTCAGTAGTAATGTCAGTTGATATACTGGCTTTATTACCCGTATAAATATTTGTTGTATCATTTTTTGTAACTAATGTATTGCCTACTACATCAGAAGGACTTATAATGTCTTGAACTAATGTAGCTCTGACAGTACTTTCTGTTGTACTTGCAGAATGTTTCACATCATCGATTCCAACTACTGTGACTAGATTTTTATCGGAAACAGAAAAACTTGAAGTGTCGTCAAGTAATGTAGCTGTAACAGTACTTTCTGTTGTGCTTACAAAATTTTTCATATCATCGATTCCACCTACTGTGACTAAATCTTTATCGGTAACAGAAGGACGTGTAGTGTCGTGAATGAATGTAGCTGTGACAGTACTTTCTGTTGTCATTGCAGAGTTTCTCATATCATCGATTCCAACTACTGTGGTTAGACCTATATCGGAGATAGAAGGACTTGAAGTGTCATGAACTAATGTAGCTCTGACAGTACTTTCTGTAGTACTCGTAGAATGTTTCATATCATCGATTCCACCTACTATGACTAAATCCTTATCGGAGACAGAAGGACTTAAAGTGTCGTGAAGTAATGTAGCTGTGAGAGGACTTTCTGTTGTACTCGCAGAATGTTTCGTATCATCGATTCCAATTACTGTGACTAAATCCTTATCGAAAACAGAAGGAATTGTAGATTCGTGAACTAATGTAGCTGTGACAGTACTTTCTATTGTACTTGGAGAATGTTTCATATCATCGATTCCAACGACTGTGACTAAATCTTTATCGGTAACAGAAGGACGTGTAGTGTCGTGAACGAATGTAGCTGTGACAGTACTTTCTGTTGTCCTTGCAGAGTTTCTCATATCATCGATTCCAACTACTGTGGTTTGACCTATATCGGAGACAGAAGGACTTAAAGTGTCGTGAAGTAATGTAGCTGTGAGAGGACTTTCTGTTGTACTCGCAGAATGTTTCGTATCATCGATTCCAATTACTGTGACTAAATCCTTATCGAAAATAGAAGGACTTGTAGAATCGTGAACTAATGTAGCTGTGACAGTACTTTCTGTTGTACTCGCAGAATGTTTCATATCATCGATTCCACCTACTGTGACTAAATCTTTATCGGTAACAGAAGGACTTGTAGTGTCGTGAACTAATGTAGCTGTGACAGTACTTTCTGTTGTACTCGCAGAATGTTTCATATCATCGATTCCACCTACTGTGACTAAATCTTTATCGGTAACAGAAGGACTTGTAGTGTCGTGAACTAATGTAGCTGTGACAGTACTTTCTGTTGTACTCGCAGAATGTTTCATATCATCGATTCCACCTACTGTGACTAAATCTTTATCGGTAACAGAAGGACTTGTAGTGTCGTGAACTAATGTAGCTGTGACAGTAGTTTCTGTTGTACTCGCAGAATGTTTCATTTCATCGATTCCACCTACTGTGACTAAATCTTTATCGGTAACAGAAGGACTTGTAGTGTCGTGAACTAATGTAGCTGTGACAGTATTGTCTGTTGTACTCGCAGAATGTTTCATATCATCGATTCCACCTACTGTAACTAAATCTTTATCGGTAACAGAAGGACTTGTAGTGTCGTGAATTAATGTAGCTGTGACAGTACTTTCTGTTGTACTCGCAGTGTATTCAATGTCATCGATTTCAACTACTGTGACTAAATCCTTATCGAAAACAGAAGGACTTATAGTGTCGTGAATTAATGTAGCTCTGTCAGTACTTTCTGTTGTACTTGCAGAATGTTTCATATCATGAATTCCACCTACTGTGACTAAATCTTTATCGGTAACAAAAGGACTTATAGTGTCGTGAATTAACGTAGCTGTGACAGTACTTTCTGTTGTACTTGCAGAGTATTTAATATCATCAATTCCAGCTATTGTAACTAAATCTTTATCGAAAACTGAAGGACTTGTGGTGTCGTGAACTAACGTAGCTGTTACGGCACTTTCTGTTGTACTTACAAAATATTTATTATCGTCGACTACTGTGACTAAATCTTTACCGGAAACAGTATGCGAGGTAGGAGTCATAGTATCATCAGATGTAAATGTTTTAGTATACGCTGTTATGTGTAATCCTTTTCCATCGCCAGATACTGTATTTGATACGTCATGGGAAATACTAGAGCCCCATATAGACTCTGTAGTAGTAGATTCAAAAACCTTATATGTACTAGTTTGTGTGCTAGGTTCTTCATCTACTTTATCATCAAAAGTTGAATAAGTCGGCTTTTCAGTTAGTGTCGTTGATATTAAGCTTCTAACAGTAAGTGTATCGTCAGTGGTTGTATAATCGGTCATGATAGTATTAGAGGTTTTATGACGGAAGTTATTGGTATTTGCAAACTGTGGAATATTGTCAGTAGGTGTAGTCGAGTCTATAGTACTGGCAGAATCACTGCTTCCTCCTGGTGTAGTAGTGTTTTCGGTTAGTGGGACAAAAGTTCCATCTGTTAATAGGAATTGACAATACCATTATTAATCGATTTTATATAAACAAACTACTTGTTCAAACACAATTTCTAAAATTTCAAGGAAGGTGGGAAATAGAATTATTGTGAAGTATAATACTTTACAAGTTAAAGCATAATATTTATGAAAATCTAACTACGATAGTGCTCTAATGCGTGCTCTAAAGTACTAAACTACTACATATAGAAAGGTAAAGTGAGAAGAAGAACAATAAGAAGACTGACGAGTTTAGGCTTAATAGACCAACTAAATAGTAAGAAAGTGTGCCAGTAGATAGTATTCAGCTGCAGTGTTATTATAATATCTTATAATTAAGAAATTAAGAAACATAAACTTTGCGGAATGGTTTTCTTGGAAGTAATTATTATATTTATCATTTCGGTCTTTAAGCCTAAAGCCGTATTCGGACGTCAAACAAATAGTCCTGTGAAACTAACACCGTCTTAAAGTGTTTCGGAGTATGTAAGTACCGTACAAAGAATTGCCTGCCGGGTCTGCCGAGGTATCGTAGCCAGTATTTTGTGGCGTTTTATCGGACAAATGGTAGATAAAAAATTATAGCAATGACCAGTTCATCTGGAGTTAGTTTTGCTATTCACATAATAAAAATAATAGTAGTTGCAGACTTGCAAGTATTACAGCCAAAGTCCACGAAACATCAATTATGTGAAAATAGCATTACGATAGGTACAGAAGGCTCAATCGTAACGTAAATATTGTTTAAACACAGTTAGCTTAATTCAAATTAGCAATGTTAACGTCATAATTAGCATTATAAATGGTATTTCATTATATACAATACATATCACTTACTTTCCATGCAGGCGCCAGAGAACGGATCGCAAGGTACTCCCGGCCGACAATGGGCACAGTTTGTGGGTGGGTGTCGTTCCTCTGCGCAACACAAAGGAGACTTAATGTAAGAGATGTGAGAGGTTATATATGTATCAACTTTTTATTTCGAAGGTAGAACGTTAGAACGTTAGAAGCATATTTTGGCTGGCGTCAGGTACGTGTTATGCAAATTTGCTATGTCGTCATAGCGTCCCTCCGTATCAAATATAATCAATAGTTTCCCATAACAAATAGATAATACTTGTAAATTAAAGATAAACTAACCTCGAATACAAGCACAGCCGTCACAGAAGGTATTGGGATATCTCGCGCAATCCGACGATGTTTGGCACTGACACACTGCACAAAAATACAAGTTAAGAAGAGATCAATATTATCTCTAGCACTTACTCTGTCCAATTATTCGGATCATTTTCATTGGTTCACCTATAATATTGGGATGCAATTTGGATAATGCCCAATGTGTAATGTAAACTAAAGATTTTAGGGGGAATCAGAATCTTACTAGAATAGTAGGTATGATATGTTACCCTTCGAGCAAACAGGTTGGTGATCGAGCACAGCGCAGTGTTGGCCGTTGAGACAAGGGCCACCGCGAGCGCATGGATCTGCACAACGGCCGCCGATACACGCCAGAGTCGGAGCGCAATGTTCGTGACCGCCGCACTCTGTCGCTGTACATATAAACTTTTATAAGTATATTTAACAATTTTATTCGGCTCAAAGGGTCATTGTATACTCGTTTTCTACGTAAATGTATATTTATTTATTGCTTTCTAAAAAATACTACCACTAACAAAAAATTGGGAATTTTCAAAATTTACTATAATATTAATATTGATTTAATAATCAGGAGTTCAACGAATTATATATTATTATAAGACCCTGCTGAATAAAATATAGACAGGGTTGTAAAGAAAAATATACTTAAAGTATAAAAATAAATATAATCGTGTAAATAAAAAGTAATTCCACAGTCAAATGCATACCAATTATGCATTACCATAATCGCAAACATTGAAAATCAAATGTTTTACCAATTACGCAAGTACGTAATGAAAAGTAGGAGGTACCGCAATAAATGGCTTTTTAAAAGGATTAATCATGAGAAACAGGGAAAATTGGCAATAAATCGTTTTCCCTTTAAAGAAATTAAATAATTTAAGAGATAAAATAGCTGTCATCACACTATATATTTGTAATATATACGTACATATGTATTGTGTAGTAGTAGTAGGCATTCTAAATTATTCTGCAAACTCTGTCTCGTGGCGGTTTTTTGCATAACGTATTAATGCCAAAGCGTTAAAAGCATTAAGAGTAATTTTAATTAGAGCATCCGACACCATAATGAGCGTGAAATTAATTTAAAAGTGAATAATATGTACACTACAATAAAAATAACATGCAAGAAAATCTACCTGATGCAGAAAGAAGACATACTGTGGAGTAAGATATATATGAACATGCTAGAAACAACAGAAAACAAAGATAGAAAAGAACCGCATGAGAGTAGAAACTATAAAAAAATCCTGTAATAATGAAGAACAAACAAGATTATTAAGATCCATAAAAGACTCTAATATACTAATGGGTACACTAATATTTTAACTTTTTGCTCTCTATAGAATTACCTTTAACGCAGCCATGTTTCTCATCGTGTGTGAATCCTTTAGGACAAAACTTGCAAACGGGGTGGTGATCTTCTACTGAACATGGAGCACCACCACAAGCGCCTTTGCATGGATCCTTGCATTGAAAATCTCTGCATGCTAAGTTACTTGGGCAACCGCTGTCTCTCAAGCAAATTGATAATGATGGATTACATTCTTCAACACATACGCACATAGCGCGATGATCTACTACTTCACATTGCTTTCCTTTCGGGCACATTGGCTCGACAGATGCTTGGCAGGGATTCACACACTTGGAATTACGACAGGCCGCATTTGATGGACACTGTTCGTCTCTTGTACATTCTGCATGTTCTGGCGCACAAGTCAATTCTCCTCTTTCATTCAAAGCAAATCCATTCCGACATACACAAATAGGTCGGTGATCTCGTACTTCACATTTCTGATTTAGTCTACAGTTTTGATATCCCAGGCATGGGTTGCGGCACTGATTGGTGCTGAGATCACAAGCCAGTTTGGAAGGGCAAGATTTAGTTTCAGAACATGTGAATGTGGTATTGTTTTCGTTAGTGGATTTGCACGTAGGGTCGAGGCGGCACGCAACACGCGGTTGTCCGACATAGCACTGTGGGCAGGAGCACTGCGCTTTGTGCATCAGGGTCACACACAGGGCATCTTCTCCACATACACCTCGTACTGTGCAGGGGTCCACACAGTGTAAGCTGAGACACGCTCTGTCTACTGGGCAATCCTTGTCGCTCGTACATTCGATACCTAGGAAGATGTGAAAGAAGAAAGCAGAGTCGAAAGAGCGGTACCTTCAGCCGCGAAGAGGAAACTTTCTCACGAGACAGTGCATGCTTTTTGAAACTGATAGTTTATGACCAGAGATAATGTATATAACGGAATATTATAATACAAGCGATATGTACATGAAGCCGAACAAAATGTTACTGACGATTTGATAACTTAAGCACGAACGGTGAGAATGCTTCCACTAATTAAACATACCGTTACGTACAGATATGTTAAGGCATCAAAACTTAATGGCAAACATATTTGTACACAAAGTATTTTTCTATTAGCTTTAGGTAATTAGAATCATTCCTTCATAATAAGGGGTTCCTAAGGATGTTTGCATTGCTACGCAAAAGTATATATAAATTTCAATATATGTAAACTTCCTTTGGTACCCACGCCTATGTATCAGAGATGAACTTAGACCCATTAAAATACCATTTGTATTTACAAATATGTGGTAGAAGACCTATCACGTAAAGTTGATATCATAAACCTATATTACATATTTGAAATTATTTATAATGTTCAAAAATAAGACCACGCTGATAACCTGAATTATGAATAGGCCTATATCTTTAAAATGATAAAACTCAATTTAAGAAAGTACAGACAGACTGTACAGAGTGCGTTTATACATGGTGTCAAAACGATCGACAAAATCTATGGTATTTACTCACTGGTGTGACATTCGACATCAGCTTGTCCTTCTGTTCCGGGAATACAACGACATACAAATTCTGCACCTTCTCTTAAGCATTCACCATTAATTCCACAACCAGTCGTTCTACAATCAACTACACTGCGCTCCTGGGCACCTGAAATTGTTTAAACTGATTTTAAAATGGTTTCATATCTAGAATGTAGTTTAAGTTTTGTACTGCATATACATGATAATTATAATTACACAATAAAGGTAGAGTTTTACAACATACGAGCACATTACGTCCATATCGCATACTAAAAGCACATGCCAATTGTAAGGAAATTATATAGAAACAATTAAATACTTACATTCTATATTTGGATCACCATTAGGATAGTTTCGTGGACAGAAGCACTGTGCCTCTCCATGTGCACCGATATGACACTCCGCATTAGTGCCACATGATTTATATGCACAAGGTTCCATAGCACCGCAGAAACATTGTTTGTGAGGATTGCCTGCACAGTTTGGTGGACACGTGCACTCATATTGGCCTTCCTCTAAGTCACGGCACCGTGCACTCACCCCACAAGGATTTCGTAAGCAGCTACCGGCCGGTGGCTTTGAACACTCAATCTTTGCATTTCCAATGTAATTTGGTGGACAAGTACATTGCGGATTTCCATCTACTGCTCGGCATATAGCATTGATACCACAGGCCCCCGTACATACATTTTTGCACATGCCATCCGCACATTTTTCGTCCGCATCACAATCGTCATTATTAGAACATTCGTATTGTTTACATTCTTCACTAGGATCACCAGTATATCCGCTGGGGCACTTACATATAGCGCGATGTTTAATGGCAAAACAAGCGGCATTCTCGCCACAAACATCTTCTCGGCAAGCTTTCACGCAAAGTTTCGAAGAACATAACATATCATCACCACAATCTGCATCGTAATTACATCCCGGAATGCAAACATTTTCTTGGCAAATTTGTCTTTCGGGGCATTTATTCGGCACAGTACATGTAGATCTGCAAGCTCCATTGTAACACTTCTCTCCACATGAACACTCGGAATCGGTTTCACAAAGTGACACACAATAACCACTGTCATCACATGGACAAAAGCCGTCACATAGCATTGTTTTCCTTTTACACTCAACAAGAGGATTGCCGGTGTAATTACTGGAGCAACTGCACTGAGCGCGGTGATTTTGGACTTTACAGTCGGAACAGATTCCACACACTGCCTTTTCACTACAGGGATCTACGAACAAGTGAAACATTATGCTGATTATTACATTTACTTAGTTTTAAATAAATTATTATTATTGCAAAAAACGCAGTAATACCTTTGCATTGTCCATTTAAACATGCTTGATTAATGTCGCATTGGTTATCGTCTCGACAGCCCTGCTTACAAATCCTACCATCGCAAATGTAACCTTCGCTGCAGGCTTCATTGCTGTTACATACCACTCTGCATATACCACGGATACATTTTTCATTGGATAAACAAACGCTGTCACTGAAATTGTAATACACGATTAAGACATAAAATAAATGGCCATTATAAACGTGATAGTTTATTTGTTTGGATGTTTGAACGTCGAACACGCTGAAACTACAGAACAGATTTTGATGAAATTTGGTATACAGGTAGGGTATGGGCTGACTTAGGTGATAGGATACTTTAGGATTTTTATTCTGATTAAATGTGCCCATAGGATAAAACAGGAACACGCGAGCGAAGCCGCGGGTAAAAGCTAGTTATTTATAGTGCAGACTTGTCAAACATCATGGGTCATTTATATTTTATTTTATGTCTCTTACCTTCTACAAGATGGTTGACAAGTTCCTCCATAGCAATTGAAACCATCACGACAGTTCTCATTGTCCTTGCAAGGCGAAATTTTTCTCCGACAAACAGTTTTTGGATCTCCGAACAAACTCGGTGGGCATGTACACACAGGTTGATGATCTTTCGTCGTACAAAGGGCATTAGCTCCGCAAGTAGCGGGTTCAGTACAAGGATCCACACATTGCCCTGATAAGCAAGCCAGCTGACTTGAGCAATCGGAATGTGAGCGACAACCAGTTACGCAAATGCGTCCGTCACAGACCTCTTCGTCAGAACACTGTTCATCTGAGGTACAGGCATATCGACAAACTCCGGCATCACACCTTTCGCCTTGAAGACATTGGGAGCCATCTGATGTGCAGGCAGGACGACAGCGATCATCTTCACATCGCCAGCCGGTAGCACAGTCAGTGTGCATTTGACATGATAACGAAGGAGCTCGTACACATCCGATGTTAGGTGTTGGGTTAGGTATTAAACCTTCTAGGCATGTACAAGAAGCTTTTCGTTCCACTACAGAGCAGGCTGCGTTCGGCCCACAAGGATTAACATCATTGTCACAAGGATTTTGGCAGACATTATTTTTGCAAAACTCCTCCGGTCCACAATCTTCATCGTGCCTACATCCATACTGACAACTGTTTCCTAAACATATATGTCCCAAGAAACAATCGTTGTCTACGCGACATGTTACTGTAAATAAATATATTGATGTAAATGTTTGTTAAGACGACGATATTATGTAAAAATAGTATTTACTAAAACTTTTATGCATCTGTAAAATTTACTATAAATTGATATTCGAATAATATTTAATTAACTACTTCCACAATGGCCGAAGTGATCGAGCTTCTGCGTAACATGTCGTGGGTTTGATTGCCACACTAAACAATCCTATTGCGATTCACAAATTTTTGATCCGGGTCTGACGTTATATACGTACGAACTAATTGTTGAGCAAATAAATTTAAGTTAGACAATATTTAAACTTACACAAGCATGTCCCTTTAGAACATCTTTCATTCAAGGCACATTCTTCATCGGCTTTACATTTGGGCACACACATGGAATCTTGACACATATAACCATCTTCACATTCTCCTGCTGCTCCGCACAATCTCGGCACTAAAGAATAAACGCAAATAAATTAATAAACCAACTTATCGAATAATATTTACAAATCACGATGCGAAGGTTTTAATTTGACTTACTTCTAACACACTCCACGTCTTGATTTCCTGTAAAACTCTGGGGGCAACTACACTGAACTACATGATTATCAGTGCGGCAGAGAGCATTCAATCCACAAGCTTTTTCCATTTGGCATGGATTTACACATTGGCCATTAAAACACTTTTCAGTTGATCCACATTCTTCATCCACAAGACACAGACCTAAATAATATAAAATGCGAAATAAATAATTATGCGTGTTGTATAAGCATTATAAATGTTTAAAATAATCTTTTAAGAACTTACTTTTGCAAAGCCCATTGTGGCAGTATTGGTCTTCTCCACAATCGCTTCTTTGTTTACATGTCACTTCCTTAAGTTTACAACCTTTTTCACTAGATGCGTTACCAACATAACCGTCCTTACATTTGCACTGGCCAGTGTGTCTTGATGCAATACATTCAGCGTTAGCACCACATTTGGTAGTTTCACAGGCATCTACAAAATAACATGAATAGTTGAAACATTACACTCTTGCTTTCCTCCTTAGAAAGTCGCAAAGAATATCTCCAGTACAAAGATTGTGTTCAAATTGGTTCAGTACGGAAAACAAAAGATTGCACGTACTGAATATTTAACTAACCTGTACATTTACGAATTCCGTCGACAACCGTACAGCGAGCTACAGGGGGACAGTCTCTATTGAATCTGCACTCTTGAGCTTTGCGACAACCTTCTTCATAAGGATCTCCTACATATCCAGCAGGGCAAGCACATTGAGCTCGATCTCTTAGATTTTTGCACTCTGCTCCATTGCCACATGGATTTGAAGCGCATCTATTAATTTTAATGCAGCCAATTTTAGGGTCACCTGTATAACCGGGTTGACAGTAACACACGTGTTTATGTTTCTCCGAAGAACAGATGGTGTTGTCACCACACGTATTTTCCACTAAACAAGCGATTTTACACATATTTTGGTGGCATTGTTTATCATCAGTACATTGAACGTCACTTTCGCATTCTTTTCTTTTACATCCCTGTAGAGCATCTCCGAAGAAACCGGTGGCACACGAACATGTGGGTTGATGGTTTTTACCTACACAGACTGCCTGTCTTCCACATGGATGCCTTTCACATACTTTGATGCATTGTGGTACACCTTTTCTTCCCACAGTACATCGTTCGTCATCAGCACAATCTTCATTTGTTAAACACTGTACCTCTTTTGTACAAATTCTGTTTAAACAAAATTGAAAATCTGGGCAGGTACTGTTCGAGTTACAAGTGACTCGACATGTATTTTGAATACAGAGTTGGTCATTCAAGCAGTCTCTTGAATTTTTGCACATACCTGGAAAGATGACAGTTATCAATCATATTAAATTAACAAGTAGTTTTATTTTAAGAACACAAACAATACAAAAACTTACCAACACATAGATTGTCAACACACTTTGTTCCTGATGAGCACCTGCTGTCATCTGTGCAGTATTGAATAGGAACACAACCAAGAACAGGATCTCCCGTATAACCAGATGAGCAAGTGCAGTGCCCGATATGATTTCTTGAAAGACAGTCTGCATTTTTGCCGCACGCACGAGGTATACTACATGCATTTTTACATTTGTAGTTAACACAGGCCTCCTCAGACGAGCAATCACTATCTTTGATACATTCAAATTTAGTACATTGCTTGTAAGGATCACCTTGACTGTCTGGTGGGCATTCACATATGGGCTCGTGTTTGGACACTATGCACTCAGCATTTTCACCACATGGTGAAGATTTTTCACAAGGATCGATGCAGTAATTATTATAACATTTAGTTTTATCTGAACAGTCTTCATCAGAGAAACATTCACCAGGAGATCTGCAGTTTCCGGTGCTTGTATCTAACACAGTTCCATTAACACAAGTACAAGTATAGGAACCACGGTTGTTCACACAGTGCGCGTTCAATGGACATGGGTTACTCAAGCACTCATTTATATCTTGACAAACATTGTTAACTAAATCAAACCCAGTCTCACAATTGCATAAAGCTTTGTGGTCTTCAATTGTACATGTTCCGCCTTGGCAATAGGTTTCCTCACATTTGTCTGTAAACAATATAAAAAAGTTAGGTTTTATATGTTTTTAAAAAATACAACGTAAAGAAATTATGTATATCTTTAAAACATTGTACATACCAGAACACTTATTATTTCTTGTATTACAGAATTTATCGCTGGAACAACCAGAGTCATCTATACATTCCACCTTGAAACATCCGATTCTTTTGTCGAGTGGATTCCCGAGAAAGCCTTTTTCACAAGCGCAAGCTACTCTATGTTTTACAACTGTGCACAATGCGTTTAAACCACAAGTCTTAATTTGACATGGATTAGAGCATTTTCCTCTTATGCAAGCCAATGAATCTTCGCATTGATTATCACTTCTACATTGATTTGGTAATAGACAACCACTTGTATAGGGATCACCGATCGCACCAACAGAGCAAACACATTTGTAAGAACCTGGTGTATCGACACATTGTGCTGATGGATGACAGGGATTATTAACACATTCGTTTACATTTGTACATTCGTCGCCTGTTAGTTCAAATCCAGGAAGGCACTGACACTTATCTGACTTACACAACTGATTATTCAAGCAGTCAGAATCAGTTTTACAACCTGGAATACATATACCAGAACTGCAGTGTTCACCATGTAAACAGTTGCTACTTGAATGACATATTTTGTGGCATCTACTATCACTGCATTTTTCTCCAATAGCACAACCAGAATTATCTTGGCACGGTACTTGACAAAGGTATCCAATGCACATGTGGTCTGGCGGACACTCTGATGTTCTCGAGCATGAACTTGGTTTTCTCACACAGCCCTGTTGAGGATTAGGTGTTCCTTGGAATCCAAGAGGGCATTCGCATTTGGTACTGTGATTAATTCTGGAACAAATTGCATTTGGACCGCATGCTCTGGTGGACAAGCATGGATTTACACACTTGTTGTTAACACAGGCTTCTTCACTAGGACAGTCTTCTTGACTTCTACAGCCAATTAGACATTGTCCGCTTACACAAGCTTGTCCTATGCCACATTGGGAATGTTTAGAGCATTGTGTTATACATAAATTTTTAGCACAAGCGTCTCCTGGATCACATTGGCTGGAATTTTTACAAGCTGTGAAACATTGGCCACTAGAACAAACATCGCCATTGCACTCCTGTTCATTTGAGCAGACCAAAAGCTTTTTCTTACAAGCATTGCCTTTTATCATTTCATAACCATCAGGACAAACACAAATTGCTTTTCTGTCGACTACTTTACATAATGAGTTAATTCCACAAGCACCATCACAGGGATTGACACATCGGTTGTTAACGCATGTGGTTTCTAACGGACAGTCATCATCACCTTTAGTACATTGATCTTGTCTTCTACAACCTCCATTTCGACTATCTTCGACAAAACCTGTTGGGCACCGGCATACATATGATGAATGTCTTGGCTCACATATAGCAGTAGAATGGCAGGGATTAGGATTGCAAACTTCGATTTTTCGGCAGTTAACATCTGGTATAGGATCTGGTTTATAGCCATTAGGACACTGACAAGTAGCTTTATGGTTTTCAGCAATACAAACAGCATTATCACCGCATGAATCTTCTCCACAAGCATTCATGCATGTATGTGTCATACGGTTGCATAATTCATTGGACAAGCAATCTGCATTATAAATACAAGGTACCGACTGACATCCCTTTTCTAAATCATTTGGGTTTCCGGTAAATGGACCAGAGGGACACTGACATTTTGCAATGTGATTGTTGGTAACACAAATGGCATTAGGGCCGCATATCACTTGTTGACATGCAGACACACATTTTTTAACATCACCAACATGTTTACATACTTCATTTTCCCTGCACTGTACATCATCTGAGCATTGATTTTTGTCGATAGCTATACATCCATCGCGATCATTTGGATTACCAACAAAACCAGCTAAACATTCACATTTACTTTTGTGATTTCTCGTCAAACACTTTGAATTTTGTGGGCAAGTAAATAGCAGACAGCTATCTTCACATTTATTAACTCCAAGTACATCTTTTTGACAAGACTTATTATCATCGCAGTCATCATCAGAAACACAATTTGGAGTTGAGGGTTGTTCACAAATAGAATTGATAGGATTCCAAAGAAAACCATCTTTACATTCACAGCCGGGACTGTTATCTATAACTCGACAAACTTCGTTAGCACTACAGGCTATTGTTGAGCAAAGATCGAAACATTGCTTTGCAGTGCCGTCTACTGAAATGCAAACTTGAGGTTCGTTACAATCGCTATTTGCGTTACATTTCATTTCGTGAGGTTCTTGGACAATTAAATGGCAACCCGTTTTTACATCAGTAGGCTTCCCAACATATCCTTCTGCACAAACACAATGAGCTTGATGGTTAGCTCCTATACATAGAGAGTTTGGACCGCATTGCAACTTACTACATGAGTCCACACACTTACGGACATTTTTAGCCACTTGGAAACATATCTCGGAATCTTTACAATCCCCATCAACCATGCATTTATTTTCAGGCATGCAGCCTCTTCCGATGTCATTAGGATTGCCACTGTGCCCTGGAAGGCAATGACAACTTCCTTCTTCGCATATCGATTTAGGACCACAAATCATCGTACGACAAACATCAACACATTTAGATTTTTCACAAATATAACCTTCAGGACAGGTAGCGTTATGAGAACAAGTACAAATGGCACCATCGACACATTTGGGAATAGATACTTGTGAGCACAATTCGTAAGGATTTCCTACATATCGACTTTTGCATATACAACTGAAACTTCCGGGTGTGTTTATGCAAATAGCATTTTCTCCACATGGTTTACTACTGCATTCATCTATGTCAGTGCATTGTATATTAGGATTTCCTACGTAACCTGGAGGACACAGACATTCAACATGAGATCTAGTTTGTTGGCAAACTGCATTAACACCACAGGAGGCTTTAGCACATGTTATTTGTCTGCGAGGTAAACATGTCTTATATGGGTTGCCCGTAAATCCTTTGTCACATTTACAAGCATTGTTTTGTCCATAAACACAATGAGCATTTTGACCACATCCAGGTTCACAAGATGGGGGTGAAATAGCTGCAAAACAATAACGAAGTTATTTTTAAATCTCCATGCTATTAAACAAAAAAATATCAAAAGAAAATAATTTTTCTACTTACGAGGCATGCAGAGTAAGTCTGGATTACCAACGAAAAATGCATTACAAACACATTTGCCGCTCTGTTGGTCACATGAGGCGCCAACTCCACATACAACACCATCACAACGTTGTCTGCAACGGCCAGCAACACACATCAAAGGCTGTTCACAAGGTACGCCAGGTCCACAAGTATCTCTTCTGCATGCTCCTCCGGGGAACGGATTGCCTACCATACCTTCAGGACAAACGCATGTTGGCCCAGTTTTTGATATTATGCATTGAGCACCAGAAGCGCATGAATATGTGTCACATCCTAAAAAAGATATAAATTATTTCTGAATATTCAATAACATATGGATAAACCCTCTTTTGTAGGGGAAGCCGTAGCCGTATTCATCATAAATGATAATTTCTTCACCATCAACAGAGTGGTGATAAAGAAAACAAAGAAAGAATTAAATAAAGCTTACCAGAAATGCATTTGCCACCTTCAGGTTTGGTGTAACCAGGATTACAACGACACCACGCCGCATGATTGTCCACTTCACAAAAAGCGTGCGATCCACACGAAACAGTTGTACAAGGAGATAAGCAAGAGCTATTCAGACACGCGAGCGTATTAGGACATTCCTCGTCTGAACTGCATAAACGTTTTTCTGATGGAATTTCTTCGGCCGCACCTAAACACATAAATAAACTTATTATAACTCGATATGAAAAAATAAGCCAAAAGTTACTTTCATGTAATCATACTTACAACCCGATTTGTAGGGATCACCAACCATGTTAGCAGGGCACTCACAGCGATATCCACCTTTCTGGTCGTGGCAAATCGCACCAAAAGCACACGGTGCACTGTGGCACTCATTAATATTTGTACATCCCGTGTAGGGATCTCCTTCAAATCCGGTCATACACATGCATCGCGGAGGGTCACTTGGGGTACACTTAGAATTAATTCCGCAAGTAAATCTTTCACACGGATTTTTACATTTTTGTCCATCTGACACATCTAAATAAAATGGTGGTGGACAAACACATTTTCCAGGTTGAATACATTTTTCATTCGGAAAACAATCTGAATCACTGATACATCTCTTTTGATTCAACGTGCAATGCCCAGTTATTGAATCTTGACTATAACCATTTGGACATTTACATGTGAAAGATCCAATTGTGTTTACACATTCTGCACCAAATCCACAAACTGATTGTCCTGATGTACACTCATCAATATCTTCACATGACCCTTCAGCTGTTTGTGTAAAACCGATCGGGCAAGCGCAATAACTTACTCCGTCGGAAATTACAATACATTCTGCACCTTTTCCACATTTATTATCTTTTGTGCAGCCGGAAAGCACACAACTACCATCAATTACTTTGTAAGGTGGTTGGCACTGGCAAGTAATATCACTGCATAACTCACAAAGGTTGTAAGGGTTTCCGCTATATTCTGCGGGACATTTACATTCATAGCTGCCAGGTAAATTCTTACAAATAGCATTAAGGCCACAAGGTGATCGACCGTGATGGGTACATTCATTAATATCTTCGCATATTCCAGTTTCTTTGCTCCGTGCAAATCCTTGTGTACAAACACAAACATTTTCCCCATCATGTAAAATACATTGTTCACCCTGAGGACACGGATTAGTGCTACTGCATTCAATCGGACTTTTACCAGGTATGCAGCCATCCACATAAGGGTCCCCATTAAATGTACCCGGACACTCACATAAGAAACGTCCGGGGAGATTTTTACAAACTGCTCCAACGCCACAAGGATTTTCAATGCATTCATTAATATCTTGACAACCAGTTGGTGATAATGGATCGCCAGCAAAACCACTTTTACACGTACACTGAGCGACCTGGTCATTTAATAAACATTCTGAATTACTTCCACATTGCAAAGCTTCACAGGGGTCTGTAAATGGAAAATGTTTCAGATTGTAAATGATATTTAAATAACATAGGTTATTTTATATTTTATTGAATATATTTGGACAATGATTACTTACGCCTGCATTCATTTCCAACATTCGGCTCTGGACATAAACATCTCGAGTTAGGGTCGCACACTGCATTTCCGGGGCATTCATTATCAGTTTTACAAGTAAGTATTTCGACACATCGTACTCTAGGGTCTGGATCTGGTATACTACCTTCAGGGCATTCACAAGAATACGATCCATCACGATTAATACAATCGGCTCCAATACCACAAGCACTCTCTATAAGGCATTCGTCGATATCTGTGCACTGTTTATAAGCATCGCCTGTGTAGCCTTCTGGACATTGACAACTGAAACTGCCCGGTGTGTTACTGCAGCGAGCATTATTACCACAGCGACCCACCGGCCCAACTGACGTATCACATTCATTAATATCTATACAACCTGCTGCAATGTCTGTTGGGTCGAATGTCCAACCATCTTCACACACACAATATGCTTCTATTCCGTCTGGTTTGCAATACGAATGGTCGCCACATTTCACATCCTCACATGGAGCTCGGCAAGTTACTCGTGGAGGAGCACCAACAAATCCATTAGCACATTGACAGTTAAATCCACCAGGTTTATTTATACATATTGAATTTTCTCCACATAAAGAAGAATTTTTAGCACATTCGTCAACATCAATACAAATTGACCCTCGGGCGTCGAAACCTTCTTTACAAAAGCATTGGTTATCTATGCACTCCGCATTGTTGGTACAGTCGAAATTTGATTTACATAAAGTATTAACATCGACCTGAAAAATCAAACCTCGTATTAAAAATAAAAAAAATATACCTGTGAACTCTAAAAGTGTACTATCAACATTACCTGCTCGCATGCAATTTGTGGATCTGGTTGAGCTCGGTAACCTTGTGGACAGATACAATTGTATCCTGGCGCAGTATTCTCACAGATGGCGTGAGTTCCACAGGGATGTTCAAGCGTCTCACATTCGTTGATATCACGGCAACCTCCGGCTACACGCGCGTCTCCTGTATACTCTGGCTTGCAGGTGCACACGAAGCTGCCGAGGGTGTTGGTACATACGGCGTGTTCACTGCACACTGCTTGACTAGCCTTACATTCATCCACGTCTGGTGTAACAAACAACGCAACCACTAATTACATCAGCCACGTGCCATTACCCGTTTATAAATATACGCACGCAGTAGGTACGTCGACAGCCACTACGAAGAGGAAATGATAGACACATAGACGACTCAGAAGGCGACAGAGAAACCGACGAAAAAGAGAAGAAGATGGTATTGAAAGAACATTACACATCCTTCGATGCACTGGAACACAAAAATGAACCCAATCGTCGTAAAGTATATGTTGTCGACGACGGATACGATAAATTGCTGAAAATTCGATTTATTTGTCTATAAAATGTTTCGAATGTTGTTACCGTCGAATTAGTAAAAGCGTGAAGCTACCGAGCGTCAAAGTTCGGCAGTTTTCAGCTCGATTCGTTAAACGCGATTAGGTTAGATTGTCACAAAGCGTTAGACCACAGAAAATGAAGGTTGGTTAGAATTAAGTCACACCTACGGGCGTTTCAGGTAAAGACTCACCAGTGCACAATACGTCTGGATTGCCTTCGAAACCTGGTGGGCACAGACAGCGATAAGCGCCTGGAAGATTCTCGCAAACTGCGGAAATTCCACAAGTAGCGTGTGCACATTCATCCTGGTCGCGACAGCCGACGCGGGGGTCACCTTCGTAGCCTGGTGGACAGCTGCACTCGTAGCCGCCCTCCACGTTGCGACAAACTGCGCCCGGACCGCAACTCCCCTCAATCGCGCACTCATCGATATCAACGCACTACATCAAACGAATTATTTGTATTTATTGCTCATGGACATACACTTCTTACTTTCTCTCTTTAAAAAACATTGCCCCATACTATGTTTTTCTCCTGTACCGTGAGTGCATGTAGTTTACAAATATACTTACTTACACATTACACTCACACCCGGATTAACAATATGCGGATCACACAAAAAGTTGTGCGGAAAACGGGAATCGAACCCGCAACGTGTGCCGCAGCAGCCAGTTGCCTAGCCACTACGTCAGCCCTGCATCTATATATATCTATATTCATCAGAAGTCATGGTAAAAAATACCTAATGGTATTTTTAAACGGGCTTTGTACATTAATATTGTTTCCAAAAATCTGTCTACGTTGTCTACATTTTATGGTTCCTATACTATTTTTGCAATAATGTCGAAAAATTCACTTACGCCATCGAATGCATTTCCAGTATAACCATCTTGACATGCACACGTATAGTTTCCTGGATAATTTTGACACACGGCGTTCACACCACAAGCACCAGGACGTCGACATTCGTCAATATCTGTGATTAGTAAGTAACGTTTACTACTACTATTATAATCTTACTAAATATACATTTTATATTGAATAGATCATTTTTCATTTATGAAAGACGATGTGTGCACTGCGTAATGGCATTTAAATTAAAAGAACATTAAGTACCTCTACACTCCTCTTCCCCATCACCTTCGAAACCTCGATTACATTTGCAAATAAAATGAGCCGGTAAGTTACAGCATTCTGCGTTTGCTACGCAACGCGATGCAACTGCTGGATCTTCGCACTCATTTATATCTGTAACGAAATATTGAAATTGTAGGTACCTATATTTTATTTTTGTGGAAGTTCGTTAACACATAACTAAATGAAAATTAATTTCATAAATATTACAATAATACTTTTTTATGACAAATCACGAGTTTTCAATAGAATATATACATTGATTACCTCTGCAAGTGAAACCGTCGCCTTCGTAGCCTGGGAAACACGAACATTGGAAACTACCGACCGTGTTCGTACAGTGAGCAAAAACATCGCATGGTCTTTCTTTGCATTCATTAACATCTAAAACAGACAAGAAAATAAAGTAATGTGTACGTTCGCTGCAATAATACACAATAATAACACATAATATAATAACAATATACCTGGTTCCTGGCAGTTGCAGCCGCCGAAACCATCATTACAATGGCACACCCCGTTTAGACAACGTCCGTTTATACATTGGGCGCCATCTTCTTTGGTACAATCATCTAAAAAATTTAATAAATACACGTAACCAGATATGAAATGATGTTTAGTGCCAAACGTACATTATTATAGATTAAAAATAAGAATTAATGTAAAAAATTCGAATTAATCCTGATATAGAATAACGGATGGCATATATATTAATAATGAACTCACCTGTACATTTCAATTCTTTCGCGAGTTCGTCGGATCCCTTATAGCAATCCTTGACACCGTCGCATAACTTTGATAATTCATATAATTGTAATATTTGTGTCGATTCGTTTACTTGACAGCCAAAATAGCCGTCTTCTAAATTTAAGAAAAATACTTCTCGTTTTATTCCTAAACCTATTCCATATTGGCTTTGTGTCGCTACCTGTGAAAAAAAGGAATCAATGTTTCGACAATTTGACTTTGAAATATCTTTGTAATAATAATTGATAAACACCCACTTATTGGCTACAAAAGGTTATATCTATATATATAAAAGAAAGTCGTGTTAGTTACACTATTTATAACTCAAGACCGGCTATATCGATTTGGATGAAAATTGGTGAGGATGTAGCTTAGAACCAGGAGACGGACATAGGATACTTTTTACCCAATACTTATTTTTTACTTTTAACCGAAAATCAAGAACGGCTACGGGAAATATCGGGATTGCGCGTACGAAGTCGCGGGCAGAAGCTAGTTTTTTATAAATCTGTTACTTACATTTGTCGTTGTGACTAAGAGCGTCCAAACCACGAGCGGTAAGGTGTCTATATACATTGTCTCTGTAACAAAACAATACATAATTAAAAACACAATATTTTTTGTTTAACAAAAATCTCAAGCACTGTGAACCTCTGATTTCCACGTGACCCCACTGTGTGTTACATGCCTTATTTCTAATGTGAATCATGTCATGAGGAAGTTTTGTCATTATCAGCTGATTACAAAAGGTCACTCAAAAAAGGGTGGTGATATCTTATAAAGTCAAACCCACAGGTCAAACTCATCTTTGAAAATGTGCGATCATAGGCAAGAACGTTGAAAAAAGGCAGACATAATGTCACTTGACTGAAGCACCAAACTGCCAGTGGTTTATATGTGTGTATGTGTGTGTGTGTGTGTGTGTGTGTGTGTGTGTGTGTTTGTGTATAATGGGCTACCACAGGTTACCAGGATTAAAAAAAATCAGTAATTTTTTAAGAATATCTGTATATCCTTCGTGTCAATGTGTTTATGTTCTGCATGTAACTTTATAATAGCCTGGTGCCACAGTCGTTGTTTCAACAGACAGTTTCCGCCTTTTTTTCAACGTCCGTAATCATAGGTATGTAAGTTTCCGAAAGTTTCAATTCACTATACTTAGTAGGTATGTACATAACCGATATCTTTTTAACAAGCTTTTCGTCAATGTCGATTTGTATAAAATCTAAGAATCTCAATTACACGCGCTTGTAATTGTGTATCATCATAAAACTTGGCAGAAGGTGGTTGATGGAACCTTGGGCTAACTACTAGTAAACATGTCGAGTTGGACCTCATTCACTTGACAGACTGTGTCCTTCTGATGAGGGTATAAGACTAAGCGTGTGTTAGCTTTTTATAATAACAAATTCATTTATTTCCAATTGTGTTAAAGAATTTGTAATGTTGACACACAATAGGGCTGTTACGTTGATCATATATTATCTTGTTTGTCAAATTCTACAACAGTTGAGATAAGAAAAACCTTAATTCGTTACGTTACGTTTAAAGTAACGGCAAGTATTTTTATTTTCAGTTAAAACCATTTTAAACTGGAAGTAACTTTAATATCGACAGGAACTGTATGCGTTAGAATTCCGGAACTCTCTATCATTATTATCATAATAAATTTTATTATTATAAATCATAAATTGCTTTAGGTATTTTAGACACGAACGACGCCACATCAAACTCAAAAAAATATGCATACTATACAACCTTCTTCGACAATGACCTTATTAATGTAACAAGACATGACAATTCTGGCTGCATGTATTTAATGATAAAAAAGTAGCGCGGAATTCTGATATGTTCTTTCCATACCTCCATCAACAGCCTATTAATGCCCACTGCTGAGCAAAGCCTCTTCTCACACGGAGAAGGTTAGAGCGTTAATCACCACGCTTGCTCAATGCGGGTTGGCGATTTCAAACTTATAATTAGAAATTATAAGTCCAGGTTTCCTCACGATGTTTTTCCTTCACCGTTTGTCAGTGGTGTCTAAATAATCTTAGAAAGTACATAGAACTCGGAAAAAGTCCCATTGGTACTTGCCGTTGGTAGGTTTCGAACCCGCACCCATGCATGAGAAGTGGGCGTCTTAAACCTCCGGGCCACCACGACATTACATTTCCATACCTAATAACTTTTTATCCACATTTTAGTTTTAAAGCTAGAAAAATTTTAAACTTGTGTAAAACATGGTCAGTACATATCCAAAGCGTTTACTTTCAAAGTAGCAATTATTGTTTTTATCAGTAACTTCAAATAATAGCGTACCTACTTACAAATGGCGAGTGCAGCGGCTGTGACAACTGGCACAACGACATTTGCGGTGAGAAGTGCAAACGCACTTGTAAATCGGCATGCAATCAGTAAAACACGCAACGTCGTTAACACAAACGCCAAATTACTTGCATTTTGTATTTACAATGTTTAGACTTATGCTTGGCTATTTTAAATTGGTCGACGTAATGCAGACAAGTAGGTAAACGACAATACTCCGCTCACACAGTTATATGACCTCGCGCTACAGCCTTCGCCTTTGTCGCTGTTGTAAATAATTATCAACGAAAACTTACGCCTAATGGTATCTATAAATATCCATTACATTGCTCAGGTTTGGAGTAGATTGTTTATTTGGATACTCAAAGATGGTATTCAATCAAAATAGACTTTTAAAGTAAGTTGAGCAGTACCGCTATTAAAATTAATAGATCAGTCAGTTTTCTTTCTTGTAGTCTAAAGGCCGAAATTATTAACCGATCTCAATTACGTTAAAATAAACGATCATCTTATCAAAAAAGAGTCAAAGTATTCGTTGGCTGATAATTTCTGTTTTATGTTGGTACAGAAAAGTAATATCATATTATTTTAATAAGTACCACAAATCAATATGTCTCTCCTTATCATTACAAAAAAGCGGTACATCCTTATATATACGGTCGAATTCAGAACCTTCTCCTTTTTTTGAAGTCGGTTAAAAATCGAAAAACCTCAGTAAAAATTGAGTTTGTAAATACCACGTTTACATCTGTATGAAATAAAATAGCACTTGAAAAGTTGTAATGTAAGATCGAGAGCGTTTTCTTTAGAAACAGGTTTATTGAATTGTGCGGCGAACATTGGAACGGCTGACAAGATCACTGAATGTCTACTTCTTTAACTTTGGTCTTCGGACTTGTTTTTAATGTTTGTTGGCATGTTTAAGTGTCTTTTTGATTATTACAACTCAGACATTTTAAACTATTCATTTAGCGACGCCTACTTTCATTATAGAATTGAAAAAATGAATTGAAATAAAATTAATGAACAAATAAATAATAACATCCTAGATGAATCTACATCAACACTAGTTTACACTTCGACATTATTATTATAAAGAGCTTTGATTTTTTATTAAATAGACTCCGAAACTTCTAGACCGATTTGAAAACTCGTTGGAATCCTACATTATCCCTGATGATGTTCATCATAATTATGCCTATATGATGAACATATATTTAATAAGAGAAAAAAGGGGAACCGATGTACGAGAAAAAACGCTTCTAGAAACCTCCTTACATTGCTGAAGTCTTTGACTGCCAATAGAAAACTTTTTCAAAGAACTTAATAATCGCATTTAGCTGCATCAGGATCAGAAATTTTAAACAAAACAAAACGTAGCCTTTGTTACTCTCCATTCTTTCAACTAAATTCACTTAAAAAAACACGTCAATATCTAGCTCCGTTCTGTTATAAAGACAGGCAAACAAACAGACACACACAAATAAATAATAATAAGTATAGATTTCTATGTTATTTGTCTTCATGTTATAATATCAAGGTATGCAAAGAGGCTGAATACCAATATAAGTCCTTAAAAACTCTATACGGTACCTATACGGTAGGTAGTATTTTAGTGCGTCGAGGCCTTTACTATAAAAGTTTGCCGGTCTTCGTTCAAATAGGTTTAAAAAATAAAAATATAATTATTTTGCTGTAAACATTGCTTTTACAGCTTACTCTCAAATAAACTTTATAAAAAACTAAAAAGGGCCTTATAAGTGCATGGTATTGGTAACATTTATTTACACAAGGATGTATTGACAAGGCCCATAGATGGTGTCGTAAATTACATGTATTATACATATATGTAGGTGCACAAAGGCTAAACGCAGCATTAAGGCAAAACACCTAATATTGTTTTCAATAACCACTACTAACCTTGACACCTTATAGTACTCTTAACAACGTCTTCAAGTATTTTATTATCATTGATATAAGTTAGCTATAAAATATAGACCTCAGTTTCTAAATCTGAATAGAACTTAAGCACATGTTTACAGGTATATGCGTACGAATCCAATAGATTAATATAACTATGTAAATATCAAGTCTATTATTCGCTGATAGTGTAGGCACTCAGAGGCACCTATATACCCATTATACATCCACTTATACCAAATTTTATTAGCTTCGTTGTTATATGTATAGAGTTTATTTCCAAATACTAAGCGATCTAGAATTATTTAGTGTGCTAATTCTTAAAAGTTAAAATCAATAATAACGTTTGCAGTCTCTGGACATTGAAGGTTTGATTATTATAATACCTCTAATAAATGGTTATCAGTATGATAACTTGTTATTAAAATAAAACATTTCAAGGTAAAAATCTGCTACATCTCAAGTAAAAAAGCTTTTGGTTGTTTAGATGAGTTGTCTGACGGTGTAAATAAAAGTTCGACTCACGTATCACCAGGTTTATTTGACGGATCCGACACGTGTAGTACAGAAGGCACAGTAGGAAAGTCACAAGCACGGCACAGAGATAACGAGAAGACAGTCAGTATATAAAAGTAGTAAGGAATAGGTAGAACTAAGGTAATTTTTATAGGTTTTAGAAAGTGAAAGAATTGTCCACGCGCGTCGTAGCAAAATCTCGGCAAGACTGGTTTGACAGATATGCGCACACGCATCGGTAAGCGATCATCAGTAGCTATTGATAGTTATAACTATATTGGTAATTAGTGATGAGGGCTCTGTCGATAGGATTACAATTATCGACTATCGATGGAATTTTTATCGACCAACTGGTAAGGAAGTGTTATGCATTCCGTACAAAAAATGTAAATATATATATAAATGTATGTAGGTGTATGTGTATAGATTTGTACAGTTACCTACACCACCCCCCTCCAGAGACCGTCAAGGGCGATAGAAGTCAGTAAATTTAACTCGCCTCCCAGAACGTGTTGTGTAACTCGGCGGCACTGTTGGTGGGGGTTCCTCCACCGTGTCTGATAGAATGAAGGCAGGCTTCAGTCGGTCGATGGATACTGTCACTTCATTGTTTTTGACTAGAATCTTAAATACCTTGTCCCTTCGTGTGATAACTTTAAATGGCCCAGAATAAGCAGGCTGGAGAGCACCCCGCAATGCGTCCTCACGGAGGAAAACGTGATCGCAAGTATCTAGCTCCTTGTAAATAAACACTTTGGGATTGCAGTGGCGGGATGCGGCGACCGGTCTCAGTTTCTCGGCAAAATTTCTGAGCCTTGCA